AGTTTTAATTACCATAATTACGTATACAGTGTTTATTGACCTGCCCCTTACTCGAGTCGATTCATGTGCTTTCTATGGATCACTTACATTATTTAAATGTACGTATATATAAATAAGTATATAAAGATAAATTCTTTTGTAGTTTGAGTGACGATTAAAAAATATAAGATATCAAACAATAGACTTTCATTTAAACTAAATTGATGTAATCCTAAACAATCTTTGTTACAATAAACATGTAAATTTTTAACATATTATAAACTATGATTATTACACTATATTCGAGTCTTAAGAAATATGCAAGGTGATTAGTTTGTTTTATAATTGAAATTAATACATAACATTACTTATTTTTAAATATACACACAAATTTTTCTGTCTTCGAGATACATCCATCTCTCGTACTCGTACGTACATTAATTATGTCATGTTATTATTCATAAGGCACGTTACATCTATAGTACGGTGAATTCACTGAGCAGATCATTACCAAGAGTAGTGAGTGGTGCGAGCTGCTAGTATTATAATGCAATATCAAAAAACCCATTCAGCTGAATGTCAATTTGGGCGTCGGGTGACGTGTCCGGTACACTGCGCTAACTACACTTAGTATGGAGGGCGCGTGCGACTGTTCTGATGTCAATGGGGTCTACGTGAGGCAGCGCGCATCAAACATTACACGACATACAGAATGCCCGAATAATAAGTGTATAGCATTCATAATCAAATAATACAAGTTAATATGACTGTACTCATATAATAGTGATAAAACTCATCTTGAGCTGTACAACAAATGTACAACTTAGGACAGTGTTTTCAGGGTTCCGCAATCCGCATGTCAATCATCAAAGTCGCTTTTTTTTCAGAAACTCATGAAACGAAAAAAAAAACGCCTTCTTTTATCCGCTATTTTCCATACCTTGACGCCTATATAATAATGAAGACAAAGAGTAAAAAGGAATGAAATGTAGATTTTTTAATAAATTGGTAAAAATCGAGGCTCGTAAAGTTATATTAACCATATACATAACCATTGTCTGAATCGTTATCAAAAAAGGGGACAACATTTTTCCAACCGCAACGTTACGTACTCGTACTCTTCAGTACAATTTACGGTTTTCGTGATAATTCACATAATATTATTATAGATGCGAACTATAATTTAACATGTGAACTAAGACATACAGAATCAGTTGTCAATGGGAGAATTAAAAAGTGAATTTTATGTGACAAGTGACGAGAGCAATGTGTGAGTAATGTTCACTTCGGTAACGGAAATGTAGTTGGGGAAAAAAAATGGAAAATTTTAGTGACTTATTATATAGAATGTAAGTTCCTTTCACCATGTTTTGAGAATTCATGAATCAAGGTCGAAAACAAAAAGTAACTTCATGGTACCTGAGTCCTGAACCTGTCGAGAGATTCCTCTGAACTGATACATATATAGTACTTATATACAGTCGTGTCTTCATACTACATGTTAATGTATTTGAATTGAAATTGATCAGGCTATATAATCAGACGGGTTTTATATAAAATGTTACCGAAAACATTTACAGATCTCATACAGCTTAAGAATATCAAAAGAAAATTAAAGACAGTTCTAATTTAAACGAATATGTACGGAACATTAGAAAGAGACAGAAATATCTTGTTTTTATCTCGATTACTTATAATTTATATACCTAATACCTAAAACATTTTAATAAAAGTTTTTACATAACCACAAGACTACATGGACGGTCTACCGCAAGAAAGCGGATGTGTGATCTACAGTAAATGACTACAGAATCATAAATAACTTACGAGCTCTTCTGCGGTTTATTAATTTAATATTCTGTTTACAACACACACAGACACATAGACAATATTGTTACACATACACACACACACACACACACATGATACACACACAGGGAACTGAAACAGCTCGATGCAATTCAGATTCAGACTAAATCGAGTGATGATTCAACTTGAATTTAAAACTTAGTTCATGGAGTACGTCCACAGAGAACAGGCGACGAACATTACTAGGAAATATAATGAACAGGATCAGACTGGGAGAACCGCGTGCGTGGGGACTTGATGCTACACACACACTATAAATAAACAACGTGTTCAATGATGTACGTGAATGGAACATTAACAGATGAGGTGACTTTAAAGGAGTGTCGTTATATTGTGGATCAATTAAATTTATATCAACAGATACAGAGGATACGCATATGGATGTCCTTATAATGAACCACAGAATTAATTTAATTCACTTATCACGTATCTAGAACACTAAACACATCTCTGCCTCAGCACCTCGTCTGCCCGTGAACACGGTTGTTGAAAATTAACCCAAACGTCGGGAGTATGTAGTTTTACAATTATAAAACTTACGTAGAATACCATAATCTGAAAAATATTAGTTTCATTTAAATGAATATATACTCGCGAAAGTCTTAGATCTTATTACAGCAATAAACATTTACTGATTGAAGAAAGTTGGTTATTCTTTGTGTTTCTTGTCTGTAACGTGACTATTTCGCCTAATATATCATAAATTTAATTTGAATAAGAAAAAGAGTCTCTATAGTGGTTTCATGGTAATTTTTAATTTGAAATCAAAATCAATAATTGTATGTATTTCCTTATTCCTGCACTTCCCTATCCCTAAAAAAACAAGGTTGGCAACGCCTCCGCAACAAAGATGTAGCGGATGTCAATGGGTGACGGTAACCACCTTCCATCAAGTGGGCCGTCTGCTCGTTTGTCACCTTTCATATTAAAAAAAAATGACACCAATAATAATGTTTTGTTGTGTGATTCTTTTCACTGAAATGTAACTAAATAATATACTTAAATTTAATTCATTTGAAGCAAGTCTTGAAGGCTACTACAGAGTTATTTATACTTAAACCGCGTTACTCATGTAAGTATTACTGAACATATTATATAATTTACATTACAACTGTCACAGACAGAATGACTGACATCTCAGAAACGGAACAGAAATACTCAATTGACTCATAGATGTAAACGGATACATAACTATGACATCTAAAATACATAGTAGGAAAAGTATTAACATATATTTATAATCTTCGTTTATTTATAGAACTCAAGTGAAGTCGCAAAGTTGCAAACACAAAACCTGCCAACTCTAACAATACAAATATTTTTATAACATCATTAGCAGTACGCACACAGACTCAAAGGATTACAGTTTACTGGTAAGAATGAGTGCTAATGAGGATTAATAAATATTAACAATATAGATACAAGAAGAGTATAAGCAACACAACGAGACGCAGTAACAAAGCTTCCTAATGGATGTTAATGAATTGTTACATCGTTTGTGAGGTAATAAATACATTCCGGTGGTCCGGGGCCGGCCGCTCGGAGTCGGGATACCTGGCTAGTTAGTCAGAGAGAGACAGGTCCGCACACGCTCCGACACACGTCAATGAACGATCAGCGACATCTGAATGGACTTGATAACAATACTAACTCACTCACTACTGAAATACTTTCTTCTGAGAACTGTAACTGTTAATGAGAGAGAACGATGTCGTCAATGATGACTAGTGACGTAAAGAACAATGAATGAACTTGTACAGAGAAGTGTGGTGTAATTGTTGTAATACATGCAAATGACAAAATGTTTCCGTGGAAGTAAAACGGAGCAGGAAGGAAACCCTGGTGTGAGTGTGTGTGTGATGACGTCACACGTGCCCGACACTGTTTACATACATCATGGATTACAATAAATTACATAAAGACGTACGAAACATTTCCCATACAACATTTGTTGAAGGAAAATAAAACGATATTACAAAATTAGAGGAAAATTAAAGGTAAAAATGAAAATATAATCATCAGTCTTATGGAGTATAGACGAATACTTTTATGGTAACATGTTTGAATGATTCAATGAGTGACGTGAGTGAACAGTGACAACCCACAACCACAGGAGGTGAGGTGGGGCTACGTATACATATACATAATATATTAAGTGTTAACTACCTATACACATGGTTATCACATTATAGAAACGATTCATTAAACAAAGTTGTCACACAATAATTCAAAGAAAAGTTTTGTTTCAGGAAGAGAAAAAAATCTACTTATTGAAAAAATAATTTAAAAACAATATGACAATATTTATGCTGAAACCTCTAAAAGGCTTCCCAAAGTGACTGCGTACGACATGCCCGTGATGCGACGGTTGATGGGGTGTTAAATGTTTGTTCTAAAAATGGTTTAATCTACAGACAGTCGATTATAGTATTGTAAAAAAAAAACAACTATATTTGTAATATAACTCTATTTCAAACTATAAGTATCTGGTAGTATTCGGCTGTCACGCCTCCTCTCTAAGTTACACGAATAATTCATAAATCTTAGTTATATGTTATAATCTCAACAAGAATTAGTCGAAATACAATATTTTAATATTTATAATATTTATAATATTTCTTACATAGTACTTATAACTTTTCATAAAAAGTATTATTAAAAATAGTTAACATACATACACTTACTAATAAAACTTGTAACTTTACGTTACGAGATATATGAAATATGGGAATAGAAGTTTACAAAATTTACACACACACACACACACACACACACACATACAACACAGGCGCGTGCGCTCGCGCACACACACGCACGTAAAAGTATGTAAATTTAACTTATATGATCTACATTGGTGCAACATTTTTATTGATTTTAGTCGCATATACCTTTTTTTACATTTTTATGTATAATTTTAAATTTGCATGTTAAAAAATATATTATCTCTTTTATATACTTTTTATCAATAAATTAGACGAAAGTATTTTTAAAATCGTACTACTTTAATTAGCTTCCTAGTGTGTATAATTTTTAATTTCAATTTTGTTTCGTTCAAGTAGTATATTTTCAACAAGAAATATTTTCTCATCTGATTATAGCACACAATGTATCGGAATGTGACACCTACTGACAGTCAATAAATCTAGTGCCAGTTGAAAGAGACCGCGGCCGTGATTCACCTCACACTACCAGGAACACTTGTTAGTCAGGTTTACAAGCGTGTGCAGGCCTTAGACCGGACCACCCCTCAACCACCCGCCTGCCGGAGCCTCAAAGGGATGTCGTCTGCGTCACGGACACACAAATATTCCCAACTTCCGAGTATAAACATAGTTAGTAGTGACGCACTTAGCGCCGGCGCTGCTCTCACCGACACCATTCACAGTTTCCAGAAACTCATCTAAGTGTTGTTTAAACCCGTTTGTTCATTCTTAACAAAGCTCTAGTTGTCAATGAGATAAGGAATGTATTGTCCTTTTTTTGTATATTATTTGTAAACTAGGATCGGTATTTTTGACACTTATAGCTGATAACTGATTCATTCTCGAATGTTAATATTTCGTGAGTATTTAAAGGACCAAGCACTTACTGTGATAGGAAGGAGGTATCATTTAGTAATAAGTTTGTTTGACAAATACATATATAAATAATTAAATAGTATTTACATGATTTCATTGAGTATAAAGGAAAAGTCTTACATATTATTATATACTACGGTAACATTATAAAATGATCATTACACTCGCGAACAGTCGAAGAGGAGTTTTGAGTATCGAATGTTAGATATGAGACGGGAACATGTTTAAGGAGTCAGGTTGTGACTGTCGACTAGTTGTGGGATAAATATACATGCAATTATTATATGACCAGCCAACCGCTAGCATCAAGAGCTGGCGATGTTTCTGTTCGATGCACGGTCATGTATTCATGTTTGTATGTAAATGACCTCCAGCAGGGGAGACCTTGACCGTGGCGGACGGCTCACCACGTAAGGAGCGACGTCCTTAGCGAGTTCGTTAGAATCACGGAGCGCGTCGAACACAACACACCCTGCCATGTATGAAACCACACCTACTAACTACTGACTGAATCACACGCCATGTCCGTAAATTATTACGAAATTATGTTCCAGCCCGCGTCACTACAGCTCCGTTCAACCTATATGAGCGGGATCCTGTTGCAAGTAGGTCGTCGTCTATGCAGTGTTGTGATCGTGGTCGTGTCGCAAGCGTGTCGTGGAGGTGGAGGCGTGCTCGTGACGTCACAGCCCGCGTCATACGGCACGCGTGTTGCGTCAGGTGGTCAGGTCACGATCTCTCACTAAGCCAACATCCGCCGTTGACCGCGTTCCACTTCACTAACGAAGCGCCGCTTGCATACTGATGACATACAGACTTGCTCGGCCGTGGAGACGTGATGCAGCTTGGATGTTTTACACTTTAGGAAACTGTTTGTGTTCTACAAAATAAAATATCTCACTTTCGTCATGATTTCTTTTGGCTACATTCACTTTTTACGACTTTTTAAGCTATCGAAACTAGATGACCTTCAACTAATGATCGAAGAACACACACACACACAGAACACAGACACAACATGCATACTGATGAAGTTCTCAATGTTTTAACGGACCATTTATTGTATCAGGAAATAAAAAATTAAGACTTGATTATTTCTATATTTTATGTTTCGTTACCTATTATCATGAGTGGTCTTTAAAGTTTGGCGTCTCTCTAATGTGTGATGTGTGATATTTGTCTCATTTTTCATTGTTCTTATTTTATATACAACATCAGGACTAGGACAATAACGCGCAAAAGAGTTCTGTAAACAATTCCGTAATAAAAAAAGTCGTTTACATTCCTGTGACAAAGGTTCAAGAAATAAGTTTCTGTATTTCATCATATTCAACGATTTACCTTGATCAATCAATCAGTTATTTCAACTTACTGTCTGTTGAAACATTCATTCATAATAAATGTTATATCTTATGCACGTTGGCGTCTCACTAATTTATTTTTGTTTCTTTCATGAATGACAACAGTTCCTTAATAGAATGGAGAGGGTTACTCATGTTAGACTTTAAAAATTAGTGTCACAAGAACCTAGTCGTACATATTATACTACAAGGTTGTGATATTTATTAATTAATATTAACGAACAGAAAGTGTCCTCGGGACTGACTAACGAACCCTGCATCAGTCTGTGAGACGAACATCTTCAAGTCAGTGCTCTATGTACCGCGTAATTGTTACTACGTTAAACTTATAACAATAACATCATACGTCAAGTATACGCACGTAGTGTCAGTGTCCTATTAAAAATCGATTTAAGATTTAAAGTTTGTTTTTTTAAATCATTTGCCGTATATAAGTATTATTAAGTATATAAATTTAATGTGGCAGTGTTATCTTCACGCAGAATAAAGTGAAAAGAACCAAAAACAGAAGATCCTGTCTCAGTTTGAAACCATCGAAAAAGTGACAGTACTGTTTATTTTTCATAAGTGTCTGATGTAATAAACTAAGTTAACAAATTTATTGATTGAAACCTAATCATACGTGAACACAATAAATAGAAATAAGTGCTAGTTTATTATAAAAGGAAAAAGTGCGTACGATTTATGTGATAGTGAATTATTAACAATTATACCCACTTGCAAGAAACATATTAAAAATTACTTATTACTTTAAAAACTGTTCACCAATTTCGCTATACCATTAACGTTCTCGGTAGCTCAAGTTGTATCGTAGCGGATTAAGTCGCAGCGAACGCGAGATCGAGCCTACGCGGAACATCAAAATATATATTTTTTTTCAAATAATATATTAGTAAGAATCTAAACAAGTAAGGATTCTTCAAAAATGCCGATCTGTGCTGGATGCCACAAAAATTTACTTAAGAAAGAATTTATGACATGTTCATCTTGTAAATCGAAATATGATATTCAGTGTGTTAACATGTCTTCTGAACAATATGACCAAATGAGTTTACAACTTAGGAATAGTTGGAAGTGTCCCAAATGTAGCAGTAAACAACCAAAAATGGGCAATATTAATACACCTATTCGCTCTGGTCTTACTAATGCTAGTTGCGGTAACAACTTCAATAATGAAACATCATTTGTTACTACGCGTAAAATACAAAGCAAATCTCCGCTGGCATCCGAAAGTGGAATGCAGAATTATATTACCGAGGAAGGGTTCCGCTATATACTCAAACAAGAACTTACTGCAACCATTAAAGACTTAGTCAGTGCACAGTTGAATAACATTAATGAACAGATAGCAGAGTTTTGCGAGTCACTTTCTTTTATAAATAAACAATACGAAGAGATTAAAAACATCATAGACGAGAAAACTACAATTATTGAACAGTTAAAGAAAGACAATGATCATTTAAAAGACACTGTTAAAGATCTTGCCACTCGTTTAAATGTAGTAGAATTACATATGAGAGAGTGTAACATAGAAATTAATGGTATCCCGGAGCATAAGTCCGAAAATTTAACTAATCTTATCTCACATATGGCCCAAGTAGTTAACAATCCTTTGTCCTCTGATGACATACAACATGTAACTAGGGTGGCAAAGCTAAATAGAGATAGCGATAGACCACGCTCCGTAATTGTGAAATTACGCAGTCAAAAACACCGTGATGCTATCTTGGCAGCTGTCGTTAAGTATAATAAATTAAACGTTCAGGAAAAGTTAAATTCTCACCATCTGGGCATCGGCGGTGCTCGAACTCCAATATTTGTGTCTGAGCACCTAACCCCATTTAATAAATCTCTTCATGCAGCCACTCGTAAAAAAGCAAAAGAAATGAAATACAGGTTCACTTGGATACGGAATGGAAGAATATATGTAAGGAAAGACGAATTTAGTCAGGCAAAGTTAATAAAAAGCTTCGATAGTCTTCATGTGATAAATTAATAATAGAAATAATAAATATTGAATGTTGTGGTACTATTCAACATTAAAATGTTCGAGATATATTACCAGAATGTCAGGGGAATAAGAACTAAAACGGATGATGTTTTGAAGAATATTATTAATTCAAATTATAAAGTAATTGCCTTTACAGAATCTTGGCTGAATTCAAACATTTCTAACAGCGAATGGATTGATGATCGCTACATTGTCTACCGTAAAGATAGAGTATGTTCAACAGAATCTAAGAAGGATGGGGGAGGAGTAATGATTGCTGTGTCACGAGATTATTCTTCGTTTCATATCACTAGTTTTGACAATGATAACTTAGAAGCTATTTGGGTAGGGCTTGAGGTTGAGACTCATGGAGTAACTAAAAAACTTGCAATCTGTGTTGTGTATTTCCCCCCACCTGTTAAATTGGATTCTTTAAAACGCTTGTTTGATAGTGTCGATTTAATCTTGGAAGAGGTAAATGATATTATAATTTTGGGAGATTTCAACCTGGGATTTATAAATTGGAGTCCTTGTGATGAGTCTACTTACATGTCTCCAACAAACTATCAGAACACATTAGGTTTCTCATTAATCGATTTCTTGACATTAACAGATTTAAAGCAATTTAACTGTATAAGCAATTGTAACAATAGGATTTTAGACTTGGTAATTAGTAATATTTGTAATGTGTCCGTTGTTTCACCACTTGATTTATTGAGTAAATTAGATTTTTCACATCCAAATCTCTTGATTAAAGTTTCTTTCACTAATATGTCTTATCTTCGTCCAAAAAATCGTACAGGATTTAATTATTTTAAAAGTGATTTTACGTCAATTAAGTCTAAAAAGAAAAATGATTAACTGGCAGGATCAACTTTCCGTCTGTCAAAATGTTAATATTATGGTTAAAATTTTCTATGATTTGCTCTCTAAAATCATTGAGGAATATGTGCCGAAACGAAATGTATCGAGATCTAAGTTTCCACACTGGTTTCAGCCGAACTTGGTCAGACTTCTTGCTGAAAAAGACAGATTACATGACAGATTCTCTAAATATGGCAACCCACGTGATAAATTAGAATTCAAACTCATAAGAACTCGCTGTCATAAATTATATGACAAATGTTATAAAAACTATAAAAAGAATGTAGAGTCTAATATTACTAAGAACCCCAAATATTTTTGGAATTATTTTAAAAATCTCAAAAAAACTAACTCGTCGTTGCCTCAATTAATGAAATTGGACGATAAAACAGCACACTCCGGCCCCGAGACTGCAAATCTTTTTGCCAGTCATTTCTCCTCTCAAATAATAATGGAACCCAGATTTCAAATAAATGGAATGCTTTCTAATGATTTTATGGAACTTTTTAATATTCCGACTATATCAAAAGTAAAATTTACTGAAAACGACATTCTTAATAAAATAAATTTGCTTGATTATAAAAAAGGCGCAGGCCCGGATGGCCTTCCTGCTCTATTTGTTAAAAGATGTGGCTCAGCCCTCACTTTACCGCTGGTTATGATATTTAACCGGTCTCTAGAAGAAGGTACCTTTCCCGATGAATGGAAAAAAGCGCGTATTGTACCGGTGTATAAAAAGGGTGATTTAACAAATATTAAAAATTATCGACCAATATCTATTCTGTCTTGTTTTTCTAAGCTCTTTGAAAGTCTTCTTTACCCCATAATCTATAACCATCTAAATAATTTTATATCAAATGACCAACATGGGTTTAGAAACGGTTTTTTCGGTTCAAACCAATCTAGTTAACTTTGTCTCAGACCTAGCACTAGATATTGACAGTGGGTATGAAGTAGATGCTATCTATACCGATTTCAGCAGCGCCTTTGACAAGGTTAGTCATCCGTTACTTCTTACAAAACTAAGTCGATGTGGTGTTTCGGGCTCTCTCCTAAAATGGTTCATGTCGTATCTGTCTTATAGATCACAGGTGGTAGCGGTCAATGGTTTTCATTCTGATGCTTATTTTACCACATCGGGTGTACCACAGGGTTCTCACTTGGGTCCTCTTTTGTTTCTATTATTTATTAATGATGTCACAAACCACGTAAAATCATGTAAAGTCTCTTTATTTGCTGATGATTTAAAGATATATAGAAGGGTTGGAAGTCAATCAGATGTTAAAATGATTCAGAACGATGTAGATAGAATTTATAAATGGTGCAAAACAAATTTAATGACTCTCAACATCAATAAATGTTTTCATGTCAGATTTTCTCGGAAAAAAAAACCACTTGTGTCAGGTTATTCTATTGGCGACGCTCAATTGCAAAAAATAACTGAGATTAGAGATCTTGGTGTCATGGTGGATAGCCAATTAAAGTTTGTTTCTAATATTACTAGTATTATTGGTAAAGCAGCTAAAACTTTAGGTTTTATCAAACGTAACACAAAAGGTTTTTCTGTGAATACCAAGATTTTGCTGTACGATGCTTTTGTGCGTAGTCAATTGGAATATGCTTGTATTGTGTGGAATCCCATTTATACTATTCATTCTCAACGTGTTGAGAGTATTCAGCGCAATTTCACCAGGCATCTTGCCTTCCATTCAAAGGAGTTCTCGCATAGACAACCATATGTTCAAAGGCTTGTGCATTTCAAAATGCTGTCTCTTCGTGACAGACGATGTGTGCAGGGTCTCTGCTTCTTGCATAAAGTGCTTAATGGTGATGTTCAGTACAGTGGCCTAGTCGAACGCTTCCTTCTTAATGTTCCTCATAAATGCCGAAGGAATTCTATTCCGAACACATTTTACATCCCGCGTGTCAAAACTAAACTTGGATCCCAAATTCCGGTGGTGCAGTTAGCGAAGTCTTATAATGAAATTTGCAAAAAATTACCAAGTCTGGACCTATTTGGCGATTCGTTTTGTGTATATAAAAAGAAAATCATTGACTATCTTTCTTCCAATTCATAGTTTTCCTAAGTTTATATAATTATTATTATTATTATTATTTTTTTTTTTTTAAATTTGGTAATTTTTACTTAGTATTTTTGTTTTATAATAAGTGTGTATACTTTTTTGATTGTAGGTATTTGGTAAACGTTATGTACACTTTATTATTGACGTACATATCTGTTATTGTAATATAGTCACTTTTAATATGTAAAACTTTTTGATATGTATGTTGTTAGTGTACTTATAAATAAATAAATAAATAAATAAATGTAGACAGTATGTTTATGACATCAAATATGAAGTATGTATTTACACTGTAGTACAAACAATACCGTTTCTTATTTATCAATAATTTTTTAATCTGCTTTTAAAACGTCCAAGTCTGGATACAAACTCCACAACATGGATCAAAATCATCCTAACTATAATTTTTTAATATTTAAATCTGAACAAAGTTTTTTTATGTGCGTGTTGCTATAAATGTATGTAACGGGTTTTAGCTGCCTTTAAAAGTACTAAGAAAAAGCATTTAATGAAATAAGAAATATTATGTGATGATTGTAAAAATTATAAGTTCAATGAACAAGAATGAGTTGTATGATCAACATGCTGTATGAATAATTAAAAGAACAGACGATAGTTAAGAGTGAGCACGGGATGAGTGTCCGGACGACGATTAAACCACTTGAGTTAATTAATAAAATAAGATTCATTGTTTTTGACACAGGACCGACACATGCTATGGGAATTCCACTCCTTGTTACGAAAAACCCATTTTTTTTACTACATTTTAATTTTATAGTCTTACTCTTATATTGAATGACCAGCCACCCACGACTTTGTATGCGTTAAAAATAGTAAATCAATAAAATAACACCACCTTTCACTCGCGCGATAACGCTTCATTTCGAGCTCGGGATTAAAAATACCCTTGGACCTAGGTTACTCTTTATTACATCAGCTACCTGTCGATAAAAAAAACCGTTAAAATCGATCCTACCATTTTAGACATTAACCGGAATAGACAGGCAGACAAACATGGTAAATAAAAATTATTTTGATGTATGTACTATTCATACACATGTAGTAAAAAAACTCATTTCAATATTGCAGGCAGACACTCCAATATTTATTTATTTATTTATTTATTTATTTGTAATCAACAGCGTATACAGATTATATTTGTACAGTTTTTAAAACTTCATTAAGACTATGGCCAGAGAGATTACATTGTAAAGTGTTTAATATAATATTTTTAACAAAGTGGATAACACAAAGAGAGTAGGTGCAAAGAAAATAATTGTTAAAACATGCAACTAGAGGATATTAACAGGTATTTTTATGTGCGTGCGTGTGTGTGTGTGTGTGTGTGTGCTTATGTGTGTGTGTGTGTGTGTGTGTGTGTGTGTGTGTGTGTGTGTGTGTGTATGTGTTAGATGATACGCGTCCTCCAAGACGAATGGGTAGGGGCAGTGATTAACTTCAAAATGTATGTTACTAAATATCAGGTCTAAGGTTCTGAATTTGTTATTGTCAACTGTATTATGTTGTTTCAAATCGGAAAGATTGCATATGTCAATGAAATTCTCCGTAGCGTTTTGTAAATTGGCTGGTCCTTGATTTTGTATTATAGGTCCACTAATTGACCATTTAACATTCGGTAGGTTAAAGTCACCAGCTAGAATGATGTAGTCATTTGGTTGCTTGGAAGTAATTTCAGCTAGACGGGATGTTATTGATTCGAGACGACATGATAATAGGTCGTCTGGAGGAACGTAGATTAACCCAATATGAATGTTTCGATGCCCTTGATTTTTCAAATATTCACTAGGTATAGTTACCCAAAGGGATTCGACACCATGACAAGCCCATTCACTACGATGTTGGATGTGTAATTTTTTTAGGGCACAAAGAAGTACACCACCACCCTTTCTTTTTGTGGAAGTTTCAATATTTCTGTCACACCTTAGGATATCGTATCTGCTGTAACAGATTTCACGGTCATAGATACCATTTTTCAACCATGACTCAGTAATTAAAATTAAATCGAAGTTATGATTAAGAATATTTAATCTAAATTCACTAGTTTTAGTACATAAGCCCCGTACGTTTTGATAAAATATTTCTAAGGGATTAGCGCCTGATGGTATCCGTAATAAGTACCATAATATTAAGCTGCCACAATTTATTAAATTTAATAGTGTGTAGTTTTTGACTGATTCCGTAACAATGTATCAATTTACTGATTGAGAATTGGAATGATATTGGTATGGCTGAGTTAATATTTGGTTTATTTAAGTGTGTGTATCGTCGTTTAAATGTATGGAATTTGCTATATGAGTATCCAGGTGAATGGGAAATGTGTATGTAGTGCGTGTATTGTGAATATTTCCAAAACATATGTAAAGACGTCAACAATTTAAGAATATATACAGTAAAAAGCATAGTAGAATCTTTACTAGATAATATTGAACGAATTATAATAGCAGCATATTTAGCTATAATAAGCTTCTTTTTATTTATATATGTAATGATATTATTTACTGTATGTTTTTTTATATTTTTTAGCAATGTGTGTGTTGTTGTGTTAAATGTGGTAAGTGTGATTATGAATTTGTCATGTTTTAGTGAACAGTATCCCATATCAGTTTTAAATTAAAAATGTAACATGTTAAATGTAATTTTAACAAGCTGTAAAAACATGGTATTAACTATCTTATACTTATATGTATAACATGTTATTTTATTTTGTTCAAATCCCTTTCCGAACTTATTGATAAGGCTGGTGATTCTTCGTTCCTTCTTAAAAAAATTGAACAATTTCTGACCCAGATGAACTTGTATGATTTATCAGAAGCGATAGATTTTACCTTATTTAACAACTGCTTGTTCTTTGGGGTTAAGTGTTCGTTGACGTAGAATCTGCGAGGATCCCCTCCTAATCCTATATCTGTTGTACTAATGCCTCTAACTTTCCTTAAGCCGGATAGAATTGCATCCTTAAGTTCACGATTTTTAGTTTTGCAACAAGTGTTTTCGGTCTACCTGGCTTACTTTGCATTGGCTGAACTCGAGAGGCAAATTCAATCTGATCATGTTTAAGGGTAACCCCTGCATGCTTTGCTATCTCAATGACTAAACTAATTGGTGACTCTTTGGGTAGTTCAGGCAATCCTACGATTTCTAAGTTCGACATTCTTGCCCATTGTTGTTGGTGATCAATTTGTTTTTGCAGTTCTGAAACTTCTTAATCTGTATGTGTGATTCTTGCTTCTAAATTTTTACACTTTTCATCCAAGTTCTCATATTCAATACGTAACTGTGCATTTTCTTCCTCCAGTCTCTTAAATTCTTTCGCCATTTCCTTCCTTATTTCCGCAATAAGAGATACCTTTAGTTCGTTGAATATTGATTCCACCATAGGCTTTACTTTGCTATCGAAAATGGATTCCAATTGCTCGAAAATTGCCGAAGAACAAAGCAAAGTACCTTCCAAGTTTTCATTTTTGTGTTTTGTTATTAGATCTTGATTCAAATTAGGCGTGTTAGTAGTTGAAGAAGAAGTAGAATATTTATCAGATTCACTTTCTGTTTGAACTTGTGATTTATTGGCTTTCTTCCTCTTGTCAACCTCCGAAATGGCCACTTTACTGTTTTTAATTTTGCAATTGTGACATTTCCAATGTGCTCTTATACCGACTGAATCTTTACCAATTTTAACACATTCGGAATGGTAGTATAAAAGGCAGTGACAGCACTTAATTCGCTTCTGTGTCACTGCAATATTATCAGTACAAATATTGCAAGTAAAAACCATATTGTTCCACTTTTCACAGTAATTTCTCCACGGTAGAATTTGTATTAAATAAGCAATATAATTCAGGAAAAGGAAAAAAAAAAATAAAATAAAATATAAATTGTCGACCGGGATCGATCCCTGATTTCTCGATGAAACCCAAGTTCTCGCACCAATACACCACAACACTTTTAACGAGTGTGTCGAATGTTCTTTAGTGCTTCATCGCGTAGTGCTGATCGTAATTTATTTTATTAATGTCAGGTAGGAAGACAAAACAATTTGCACTATTTATTACAATATGTGTTTTACAATCACTTTAACTTTAATTATTGCAGTAATTCACTTGCAAAACACTGTTCGTTCTATGACTAACTTTTAGTTCTATAGATTGCTAACAAAAGCGCGGTTAAGTTTACACTTTTAGAACTGTTTTCGAATTTTTTTATACGGTGCACAGTAAAGACAACATGCTTGTTTTATATTACTTATATTCTATGTATATATTTCATATGCAACATCTATAAGACTATAAGTTATGTTTTGAATCGGTCGAAACAACTCCATTACAATCAATAAATACTTGTACTTACACAATGATGAATAATTCATTAAATTAAAACTTTCTGATGAGAATACGACGAAATATTTGTGCAAAACTCTTGTCAGATAACTTGCTCGGATCTGGTAGGACCTGCCAAGACCTGCTGGGACCTGGGACCTACAATACAACGAACAACACAAGTTTAATTTACAACGTATTGTGTTACTTATCTGCCTTTCACTTTAGAGGAATTGAAATCATAATTATTAAAAACAGAAATTATGATACAAACATGCATTCATTAAATAGTTTTATGTTTCTGTTTCTACATTATTGCGTTATATACTAAATGTGGATTACAACACCTAGTTCATGATTATAACTAACACAATGTTGTGAAGTGTAAGAGTAAGTAGCTGTAAGTAAGTGTGGGTCGATTATATTATTTTATTAGTTCATATTCGGATAGTGTTATTATCACAATGATATCTTTACATATGTATATAGTTAGCTACATACACATGATATTTTTAATTGGGTTTCTTGTAATCTTAATAATATTAATAATATGTTTCATTATGAGGCGAGTGAGTCTCGTGCTCGTCTCCAACATATTATCTAAACAGGTTTCTGCGGAGATTGCAGGTGAACGTCCTTGTCACCAGAGTATGTGTGAGGTGTCGATGCTGGTACATAGTGGTGAAAACACAACAGACTATAGGAAACATGCACGCGAAATATAATTATTATATTATAGAGTATGTATATTTTGGATTTTAAATATAATGTTCACAGTGTCACTGTAAGTATTATTGAACTGTAATTTTAATGTTATCTAGTATGTATTTGTTGTAATTATTTTCTATTTTCCTCATAGATTCCCTCAGCCTTGGACACATGTTATGAAATATATTTATCCTTTAATTACACAATATTTCAATGATCGAGTGAAGGTTTCTCCGTTATAAAATTACACCGTTAAATGCCGTCGAATCTGTATTGCAATGTCTGTATCTGTGTATGTGTGTGTGTGTCTGTCTAAGTGTGTGTATGTTTGTTCGAATCTCCTTGTGAGATGTTCGTGATATGAGCCCCCTGAATTTATTCTTTTACAACCCCAGTTTAATGTTCCGTATGTAATGTTTGTTGGATATTATTATTATTATTACCATTATTATATAGGGTGACTGGTGAATTAGTATCAATATTTAAGGAGAATACTCGGTACACGATACTCATTCGAATTATGTAAAAAAAATAGGTACTTAATTTTTGACAAAATTTCCGTATAAATAAATAAAGTGTGGACACGGTCCAAGTGTTCCAAGTGTGGACGCGTATGTGTGTGTGTGTATACCTAATCTGTAGGGTGTTCACACGATGCGTAATTAATTCCATAACTTTTGGTTAACTTTACTTAGAAGTTTATTAATATTTATGTTATATTAATTTTTATTTTGTCATATATGATCGTCAAATATCACGTCCTCAAATATCGATAGTAATTCACCAGTCACCCTGTATAATATTAAAATTATAACTCGGTGTTGTCTGTGATCAGTTCTCGTGTGTGATGATTGCACAATAATGTTCTGTGTGTGTGTGTGTGTGTGTGTGTGTGTCGTCACCGGGCTACCCCGCCGGCGGACTCACTGACTCACCTCGCCTCTATCACAGTGTTGTGTAATAGTTACGGTGAACTAACGATCCACTTTATATATTATAATGATTACCATAATATAGCACGAGCCACGACTGTCAACTCATTTAATAAATTAATAGACTCGTAGTGGAGGTTTCTGAACCTGTCGTGTGTGTTCTTCATTAGCTCGTTCAGATCCCTGCCAGTTAGTTTCCACTGGGTCCCTGGGGGGGGAGGGGGGAGGTGATTCATTCTTTAAATTCCAATACGTGTATTAGTTCGTTCGTGTGTGACGTCACACGAGGTCGTCTCTATACGTACAGTTTGAAGGTTCAGTGAATGAATGACTTGCAAGTATTCCGCGACTCAAATTCTTAGGATACCGATATTTCCAAACTGTCACCACATGATTCAATTGTTCCGTAATAGATTATTGTTATAGGAAGTTCCGAGAAGCTCGTCGCTGGTGGAGAAGCGGGTCGCGTCATCTCAGGGGATTCGTTTGAGACGAGACGACGCGAGCTGAATTATGATGAGACGGATAGCTCACCTCTATCACGAACATTAAATATAATATATTGAACTGTTTCTCGTTTTTTCTCAGTAAAGGCACTTGTGATAGTTAGATAGCCTCATATTAGTCACAGTAACTTCACAATTTATTTAAATTTAACATAGTTATATCTATTAATCCCTACTTTGTTGAAATTTAAATAAAAAGTCCCTATCCTCATTGAGCTGTTATAATGATCTCAAACTATTTCTTTATGTATGACCTAGCAAAATTTCAAATATAATTACATGTAGTCTATTTTATGGAGAAAACTTGATGAGATAGACAAGAAAATAACTTAAAGAAACAAAATAAATTCCCAAAGAGTCTTTTGATATATAATTAAAAAGAACGTGTCTCCTGTTATCAAACTATGAAACAGTATCACACTGATCAGAGCACGTCCCAAACGTCCCGTTATCACAGGAACAACCCGCTTTTAGAGACATTCATTGACAAATAGGCAACCAATCTTTATTTACACATACATAATTCTAGATTATTAAAAATGAAAAGACTGAAATACGAGAGATGCGTGTGTACCACGCTAAAGACAATTATATATCATTCCTATATAACGCCGCCCCGCCTCTCACTCGTTCTAGATAAAGCTTCAGTCCGGGTGCAGGATCCGGGTTCAAGATAAAAACCTAAGTTGCTCCTTATTACATCAGCTAATACCTGCCAATAAAAGTCTCGACGACTTCATCCAGCCTTTTCAGATATTAATCGAGATTGTAAACAAAAGATTGTAGACAACAGACAAAATTATAAAAAATATTTATATAATGGTGTATGTGCCGCATATATTCAGATGCATGTAATAAAAAAAAATATTATTTCTTAATACTACAAACAGACCATTTATACCAAACATATTTAGAGTGAATACATTAAAAAAGGTTTATACTAATCTTAGTCGTTTAGTTTAATAAAAGTTTTGAACAATTTCATTTTTCTATTTATTTGACCTAAGAACTTTTTTCAAAGTATCGGAGAACCTTTAAGAAAATAACCTTTGAAACATAAGGGTTCATCTTGTCTGTACCTTTATCTACGTATAAATTAACGTAAAATTACACTTATGTTTATATTTCAATTAATGTATATATCGGATTTATTACACATTCGTTGATTTTATAGAGAGGGACGCCAGCCTCGCTGACGTTACAAATGTCACTTCTTCTAGTACGGTCCATGATATTTTAAAATAAAACTTCAATTGATCTTAATGCTCCTGTATTTCTCAAAGATTCTTCATAATAACATACTTCAATGATACACATTCACTGAACTCTGAATTACGAGTATCAATTCTGAATTCTCAAATCTGCCGTCGTGCATCCAGACGTCATATTTTTTAACAAGATTTAAACATAATTCTATTCTCTTTTGATTTCGTTTTACTTTTAACAAGAATCATAAATACTAATGAGGTTTAATAAGAATTGATGACGGCCTCAAATTATTTTCAAGTCGCATCCGTTATTAAAGCTGGTAGCGCCGATATATATATTTATATTATAAAATTAATTAGAATGAGATGTAGAGAATTCTATGTTCTAAAGTCATGTTTATTAACTACAATATATTGTGTCATTTTATTGTATTGTTATTATTAACAATCACATGATACAAGTAACATTCTGTCTTCGACTTCGAGGCACCAACAGAACGGTGTTTGTCAGTATGTATGTTTCTGTATTCTATAAACTGTAAGAAGTCTCCTCTCGTGACGTCAGTGGTCTGCCGAGATCATACAGCGTGTAACAAAACGTGGGTTTTATGAGGTGTGTTGTGACTCGACGACACATCTCTAGCACGAGCCCGCGGCGGATTGGTCCAGCGCAGCTTCCCCAGGTGATCGACAACACGGCGGACGGGAAATCCGATACGAGCGATCAACACTGACATAACGAATGTAACAAATATTAACTCAATGTTTCGCAATAATAATAGTCATTACTAAAACCGTACAGTCTCTTGTTTATTTTGTCTTTATTTTTACCGTTCAAGGACAACTCTCGGCTAAAGATACAAACTGATAATCTAATCAGATAAACCCAACGATTTTCCATTAGATATAACTCAGACTATAACTAGCGTTCTGTTTTTGTTAATTTTATATATTAATAATTGTGAACAATAATTCTGTATGTAAAATAACCATGTTTTACAATGCAATAAAGAGTATGTATTAATGTGGGTTCTTTTATGAATTGAAACACAATTTTTTTTTTTGAGGATAGGAGTGTATGGAAAGAGACACGACAGCATCTTTTTAGGATGAACCAAACGAACTTATTAGTATTGATGTGTTTCTAATAAATTGTATAATTTTAATAATACCTCTAAATAATGGACTCGTCTTCTTTACGAATGTTTTGAAATAGCTCTCTGTCTAAATCAAAAATTATTTAACATAAAAAGATCCATGTTTCATAATATTTTAAGCCTTTTAACGCCTTTATATAGTACGGTAATGTAATATTAATAAAAATGTAACAAATTTTGCTTTCTATAGACGATCAAAATAAATTAATCGTATTTTTATTAATAGTATTTTTTATAATTAATATGGTATTTTTAATGAATAACGTTTCAGGATTTTGAAATATCATTCAAGTATAAAAAAATTATCTATCACCATATTACCTTTCAAACTCGTAGTATTAAAAACAAGTCAGATGACAATTAATATATGTATGTACATCTCCAATAATAGGTCTCATCCTGTGATGACGTCACACTTTACTTTAGAAAGGAAAACAAGAAACAACATCGACAAGCTCGAACAAACATGGACATAAGAACAATTTACAAATCATATTACTATATAGAGACTACTAGTTTTTACCTATGACTTCAGCTGTGTAAACATCGGGACAAACTTACAGAGGTGTATATAAAGTGTATTAAAACAATAACTAATCAAGTGGTAAAGACATCACTTGTCTGTGAAGGGACTAGGTATATGGTCATGCCATGATTCTGATGGAACTACACTCAAAACTGGGATTAATTGTATCTTATGTCGTTTTCTGGTGTGTAAGCTACATTACTGCAACGTTTCATCAAAATATATGAAGTAGTTTTTTCGAGCTACAAACATCATCATAAACTTACTTTCATAATATTAGTGAATTACGAATTAATAAGAATTTTGGCAGAACCTGGTTAAAGCTGGGAGGTTGCCAGGAAGAAGAAGACGGTTAAATAAGAATTTTATCTCGATCTCATAACTTCATTTTATTCTTATTAAGTCGTTTATTTATACATTTAATATTATATTTATCTTAACTGAATGTATCTAAGGAATTATTAAAAATATGTTCAGCTTCCCAATCATGTTGGAGCTTCTCTGAAGGAGTACTTTCATATAATTTTTCTACAAATAACGAAGTCATTATAGTGTTAGGGAAACATTTAATATATATATGTTACTCTTATATATATTTTCGTACAAACATCATTCCATCAATTATCCGATCAAGGAGGCTTTTCTATATTGCTTAAAGCTTAAAGGATAAATAAAAAAAAATATAGTCGTGTATCAGACATTTATTAAAAAAACATGTTACGAGATGAGTTTATATAAAGTATACTCAACATAAATATGAGGACTTACAATATAATAATTAACTGTTAAAAAATAATAACAACTTGTACATAATACATTACAATATAAACGTGAAGTACATCACAGTATATTTGATTTAACATTTAAGTTGAGATAATTTCACTTACATTTTATAAGTAATATTATACTAAATACTAATCATCATTATACTTCAACAGAAGGCCACGCATCACTCTACATATACACAGAATAAAACATTGACCTACATCAATTCTTTACTTCGTGAGTGATTCAGTCACAAAAAAATATAAACTTATAAAATGATATGTTAATTACGATTTCTATCGTGTTTCGTGGGGCGACTGACGAGCTCGAGACAATAATTAAAAGATTTACACAAAAAATAAAACATTTGGTTTAAGCTCATGTGAATACAATACAAAAAAATGTAAACATTCATTTTACTAAAATAATTGGTAAAGCACACTAGGAAGTACGTAGTAGGTACATACATACATACACTGAAACAATTGAAGTGAAGGAACTTACTAGTCGAGTGTCGAATGGATTAATGAATGAGTGAAGGAATAAGTGTTTGAATGAGTGAGTGAGTGAGTGAGTGTTGTGAGCACGCGAGGAGCACGTGCCCGCGGCCAGTGAGGACGACGACCGCTGATACGACCTATTATATGACCAGTATAATATGTCGATGAATCACTCCCACGTATTGAAATATAATATGTTCATTAATATTATTATTATTAGCTTTTATAAAAAGCTTTGTAAAACTAAATCAAGGAAAACTATATTTTATTCGTTTAATTATTGTCATTACATACTTTATTGTGAAAATATATTTTTAAATAATTTCTGTTCCTTACATCGATCCTGTCATAAATGTTAGAGGAACGTTTAGGCGATAATAATAATAATAAACATGAACCTGGTAGAGGTGACTAGAACCACGGCCTCAAGATGTTGAACATATTAAAATATAATATTATATACTCTTTGATACATTTTAAATTTCATGAATATTATAATTTATTAGTTTATCGTTTTTCAGACACGTCGTCTCCTTATCAACAACTCACATAAGTCGATTGTAAACAATACAATATAATATGTTATATAGTTGGGGGTCGGAGAGTCAGCGTCCAATAAACGATCGACGACTTATCATTACATGACTATTGGTGTGAGCGGAGTTACGGAACACAACACAACACACTGCACCTCACTGACGGGACGAACAACGACCCCGAACACCGACGAGACACAGTAAACTTTCAGAAATATGAACCGAGCGGAACACACACATATCACAAACACCTTCAGCTTCACGACAACCGACAACTATGAACACGAGGGCTGGAGCGGAGCGTCCGCTGAGACCGGCGGCGAGCGTGTGACACGCGCGCTCGGCCACAGCCTCCCCGCCGCGCCCCGCGCGCCCCGCCGCGCCCCGCCGCCACACGCCCGACCATACTTTAGGTGGGCTCTATTTAAGCAGGTCTACGTCTCCCCTCACACACTATTCGCAACAAGAGCTAAGTCGAGCGCACACACGACCTTCCAAAATGTGGACCGCGAGAGTAGTCCTAGCGACCGCGAGCCTCGCCCTCCTCGTGGGGGTGTCGGAGGCCAAGCCGACGGAGGCCCGGGACGTGAGGGTGCTGGACCTGGCGGAGGTGCTCAACAAGACCATGTGCCCCATCAGGGTGGAGATCGACGAGAACGAAGACCGCGTGCCGCGCAGGATCAAGACCATGAAGTGCGAGCAGCAGCCGGCCCACTGGTGCCGCTCGAGGAACCTGCCGCCGCACGAGTGCTGCCACCACCGGCACGAGCGGCACACCATGGAGTGCGTGGAGATGAGGGACACCGTGCTCGTGTACTACAAGTCCAGCCAGCGGACCGAGCCGCTCGAGGTGTCCGTGGGCTGCTCGTGTGTCATCGAGCAGACCACGCAGGCCTCGCGCCTGCCGGGGCCCACCTGATGCCGCTCACCTCCATACATACCTATATCATGGATAGAGTCCGACACTCGCCTGTGATGGTCGTGCCGAGCCGGGGCCGGGCCCGGGCCTGGAGGGTCCCTAGACTCACTCACTCAACCGTTGTGACTGTTTGTTCCTAATTTAAATTATTTATTATGAGTGTATATATAGAAATTAAGTTATTAAAGGTAAAAGCTTTAACTTTTATACAAGTGACTACAATCCTTTTATTTCTCTCCCCTTCTGTTTTTTAGTTCAAACTGTTCTGTAGTTCTTGATTTCATAATAATAAATCATTATTTTGTTGAAAAGTTAAATTCCATAAAGTTAACGTCTCAAAGCACAGCTTAATTCATTTGTAGCTAACATGATATAAAATGAATACATTAGAGGACGTTAGAGGACGTTTGTTGCGAGGCATTTATTAAAAATCAATAAATCTGCTGTAAATGACTAACAGTGTTCTACATACTGTGTGTGTACCTATACAACACTGAACACAGAACAGCTCGGCCGGAGGATGAGTCACTAGCGACCCGGAGGAGACGACGAATACACTACGAGAAGAAAAATAATATACAGAAATAAATATTAGTATTAGAGTTATGTTCTGTCTGTTTAAACGATAACAGAATCAAACAGGACCTGTAAAGATACAAATGAAAACACTACATTATAACGTTTCGTAAAAGAGTTAAACGAGTGTCCAGTTTATCGCCGCGGCTGTGACAGAGAAATGTGCGACGACGACGGATATACAAGGAATATTTTAAATAACACTATACATTATTGAATACACTCTGAACTCTCAGATTCAACGCCTGATAGGGAACAACAATCATGTATATTTACAAAAGCCTGAAAACAGTGTTACAAGTTCCCTTTCTAATTATTTACCGAACGGTAGGAACAAACCCTCCCCAAAAACTCACACTACACTACATCAACTACGGCTCAACGTCTGTCCGTCTTGATGATATACACACTCATGAAAAATTACGTCTTAGAAACTCTTGAGCGACTGCTCTCAACGTAATATAAGGTTGTATCAGTAACAGTCACCGCGGGACGAATCCATCCGACTGATTTTACAGAATGTAACACTTCCGAAGCTTCAGATTAACGTTACATTTATATATTAAGCACTGTAAGATTTATTTATGTTAAGATAAGAATTGTCTTTAGGTTAGAACAGGCAGTATGTTTCTGTTAAAAAGAACAATTATACCTATATGTATTGGGTTACCGACAGTACCGTATAGACCGTATTTTGATAATGAATATTTGATACAATATTCGTCACTTTTACTAATTTTTATTATTGATCCCGAACTAAAAGGTATAGAGATACGTAGGAACTAGGAATGCTCATATATTTATTCACTATATTATTCAATAGAGATAGTTTGCTTTAAAATATATTTACCTACAAATAGATCGATCATCGGTCCGTTGATCAGCGACTGAAGAATGGCTGCTATGACTTTACTTGTTTATTACTTGTGTAATGTTGTTAATAGTTTACGAACTGTATAAAATGTTACTTCCTTATTGTATCCCATCAATCCGCTCCTAACTCCTGGCTATATTATATTGTCTCACTTTGTTTATCATCATGACATCCACTCCCCCAAATGAAACTAATATTTTCGGATTACTACGCATGTTTTATCAATTTTTATAAACTATCTACTTCCGACGTTTCGGTTTCTTTACAGACCAAAGACGATTTACATATCGTTTGTCCATGATCAGGGTTTTTTAAAAAACATAAAATTACGTTTACCTAGTAATCCGAAAATATAAGTTTCATTTTAATAAATATTCCCGAAAGTCTTAGATCTCATTATCTGCTCTTTGACGAGATGTTTCAAACTCTACCCTTTTAGTAATAGGTATATAAAATATACTTTTTTTATTAGAAAATTGACAAACTAGCAGACGGAATACTTAATCGGCAGCAGTCACCGTCGCCATTGACTTTATTGACCTTGGTTATTGAGGGAAAGGGAGGGGAAGGAATAAGGAAATGCCAGGAAAAGGTGGGAACGGGGAAAGGACAACCGGCTCTCTCATTCATCGGACGAAAAGCAGCCATTCTGTGAGAGGGTGGTACTTCCCCGGTCGAGCCAGCACATGTACGAGCTGTTGTATTTTGACAACAGCTAGACTCTACCACTTACGAATAAGTAACAATTATATATCGTAGAAAATGTAAAATAATCATATAACTTTTATATTGAAATCAATAATTACTGTCTGAATTTATAGTGTAAATTATATAACAACTGTGATATAAAAACATATGAATTTAATTTAAAACATTATAGAAAAAGACCGACTAAAAAAACAGACTTTTTTGTTTATCCACTTATCACAATGATAATATCTACTGTAGCAATTCTTCTGAAATAATAAATTAATTTTACATATAAAGATATAAAGTCTGGTGATCAGGGTTGGCTACGTGACGTATATACATAGTTTGTGGACTAACGAAGTCGTCTACAGAAGACTCCGTCTACTATGACCTGATGGCCGGTACCCTCCAGGCTGGAGTCTGTACTGTACTTGAACATTATAACCAAGAAGCAGGTTATTTCTTTAACTGTCGTCAGCCTCGTCGTGTTGGAAGTGACCAGGCGAGCTTCATCATCTCCTGACAGGAGAGACTGACGTGTTGGTGAGACGTAACGCCACGAACATGAATGATTCAGATATACAACCGGAAAATATGGTAAATTAAAAATTGTCCTTGTAAACGTAGTCCTTGTGTAATATTATACAATGATATCTAATTTATAAAATGCACAATAAATTATAAGTTAATATAAATTAATTTAAATAATTTTAAATGCTCGGCTCCTCATTTGTAATGTACAATTATAAATTCGTTGACTTTTATATTATATCTGTTTTAGTAGGTGTATGACTCAAAATAAAATCATTATGTAATATATTATGGTAAAAACCAGAGTTATTAAGCTAAAGGTTTATCCACCTTCGATGTGTTACGTTCGGTGTCTCTCACAGTATTGTTATACAATCGTCACAAGATGATCTATGTGTGTAGATATCTAATTATTTAATTTTATTTAGAGTTTTTATTTACGAACCTCGTAAAGAATACCAAATAATGTTGAACTCGGATTGACAGAAATGTGAATTGGAAACAGAAAAAGGACATAAAATATGTTCTTTGTTGCTGATGCGAGGGAGGCCTCATACTAACACATTACCTGATCTCTAGAGAGTGAGTGATTCATCCTTAGAAAGAGAATCTCGTCCTCTAAAATGTAACAGACTACGCAGGAAGGATAGGAAATGTATCACATACGATTATTGATTATAACACGACTGAAATCTCTTTTGAAACTCTGTATTTGGTTTCAACGAGAAAAGTAACCAGTATTCCTATCTCGTAACAAATTGAAATTACTGTGAGGGATGACGCTACTACTAACTATTAATTATTTTAATAGAAAAATGTAACAGATCAAGTGAGCGGCTCCAAAATGAACCATGTTGAAAGATAAATTATATCAGTAGAACATTGAGGACATACAAAGGTGTTGTTTAGTTTGAGCCGCCTCCAACAAAAGAACGTTAAACTCGATGATGTTACACTAACAATTTATTATAATTTAGGTACCCTATTTGAGATCAAAGACATTGAATAAGAGCGTCACAAAGACTTCGCGTGTCGATGAGAGGACGGCGGGCCAAAACTATTAGATAACTGATAAATTAACTATCACCTTATTAATGAACTCATCACCAAACTAAATGGAATAGAACACTTTTTATTGGTCGCAAAAAAGTTTATGAATTGTAAAGAAACAATAAGGCTCTAATGTACACGAGATGCCGATTGCTACTACCTTGACAACTAACACAAGAAACAGAACAGAAATAAAACAAAAAAAATAAAGATCACATTCTCAAAATATGTTTTAAGCTTGTCAGTCCGTCTACTAGGTATCGAGGTGTTCCTACATATTATAATTTATGTTAATATTTGAATGACTCTCAAATAATTATTAATACGTTTTATCCCCTTCTCTTATACTAGAGTACAGACCATCAATCTCCACTAAACTAATTTTCATCATACTATCTATTCCCAGGACTTCTACTTCCTTCCCATCACTAATATTCCACACGACTAGTTTCCTCCGTTAATGTATTGTAGTGTTTAAGCTCTACTGTTCTGTTAACTCCTCGTTCTGTTTTCGGTGCGCGTGCGCACGGGGGAGGGAACATTTGACACGCCCACGCCGCTATGCCCCGCCCACACCTACACATACTCAGTAACGTACACAGACACACACAGACACAAAACAAAAACAATTCATAATCAAATGAAGGTTCATGATAATCGAAGGTCGCTGCAGTCGGTCCAGTCTTTGGATTTCCTCCTCTTTAAATATATTTTTTAATTATTGATATAACTCTTAATGTATTTAAGTAACTCCAACGTCAATATTTCAAATAATATCAAATAAACTTAGAAAAACCAACTCGGCCCCGGTTTCCCTGAATATTTTTTGTCGTGCGTCACCGCGAGGCGAGTGCTTCTCGAGCGACTCAGCAAACATATTATCTTGTAATGTTTACAATATGGACACACGCGGAATCAATCAATCGATATATTTGTTTATACATCTAACAAAGAAAACCCGTCGATAACAAACAAATTATTATTTGTAATGTCTACTGTAATGTTTGTAATATTAAACTACTTCAACTGCTATTTATAACCACACCAGTTTGTCCAATAGAAGTGTGTCATCAGTTCAAATAGAATAATATCGAAAATTCCAAAAGCATACTTGGTCCGACAAAAAAATAAAAACCCATATAATGATTGTGGACTAATACAGTTGTAATAAATATTCCCACATTACATCACTCATCACACCTCCACATATCTACATAGGGTACATCAGGTACCTACTCGTCACCAGCCTGACTCCTGAGCGTCTGTCGGCTCGTGAGCCGCCAGTGGTCGGTGGTGGATGGTAAGTCGCTCTACCTTTTCACCATCTCGTTGTCACCTTTAACAAAACACTGCGAACTGTTTGCGTGAACCTGAAACGTCTTCTTACCACCTATATAGGTAAGTACTTGAACCCGACATCACCTTTTAAAAATAGAGAGTGAGAATTCAATCTACATATAACGATTTTTACTTCAAACAGTAAGTAGGTGGAAGTGAAGCACAAAACGAACAATGTTATAATAAACATATGTACCTACATTTGTGTTTCAGATTTCGTTTTCGTTTGTTTCTGTTAGCTTAAAAGAATTAATAGGATGGAGTGTATTTATTGTACCTACCTAAATCTTGACAAAAAAAGACAGGCGATTACAATTAGCATAGGTAAGTACCTACCCTATATTACAGGGGACTTAGCTCAGTTGTTGAGGTAAAATAAACTTTGTTCTGTGCCCTGCCTATATAGGCCAGTGCAGATGCCTCTAAAAATAATGAAAAGTGAAAATAAATTATAGTAGAATGAAACCTAATAGAAAAGGAGGGGAATATTATAAAAATTAAGGGAAAAATAATAATTTACGGGCGATCTGAGGTCGGGAAGGGTACGGGCGTGCCGCGTGGGTATTTAAGGGTAAAAAATGGGTTTTCTCGATTTTCGGAAAAACTAAGAGTCCTAATGAAAAATGTTATATGGCAAAGTTGTAGGTAATAAAAAGATCTAAAACTGTTGTATTTACACTTTTTTCACATTAGCTCAAAAATTACGTAAAAAACTAAAAAAACCAAGCTTTTGGTTTTTTATTTTTATCTTTTACAAAAAACAATATTTTGTCCTGAAATTTGGTGGAAACTTACCTTTTAATGTCCCAAATACACTGTAATTTATTTGATTCGAAATATTTATTTTTTCAGCTTTATATTGAATGAATAACAAAAAATCAGCCTCATTTTCAATTGAAAAATCACACGTCAAAATATCAACTATTTTCAAAAATTTGGTATGTTTTCTATTTGTTGAAATCTCTATTTTCTGATGGTAGAGAAAAAAATATAAGTTTCTTACTTACAGTAGGTACCATTTTTGGATAAAATAATCATGTCTCTTTTAATGAAATGACACTCAACATCGTTTTGAAAATGCTCTTTTTAATTTATTTTTTATAGTTGTTTACTCTGGAAGTTCTCCAAATAGTCCCTCTTTTAGCTTATTTACAGAAAATTGACATTTAGCTGCTAAAAGTATTAAAAATAAATTGAAAGAGCATTTTCCAAACGCTATCGAGTGTCATTTCATTAAAAGAGACATGATTATTTTATCCAAAAATGGTGCTACAAGTAAGAAACTTATATTTTTTTCTTCACTGTCGGAAAATAGAGATTTCAACAAATTAAAAAAATACAAAATTTTTGAAAATAGCTGATATTGTGACGGGTGATTTTTCGATTGAAAATGAGGCTGATTTATCGGTATTTATTCAAAATAAGCTGAAAAAATAAATATTTCTTATCAATAAAATTACAGTACATTTGTAACATCGAAAGGAAAGTTTTCGCCAAATTTCGTGACAAAAAATTGTTTTTTGAAAGAGATAAAAATAAAAAACCAAAAACTTGGTTTTTTGAGTTTATCACATAATTTTTGAGGTGATGTGAAAAAAGTGTAAATACAAATGTTTTAGATCTTTTTATTACCTACAACTTTGCCATATAACATTTTTCATTAGGAATCTTGGTTTTTCCGGAAATCGATAAAACCCATTTTTTACCCTTAAATACCCACGCCCGTACCCTTCCCGACCTCAGATCGCCCGTAAATTATTTTTCCCATAATTTTTATAATATTCCCCTCCTTTTCTAATGAGTTTCATTCTACTATAATTAAATTATGTTTTAAAAGCTATCGGCACTGGTCTAACAGTTAAAATTTTGACATGTCTTTAAATAAACGTCTTAGAATGAATATGTACATTAATCGGCGGTTTAGAGTAGCATAAGACGTTGACTGGCGAGGGAGAAGCTGCTGGGGCGTGCGAATAAGAATGATCATACTTAAGTACATACATAAAAGAACGAACCGTATTCTCCTCAAACCAATTACAATTGTAATGACCATCGATTAAATTCCACCCTGTACTTTCAGAGGCAATCATTATTGGTTCCTTTAAATAACAATTTCGCCATTCAACTTGCGGATGGAACGGTTTAATATGACTGTCACTGACAGACAGACATTCAACTGGAAAACACTTCTTAAGGTACCTAGTAGGAATATACTAAGTACTAACTATGCGAGGTACAGTTTCAGTTTTGATTTTTATTGTTCAGCGCTAAGCCTAGATACTCTCAGCTATGTCCTACAAAATAGCTATTATAGCTGTTATGACTATTTATAGTTTTCAAATACCAAATGTTCCCATTACAAAATAACAATGGTTCAGCATTATAATAAATTATACTTAATCAGTCATAAAAATAATTCTTAGGATTATAGTATATTACAATTAGTAACGTCACGGATCCAGCCACTTGTAACAATAAGTATATTTATAATAAATTTAGTTCTTAATAACTGTTGCCGTAGTTCGCGTTGCCAAGACGGTAGATTTGGTGAATCATAACTTATTACTTTTTTCATGAACACTATCGGATTGCTGGTGTTATATGTAGCAAGAACCTTCTCATTACGCACTTTATTTAATATTGACCAATCATTCAAACCATACATTTGATATGCATATTGCATATTTCTCTACTGTCGGAAAAAATCCAAGTAGCTAAAGGGTAGTATCTATTGATACTGCAATAGCTATAGCACAACCCACCGAAACTGAGGACTACGTTTCAATTTTCGAGTAACATACAATTATTTAATCTAGTAAGTTTGTTATTTTATAATTACTTAAGTCAACATTATCAATTTATGCAAGATTAACTGATCAATCTGAATTTCAATCAAAATAAAAAGAAATATTACAAAGTAGGTACAGTTTTGCACTTCGAGTTATTTATGTTATTTGTATTCTGGTAAGTCGGATATTCAGATCGACACTAGAGGACTGTTAATCGAATAAGAACCATTAAAGACAAATGCCGAGTGAGAGCTGGTTCTCACTTGTCGGGTGTCCGATACTAATATTAATTGGAGGTCGGTGCCTCTGTCCACACGTCGGTTAGTAATTGGCTGTCGGCTGAAGCTAGTCCCGATTTAAAGCACTCTGCGCAAGGTGACTGGGCACGATTCACGAAAACAAAGCTCTTGTTGTTACGTATTATTATTTAAGGAGAAAACAAAGAGAGCAAAAGAAAAAAATATTGAGTGCACCCAATCCTGAGGGAACGTTTGTTTTGGGAACATTCCAGAATTTAATAACAGAATTGAGAAGCGACGACATCAAGTTACCAAGTATTTTTTAACTTTACAAAAAAAATAATAAAACTTAACAATAATTTACAAAATAGGTTTCCAAATTTAGCATTGCCAGGCGTCCGGATAAAGCCGGACATAGTTAGGCTTTATGATTGCATGTCCGGCCAAAATAAACAGTGCCGGCTTTTGTTAGGCTTTTTACATTTGGCAAATGAGCGAGCACTGCCGCCGCGCCGCAGAGCGTTTTGCGATAGGACACTATAAGTATCCTATCGCAAAACAATGTTGCAATCGACGATAGCAAATGTTTTAACTTTTAACCCACTGCAAAATCTTAAAAATTTTCTGAATACTAACAAAGAGAACGTTTATTTCAAGAAGCTATTAGCATATATATGAAATGAGTAGCCTATTTTAAATCGATGATAAGTCGAGATTTCTTTCAGAATTCCTAACTATTTGTTAGTATTTTTTTGCTATTCCAGGACATAACGCAAAACGTTGAAAGAGTTTTTTCCTTGATAGGTCAGCAATGGACAAAAGAACGCAACAGATTACATTTTGATACTGTTGAAAAATTGTTGGTTGTAGAATTTAAAACATTTGACATGTAAGGATTTTTACAACTACATTTAGAAAGAAACTGAGCTCTAAAAGCAGGTTTCGACAAACAAAAATCTTAATAATTAGTTTTATTGTGTAACTCAAAGAGAAAATGTTTTTTTTTTTGTTTATTTTAACTTAGAAAGAAGTTATTTATTTTTTTACTAAAAAATGTCTTATTTGTTCATAAATGGTTAATCATCTAGAATTTAATTTTATTTTGTAACTCAAAGAGAAAAAGTTTTTGTTTGTTTTATATTTTAACTTAAAAAGTTATTGATTATTATTTTAGATAAAAAGTATAATTTGTGTCTTTCTTATTATTTAAGAAAAATTCAAATATGTGTATAAATGTTTAAGTATCTAGAATTAAATTTTGACTGATAATTATTTGAATGAAATCTAAGACTGATTTGGCATTCGATTTTATTTCTTATTTCACTACAAATTATCAAGATTTATGATAATAAACAAAAAACTCCATTTTACATTAAAAATTGTCGTACCTATTAATACTAAGACAAAATCCTCAATAATATAGGGTGTCCGGCTTTTTTAAACAAATGTCCGGCCAAACTGGCTGGTCTGTCCGGCTATTAGGGTTGGCGACCTGGCAACGCTTTTTCCAATAAATGTGAATATTTTCATATAAAATACTCCGCTACTTGAACCTTCGATTAATATTGAGATCCGACACCCGACAAGTGGGAACCAGCTATGTGAGTGTCTCGTGTGTGGTGGCCTGGTACAGGTTACGAGGAGAAACATTAAAAGTAGTCGTATAATAAAATATATTTATTAAAATTTTACAAAAGTGTCCCTTCGTTCTGAACGTTAGCATTCTATAAATAATGTATAACAATGTGTCCTGTCACGTCATCGCCGTACAGCCACTACCAGGATCACGTGACCTCCGTGTCTCACATAACACGTCTTCACACTCACCGAGGATAAACATTCACCAACAAAGTGCTGTTTTAACAATGGGAAAAGTCTATTTAATGTGGTTACAGCGGGGACTCGGTTTAAAAACATTACAAAACATTCATTTTCATTCAATTATCACGAAAAATAAAATATCTAAATGAACGCCGGGTACACGACGCTCTTAAAATATGTTTCAGGATGAAGGCAGCACATCATCACCTCCTGGAGGTCCTTCTCTTGAATCTGTGGGTGTGTGTGTGTTACTGAACGTTAGGCACATGTCTGATTGTAACTCAATATACAAAAACTCACACGGGGCTCGTGGGGGCTTACACACATGGATACGGGAGGGGATGGACAGGTGGAGAGGGGAGGGGGGGGACACAATGTACACGAACATGTCATATACAGTCGAGTCAGTCCTTCAAGTGAAACCAGACACCTCCACCCCGGGAGACATGTTTGGGGAGTATGACTCTCTGGATAATTAACATACATTTTATTCTAATTCATTGAATTAAATATATCTTTTGCGCTTCACAAAATAAATACCCATAGAAAAGCTTAACGAATATTTAAAATCACAACGAGTATAGTCTGTTAGACTTGAGCTGAGCTTTGCATTTGTGTGAGTGAAAGTAAAAGTAGAGTTAGACAAAAGCTTTTAGAATTAAATTTTATTATATTTATATTTAAATAGATACATAACATAAGTGCTAGAGCTGTAATTAAATAAGTGATTTAAAATAAAATAACAAAACTTCTGAAAGGCCAGATGTAAATATAAAAAAAAAATAATAATAATTAATAAAAATTTTGAAAAATCTATACAAATTCTTCTTCACTTGACACTCACACAAATGCAAAGCTCAGCTTAAATCAATCACACTATACATTGTAACGTAAAATTTAAAATATAGATAATTAACAATTATGTATATTTAAAAAAATACATTAATATACCGGGTACACTTCTTATGTAAGTATCGAAATGTGGGATTTGCTAACAATTCCTATTACACTACGAGCCTACACTGACATCATAAGAGGAGACCGGGGCTGGTGGAGGGAGGTGATAGGGGAGATAGGGGAGAACACAGCAGAGCGACAGATAATTTATCGTCTGTATTATTATATTAATTTGTTTCTACTACATACGTAAACCTGAAAACATACATTTTGGTGTTGGATCTAAGTTACGTTTACTGTGAGGAGGTTGTCACCTTTCACAAGCTGCCCCCTGATTTCTCGTTGCAACTCATATATTGAAACATGATTCTGACCCGGTCTGCACTGGTCTCATTTTTTTACTATAAGCTTACGAGGAGCAGTTTAATTTTGTAGATTGAATATATTTCCGAGTATTATTTACGATATTCATATACCATTGACCCGGTATCGAAATTACTGATTATAACAATTAAGGATGACTGATGGATGATGGAGAGGTGGAGAGGAGCGCGGGGGACGGTGTATTAAGTATAGTAGTAATACGTTAAAGAGATGACGATGCGCGTGTGTGTTCATATCTCGGGGTCAGAGTAGTGCGGGTCGTCGGCGTCGTCTGACTCGGGCGCCGCGCCGCCTGCTGCTCCTCCTGCAACACGGACACGGGCGTGAGGAGGGCTGGCTGGCCGGGGGGGGAGGAGGGCTGGTGTGTGTTTACTCACGCGCGCGCCTCGTGTAGTGCCTCCTGGCGGGCGGCGGCCTCTCGTCCGGCGCGTCCGTCAGCAGCGAGTTCCTGTAGGCGAGCAGCGGCGCCCACTCCTCGCCCCACTGCATGCTCGAGAACTTAGTCTCTGCGAACTGAACAAAGTCGTGATGAGAAGGTCACGGGTGAGGCGGGCGGACGGGGTCGAGGGACGGACTGGTACCTTGAGCACGGCGCGCTTGTCCTGACGGAGCAGCTTAGCGGAGAACTCGGCCAGCGGCTCCAGGAACAAGAGGTTGGGCGGCGGGCCGGGCGCCGGGCCCTCCAGAGCGGCGAAGGAGACGCCGGCACGGTGCAGGGCCGTGAGCGCCTCGCGGTTCTTGACGGCGTCCAGGCCGAACATGACCGCGAACCGCTTGGCCAGCTCCTTCACCTCCAGGAACTCGCCGGTGGTGCGCGCGGGCCGCGGGTGCAGCCGCAGCATGTCCGTGAACAGCATCTGCATGGCCAGCTGCATGGTGAGCGCGCAGCCGAGCTTGTTGATCTCCCGCGCCTTGCTCAGCGTGGCCTTGATGATGTCCCCGTAGTCGTTGTAGCACTGTAACGACAAATTGTATGACAAAATGTTGTAAATTTAATGTATGTATGTTATGGATAAAGATATGTGTTAGTATATTTATTTGTATTTCGTGTGTAATGTATTTATTTAAAAAAAAAGTCTACTTCAAGTTTATAATAATAAGTAGTTTGTTGATATTGTATCTACACTATAAATTTGTATTGCAAATGGTCTCCACTTTATTCAGGATTTGTGGAAGAGATCTCTTGTTAGAGATAAGATATCCCTTGTACACATATATTATTAATAATTTACTGTATACTTTGTTGGTACAAAAATAAATAAATAAACGACGGCCGGTCAGTGAGCGCCGCTTGTCCCCGCCGGAGCCCGCTCGCGCCGTACCTACCCGTATGTAGTGTTTGAACACGTCCGCGGCGCGCCTCAGCGGGGCCACGTTGTACACGATGAGCTTGCAGTAGGCGGCCAGGAAGTTCCTTCTCTTGTGCAGCTCCTCTATGCGTCTCTCGTCTTGTCCGTCTGTAAGGAGGGTGGTTGTAGCGTGTGTTGTAGTCACACGCCGGTCTCTGCACGTCTAGTTTGTTCTGCGCCACCACTTCACGTGGCCGCTGTTCTCGCTAGACTTCAGAGACCAGTTACTAGTATCATATTAAAAGCGACGTGAATCAGTTTTCGCTTCGACTCTGCGATCCGACCCCACGGGTGTTTATAACACGAAACGTGGGTTTGGATTCAGGAGGATTAGGGCATCGGAACCCGTCAGTCGACAGCGATCCTTGAGTCACGAGTCGAACGACATAAACACTGAATATGGAACATGCTTCACACTAAATCATAATCTACTGATGATAATAAGAATAAGAAGCTCGCCCGAGACCGCGGGCGTCGTGTGACAGTGGCCGGGGTCGACCAGTGAGAGGAGATAGGACTAACATAAAGAATGAGAGGCAACCAAAACAAACTGTGACGACCGAACATGCTCAGTACGGAAACTTGAAGCGTGGCAGAGAACAGAGGCGGCGACCCTGAACCGAGCGGGGAGCGGTCCGGGGTCGCCGGGACAAGCGGCCGCGATAATTTTCCCTTAGTAATGTTAGTGAACGCCCTCGGGTGGACGCGCGCGAGATCGACGGATGAGACTAAAATATGCATTATTGGACGCGGCTGCGACCGCCCGCGCGGGCCAGGTTGGCGGGGCGAGGGCGGTCGCTGCATTACTAAGGTAAAATACGCCGTCCGGAGAAATATGACTGCTTACCGAGCGTCCGACGACCGCGCGAGGTGACATGCAACCAAACACAGCACGTTACACACGCGAGACACGCGACACACTCGGCTCACTACGTGTTTATTCAATAATGCATATTTTTGTCTCACCGTCGCTCTCTGGGGGACTCGACATCGTGTATCCAAAATATATAGCGGTATTATTGAATGATAGAACTCTTATCAAAAGTACGGGATCGATGCGACGGAAAGCTGTCTCAGAGTTTATGTATGTTGGGACACCTTTAATATAAAGCGGTATCAAGTACGCAACAAGTTACAATGGTTACTCATTCGCACTTCTACATTAACATTCGATAGGAATACAGGAATACGGAGGAGAAAAGTTACATAAATGAATTAGAAGGTTTACCACGAACTATGAGGGTGGCGCGACGTAAAAGAGAGGACATACGGTCGAATGATCCCAGTCGCACTCACTCACACACACACGCTCGCGCACACACACACACACACAGCCGTCGGGGAGGGAGGACGAAGGACACGCGGCGTTACCGTAGTTGTTTTGGACGAACACGAACTCTTGCACGAAGGCGTTGAGCAGGTCCATAGTGGCGCTGTCCGCCTCCAGGGCGCGCAGGCCGGCACCCGGGCCCGACGAGCCGCCGCCGGGACACTCCGCGAAGAAGATCAGCAGGTCACACAGACTCGTGTAGGCCTGCGGGCGGACGAGACTGTGAGACGGGGCGGGGGGCGAGGGGGGCGCGGGGCGGTGAGTCTCACCTCCTTCTTGAGGTCGTTCGTGGCGCCGGAAGCGATGATGTTCCGGCAGTGAGCGGCGTAGGCCAGCAGGCGCTCCCTGAGCGGCGCGGGGTCCCCGCCTCGCTCGTCCAGCTCGTGCAGCGACCACAGCACGGAGTAGAAGCAGGCGCGCACCACGTACACCAGCGCCTGCGTCGGCATCAGCCCCGGCGACACGCACTTGGGCAGGTCCTCGAACAGCGAGTCCCAGATGTTGGTGTCGTTCAGGTTGTGGCACATGTACATGATGGACACCTTGCGCAGCGAGTTGATCACGTTGAACACCTCGTCCGCGTCCGGCGTCTCCTCCTGCGGACACGAGGGGCGGGTGAGTGGTGGGCGGGGCGGGGGCGGGTCGCGGAGGCGGGGCGGGTGACGGGTCGTACCCCGTCGATGAGGTTCCGGTACTCGTCGATGGCCTCCTTGTATCTGTTGACGCACATGTCGGTGAGCGTGGCGCGCGCCACGTTGCAGCGCGTGTAGACGGCGTGCTCCTCGCTGCACAGGTACTCCAGCGTCCGGCCGCACGTCTCCAGCACCTCGGCCTCGGTGTGAGTGCTGACTATCTCCCGGATCTTGTTCAGCAGCAGCGTCAGATTCTGCGTCAGAACAACGGGCTCGTCAGTAAGTCAGTGAGTATTGTATGTATGTATGTGTGTGTGTGTGTGTAGCGCTCACTCCCTCCTGGCGCTGCGTGGTGTACAGCTCGAGGTCGAAGTACTGCGGGATGGTGACGAGGTTGTTGAGCTTCTCGGGGTCGGCGCCGAACTTGTCGAGCAGCGCGGGCAGCGCCACCATGAAGTGAGCGGTCATCTTGAGGCGGTCGTCGTTGGCCGCCTTGGCCTGGTCCTTGGACAGCGCCTGGTGCTGCTTGCGGGACGCGCCGCGCCCCACCGGCGGCTCGCCCGTGCTGGCCTGACGCACGCAGCACACCATCAGCTCGATCAGGGACGACTCCTGAGGGTTCATACTTGACTTAATTTATGTGTTTGTATGCTACCTCTAAAAACAACCCATGAGTTGGATAAAAATTACAGTCGCACAAAATAAAAACTGTTTCCAACTGTAAATTAATTATTGTTATTAGAATATATGTAATGAAATAACATTTCTTCTCACATTCAGATATAAAGAAGGAACACTAATTGATTATGCTTTAAAAAAGGAAAGGCTTATACTAGATATAAACAAATCAATAGACTCCAAAACAATGATAGATCTTATTGCAACAGGTTTACCTGGGCTTATCTTAAATAAGTTCAACAGGGATGAACTCAATGACACTAGTGATTTGTTCAATGAGATAAGAAAATATGAAGGTATGATGTACAAGAAAAACTCAAGTACAATAAAGACTAGTACATTCCTTTTTAAAAATAAAACTAATGAGAAGAAGCCATGTAAGACTTGTGAATCTTTGGACAAGGGAATTAGATATCATGAGGAGACATGCTGGTTTAAGAAAAATAAAAATGAATCTGAAAAGGTTTTTAAGCCTATGAATGTAAATAACAACTCCATTATTGAAGTAGATATAAATACATAGAAAAAACCATACACCATTAATCAAAATCACGCTTTTATTACAAAATAAACTAGAAGTGAGCGGTATTTACGATTCAGGTTCACAGGTCTCTTTAATAAATTCAAGACTGATTAAAGTAAAAGAAAAGAAGGACAATGTGAATATAGCATATATGAAGATGGTTAATGGTGTGAAGAAAACAGATGGCTTGATAACAATAAAAATATTAGATTTAGAAGAAGAGGTTGGTATATGTCATAGAAAATGAAGATTTTATAATCGGATTAGATATGATAAAAAAATTCAAACTAACTCAAAATGATTACCTGCAGATAGAACAAAAGAAAATAACAAATAAATTAGATAGAATGTCTCAACATAACAGAATTGAAGAAAAGAATATAAAAACATTTGCAATAAATTTTAATGAACACATAGAAACCGAAGAATTTATAAGTAGGACAAACCATTTAGATAATGAAAAGACAATTGAGATAGAAAAAATTATAAAAGAATTTAAAACAATTTTTGCCAAGAATAAGTATGATATTGGATCAGTTAGAGGTTATGAAGCCCACATAGATTTATTAGTAAATAGATACTGTAGTAAAAGACCATACAGATGTACAATAGAAGATAAATTGGAAATTGAAGAGCAAATATCCATGTTGCCACATTGTACCATACTCGGAGAACATATAAAACATATAAGAAATGTATTAAAGGCAATAATAAAAGAAGGCTTTAGATTGAAATTTATGAAATGTACCTTTGCTTCAGACTCGGTAAAGTACCTCGGCCATGTAATTCAGAACAATTCATTAAGACCACTGAAGGATAATTTGATCTCTATAAAAAAATCCAATCCCTATGACACAAAAGAATATCAGACAATTTTTAGGAAGAATAAACTTCTACCATACATCCCAAGAAGTGCAATTATTCTTGACCCATTACATAATTTATTACGGAAAAATGAAAAGTTTGTATGGTCAGATAAGTGTGAAGAATCATTCAATCAAATTAAAAGATATTTATGTTCTCAGCCTGTGTTGGAAATATTCGACAAAGACTTACCAATAAAAATATTTACAGATGTATCTTCAGAGGGTATCGGGGCATTATTAAAACAGACAAAGCCAGATGGTAAAGACAAACCCGTTGCATATTTATTCAAAAAAACTAAATGAAACTCAAAAACGAAAAAAAGCTATCTATTTGGAATATTTGGCTATGAGAGAAGCAGTTAAATACTGGCAACATTGGCTAATTGGAAAACAATTCACTATTTACTCTGACCACAAACCTCTTGAGAACATGAATATTAAATGCAGGACAGACAAAGAATTGGGTGAACTCACATATTACCTATCTCAATATGACTTTACAGTAAAATATATACCTGATAAAGAAAATGTAGAAGCAGACTGTTTGAGCCGAAATCCCGTATTAGAATCAGAAGATAACAAAGAGGAATGATTAAAAATAGTTAATTTAATACAAATAAAAGGTATAGTTGAAGAGCAAGCGAAAAATGAAACAATAAAAGAAAACAAAACAAAATCTACTATACAAAAACAAAATTTATCATAAAACAATAAAAAAAACATGAAAAGATAATACTCTCAGAAGAATTTAGTAAAAAATTTATAAAAAAAGTAGGTACATGAAGATTTGTGCCATATTAGAATCAGACAGTTGCAGAAGAAAATAAGCCCAATATATACAGCTAAAAACCTAACAAAAAATATCATAAATATTTGTAAAACCTGTGACATATGCATAAAAAATAAATCAAGATGTCAAGGAAAATTTGGATTAATGTCACAACTGGGACCAGCAACAAAACCATTTGAAATTATGTCAATAGATACTATAGGGGGCTTTGGAGGATCAAGATTTGCTTTTATTGCGACTTCAAAAACACAGAATGCAAGTGACTTTATAAAATTAACAAAGAATGTACTAGAGACAGATAAGATTGGAATAATTATGACAGATCAATATCCAGGAATCAATTCAAATGAATTTAAGCAATATTTGCATGAGAATAACATTAAACAAATTTTTACAGCTGTGAATACACCATTCTAGAACGGGCTGAACGAACGATTAAATCAAACAATGGGAATAAAATAAGATGTAAAATAAATGAGAAAAATAATAAGAAAAAATTGATGACTGTGGCAAGAGAATGTATATAGAAATATAATGAAACAGACCATTCTGTTACAGGGTTCGCACCAAAATATTTACTGGATGGTACAAATGTCAGGATTTTACCGACTGAAATTAAAACAATAGTAAAGGAAGACAAGTGTATTGCTGATAGACATTTAGCATTAGAGAATACAATAAAATCCTATAAGTACAACAAGAAATTTTCTTTGATTAAAATAGGAAAATGCAAGAGTTCGAGATAGGAATCAATGTATATGTATAAAGTGGAAATAGACTGAACAGAAAAAAATAGACGAATTAAAAATAGGCCCTTTCAAGATAATAGAGAAAATATCAAACTCCATTTATATGATTGACACTGGCAATAGAAAAACAGAATCAACTTTATTCAATATATCAAAATTACAATGTGTCACAGTAGAAGACATAATAGAAGAAAACGAATATGAAGATAATTTGTAGGTATGTATAGATTATATTAGGTAGAATCCTCGATCTTAGGGGGGAGATGTAGTGAAATGGAATTTCATAAAATTCAAATTTGCCGCGCTTCGCGCGTTTGTGACTTGTCGGCCAGGGACGCATCACTATTCACTAATGGCGAATTATGTTTAAGTTTTTGTGCACTTTATAATAATTAAAATGTGTAGAGAGATAAACTAAGGAATATAATTGAGGAGGCGATATTAGTGGACTTTAATGTCGTTTCTTTGTATGTTCAGAGAAACTAATTGTGGTTTGCTTTGAATGTCCTTGATAATATTCCTTATACAGGGTGACTAATGAATTACTATCGATACTTGAGGACGTGATATTTGACGATCATATATGACAAAATAAAAATTAATATATCATAAATATTAATAAACTTCTAAGTAAAGTTAACCAAAAGTTATGTAATTAATTACGCATCGTGTGAACACCCTACAGATTAGGTATACACACACACACACACTCGCGCGCGGCGGCGTAGTGTTGTATCAGCACGCCGCCGCACGCGTCCACACTTGGAACACTTGGAACGTGTCCACACTTTATTTATTTATACAGAAATTTGGTCAAGAATTAAGTACCTATTTTTTTTACATAATTCGAATGAGAATCATGTACCCAGTATTCTCCTTAAATATTGATAGTTATTCACCAGTCACCCTGTATAAATATAAAGATCATTAGTGTAGTCTGTGAGTGTTAGGGGACCTGTCTGTTGTCGAGCGGCTCCTCGGTGGGGCCGGGCTCCTCCAGCAGCAGGTCCGTCATGCACTCCCAGTCCTTCATCATGGGGTTGGACTCGATGAGCGAGTCCACGAGGTAGGCGCCGTGCTCGTGCAGCTCCGACTCGATGAAGAACTGCACGAGGTCACGCACCAGCGGCGTGTTGGGCAGGCGCTGCTTGCCGCGCCGCGAGCGCGCCGGCGGGGCGCCCGGCTCATCGGGCCGGAACAGGCGCACGTTGAGGAACTCGCCCGCCGCGGCCGCCACGCTGCGCCACGACGAGTACACCAGCTCGTACACGTTCTCGCAGTCCTTGTCCGTCAGCACGTCGGGGTGCATCCTGCGGGGGGCGGGGGTTGAGCGTGCAGTGAGGCGTGTGGCGGGCGAGGAGTGGGCGAGGACCCGGCACTCACTTGAGGATGGCGATGACGAGCTTGACGGCGTGCACGGCCACCTCGGTCTCCCTGTCGAGCGCCATGGACACGATGCGGTCTTTGAACTTGGACGTGAACAACTCCAACTTGCTCTTCAGCTCCTCACACTCGTACAGCGGCTGCAGCGCCTGCAGGCAGCGGAGACGGACCTCGCCCACCTGTATGTAGATGAAAACAATTTACAGTTACAAATCACAGTCAAAAAGTTAAAGGAAACTAAAATATTGTAGTTACAACACAACTGTAAACAGAGTTCCCGTCGTAATTTTCTATTGTAAACTCACCTTGTCGTGGAGAGTCCAACCAATGTACTTCAGATACAAGTCATCCAGGAAATGAGCAGGAAACTTCTCCATCCAGATACCGATCTCGGACATGGTGATGGCTCTGATCTCGGGTAAGGTGTCTCTGAAACAGCAACCGTGAACGTCGGCGGCGTTCTTTAAGGGGAGGTCGCGCGTGTGTGTGTGTGCGTGTGTGAGTGAGTGTGTGTGTGTGTGTGTGCGTGTGTGAGTGAGTGTGTGTGTGTGTGTGTGTGTGTGTGCGTCACCTGTAGCGATGCACGAACACGGACTTGAACATGTAGGAGAGCATGTTCTTGATCTCCTCCATGTTCTCCTCCAGCTCCTGCCTCTTGGCCACCAGCACCTCGAGCCGCTCGCTGGCCCTCTTGTCGCGCGCCTTGAGCCGCTCGGCCTCGTACTGTCTCAAACAGTTGTCACAGTTCACGGACGTCAGAAGCGCCACGTCTACCAGCGCCGTCATCAGCTTCATCACTGCACACACACGCACACAATGGGCACAATGGACATGAACATTGAACACTATTCAATGCGCTTCTCTCATGTCACACAAATACATTTGTATATAATACAACTGTCGAAATTTTGTTTTTATTTGTTGAGAATCACCTCAGTCAACATGAAACTCAGTTAATTCAAAATTAGTATACGCGCATCTTTAGTAGGGATACTCTTTTTGTAAGCTAATAATTATCAAACCTGATATCTATTTTAAAATAATTTGCCCTGAAATACTATATCAGCTGCTAATGCAGTAAGAAACACCATAAAAGACATGGAGCAACCACTTACATATGAGAGACTCAATCAATGTGTTCCCTCATCAAACAAAGCAATGGAATAGGAATATACGAGACTTAAACTTTGAAAGATTCTTAAGATCTATAAACTGAAGAAGCAAACATTTCATTGTTTTAAACTCTACACATGAAGATGTTAATGAATATGTTCCATACATACCGGCGAGTGTAGCCGTGTGTCTGAAGGCTCTCACTTGAGAGTCCGACAGTCCTGTGAGCAGGGATATGATGTTGTCCATCAGGAACTGGTCGTATATGATGGAGTACTGACACATCTTCACTAGGGTCTGGATGAACTCACAGAAGTTAGAGCGGAACTTCTTCCATGTGTGCCCTGACATTATCAATGGATATTCACCACTTTCCTGGTAAAATTAAAATAAAACAGTTTTACTATAGTTACCAATCAGAAAAAGTGAACCATATAGATATATTCTAATTGTAAACAACTGAAGCTCATTCACAGTACCTCATCAAACTCCTGTGTCATCTTCTTAATGATGAGTGTGTGGTCCATCTGGGCCATGTTGGGCGTGACCTTCCCCCGACAGCCCGAGGCATTAATAAAGAACTGCATCAGCTGTACCAGCGCACTCTCACGGTTACTCTTGTATTCCTCTATCCACATGTCTACAACTTGCTATGTTAAAAAATTAAAATCTCATATAAACACTCTTATTATTATTATTATTACCTGAATTAAAACATTTAAGATATACTATGGTACAGGAATCAATCTGTTAAATTACAATATTAATTTTACTAACAACTAACTTTCTTTATAATTCTTAATGAATGAGCTTATTTAGTTGCCTTACATTTATAGCTGTCTTATTAAACCGCAGTATATTGTAAAGGCTGTTTTCATCATCTCCCGGCAGCAGTACCGGCGGCGGGGAGTAGGCCTGCGGCGGGGGCGCTCCCCTGCCTCGTCCTCGGCCGCGGCCACCTCGGCCTCTTCTCCGAAGCGGCGGCGGCGGCGGGGACTCCGCCAGTCTTCCCACATATCCTCCATCCCCACCTCTTCCCCTGCTTCGAGTTACTCTTTTGGTGGGAGCTGGGGACGGTGACCTCGTTTCTTCCTCTTGATGTTCTTCGATCTCTTCTCTGTTGGCCTCGGCTACTGTTGAGTTAGCCACAGCTCCAGTGTTAAAGCCAGCATAATTAATGTTGGGCGTTTCCGGCTCGTGTACAGATTGTCCACCGTAATCGGTCATAGGTGTAGCTGGTGTCATAGGATTCACATACTCCGGGGGAGGGTCATCCATTCGGATGCGTTTCCCGCCTCTTCGGTGCATTTTGCAAGTGGATTTATTTTCTTTTTAAACAGAATCCTACATCATACACGTAAATAAAGATGTTCAGTAAGAATGTTATATTATATTGATCGTACGACCAGTTCTAATCGATTCAAGCATAAAAGACGCACAACAAAATAACAGAACACCGCGCAACTCACAATTCACAAACAAGAAACTCAACTTTTAATGTTGCCTACTTGCCAACTTGACAAGATGTATAATACATAAAAGACAGATAACCGATTGTATGAATAGTAATGATAATAAAATATGTAAAATAAAAAAAATATTTGTTTATAAAATTAGAAAAGAGAAAAACAAAATCACGTCTGTATTATAACTATGTTTTTAGCAACTATACACTTTTGTTACATTTAAACCAATAATATGCTTTTGGGAACTACAAATTATTTTTAAAATACTAGTACTACATAATATTATAACATCAAAGCTACTTCAAGACCAACGCTTCTATTTATTAAGTGTCATATAATGGAGCACAAATTTATTTGTACAGTAAGTTTGGATGAATTTTATTTATTTTTATTTAAAGTAAATCGAAACACTATTTATAACTTTAACTGTACTGTAACTTTACAAAATAATCAAATAAATCAATAACATGAAATCGATATAGAAAAATCCCTCATGGTAAAATATTTTTTTTAATCAAACAACAATAAAAATTAAGTAAATAAACAAATTGTAATGAAATTGTTCACGAAAAGAATGATTATAATTCTGCTTTTATTATATTCAATTCTAAAATTTTAAATACTACTTAGTGATCGAATGAAGGCGGTCCTAGATGAGTTTAAAATTTGTTCTTGTTTATTAGCAAGATTTAATATTGAAATAAAGCAATGATAATAATTGTGTGTAGGTGTTGCATTCTTGTCCTATTGATTCCATTCGACTAGCATCTAACATAATATATATTTTTTTATATAGCAAGTCCATTTGTGACTGATTACTGAGCTGTCATTTTCTCGGTCGGATGATTTTTTTTTGTACAGAAAAACTTTGATAGCTTCGTTACTGCAGTAAATATAGAAAAATGGCAAAAAAGACCTATGATCTGTTATTTAAATTATTGTTAATTGGTGATTCTGGAGTTGGAAAAACGTGTATACTATTTAGATTTTCAGATAACCACTTTACAACAACGTTTATTTCAACAATTGGTATGAAACTGTGACCCTTTGTAATTTATTGTTTCCGATTTTTGAAACATAATTAGTAAAGTAAAGATATATGCTAAGGAATTCATGGATAACATGGATCCATACACAATTACTGACATATATATTAGTTAAAGTACTTAAATATGTAAAAATTGCTGACACTTCCTAAACGGAATAAACCACTTGCATATATATATGAAAGGCTGATTTCTCATTCTAAATCTGTTGACCAAATTATGTGCTTCCTGATAAAATATTATGTATAGTTTTGTAATTTATTACAGGTATAGATTTTAAGATTAAGACTGTTGAATTACGAGGAAAGAAAATCAAACTGCAGATCTGGGATACGGCAGGTCAGGAACGATTCCACACCATCACTACATCATACTACCGGGGAGCCATGGGGATCATGCTGGTGTATGATATAACAAATGAAAAGACTTTTGATGATATCGTGAAGTGGTTAAGAAATATAGACGAGGTTGGTATTGACAATACATTGAGTGTTGGAGTTAGTGTGCGTATTAAGGTAAATTTTGTATTATATTGTAATAATTATCATGTTTCCTACATAGCATGCTAATGAGGATGTGGAGAAGATGATTCTGGGCAACAAGTGTGACATGGAGGACAAGAGAGTGGTCAGCAAGGAGAGGGGAGAAGCTGTGAGCATTGAATATATTAAACATAAGGACATGTTATATGACAAAAGGTCATATGACTCATGCCTTAACTTGACCAGGCTATTTATATTAATCTTTGTTTACAAAATACTCGTATCAGTGAACTAACTATGACAAGGGATCATTTGTTAAAACCTGTATTTATATATTTATCTGCTTTCACTGATAGACTTATAAAACCACTGTATAATGCAAAAAATATTCACCTCAATTAATATGACCTTCTAAGTATATTTTAGTATGCATATTTCATATGATATTCTAATGAAGACCTTCATTTGTATATACAATAAGATTATTTAATGAAATGCAAATAATGAAGTGAAAAGTTGTAGAAAAATGTTTTTGTATTAATTTACATAATTTAAGGAAACTGTAACACATTGAAGCAATTCATATTAAAAACACTGCCTCTGTATGTAATGATGTGATGAGACCACCAAATAAAGCTTGTTGTGTGTGTGTGTCCAGATCGCCCGCGAGCACGGCATCCGCTTCATGGAGACGTCGGCCAAGTCCAACACCAACATCGAGCTGGCCTTCTCCGAGCTGGCGGAGGCGATCCTGGACAAGAGCGCGGGGCGCGAGGCGGACGCGGACCTGGCGCGCATCGCGGTGGAGCGCCGCCCGTCCCGCGCGCCCCCCGCCCGCGCCGCGCCCGCCTGCTGCTCCTAGGAGCCCGGACTCCTCTCGCCTGATCCACCTCCCCGCGCGTCTCGTGTTTATTATCTCGTCGTATGTAAATGTTCTATTCTCTTTATCTCTCTGGAGGTGTGGTACCGGCGCCCTCGTTTTTGAGCTACATTTTTTGTTTTTCTCATAACTAGCTTTAAGCGAGAGTGATTCGTGTGCAATAATTCTCTACAACGATTATTATCCAATGAATATCACTGAAAAATAAATTTGTACATTTTTATCGTAATAGTGGTCGTCGTTCGTCAGTCTTAGATCGACGATAGTTAGAGTAGCTTGGGTGACGTCACACACGTCACGTCACGTCATTAGATGGAAATGGAAATAATATTCAAATATTAGTGTAGTTTTTTTATTATTTTCCTATTGACTGTGTGTTGATCGTGAGCTGCAGCTCGTCTCAGCATGTTCGAGGTCCGTCACTATCTGTAACTGGTCGTAAGGACCCGCGGGACCTCTGAGGCCTGTTGTTCTCATACATTGTATCGTCTAGTGTGTTCGTCTCTCCGACGCACGATCTTATATAAGTTACTTTTCCCTATTAAAGACGTCATCGCCGTCGAGTACTTAACGGTGTCCATGTATTTGTTAAATTTAATAAACCTGAAATGTTATTTATTAAATAGGACTAACGTTTTTTTAATGAACTTTATATTCGTCTGTTCCGTTACAATATTATTTCCTATAGTATCGTAGAGTGTATGTTTGTATGTCACGTCGGTTTCTATCCGCTTTTATAAATAAATATCGCCAGTGTATATTATGTTCATAATAAATGGCCCACGGTCAAGTCTGTATTTCATTGAACCCTGTTCCGAGCACCTTGTTCTTTATGAGTGTCTTAACTAAACATAAAATTATTATCTAAAATGAATTCAATCAGTAATATTTAAAATGAATCCAATAGTATGAAAAAATAAATAAAACAATACTTGTATTATTGGTTTTCTCCCCCATACTTTATCGTATAGATAGTTCCACGTGTGACAATAATCCAGTTATACATCAATCTATGACGTATACTATCATAAAGTATGGAGAAACAACTGAATGTCGCTTCCGATCTACTGGTAAGTAGGACGACAATAAACAAATAGAACCGATCGAGCGTTCAAGGAATGTTCGATACGTGGTGTCAGAGGTTATCACGAGCCAGTTGACCCTCGCCGGAGCCGCGCGTCTCATACAGTGTCCGCCATGGCCCGGCTGCTGCAGGCTGCGGTCCTCTTGGGCTGTTGTTCGTGGATTTATACTACTGAATGTGAGTTCATAACGACACCTAGTGTTATAATATGTATCATTCAGTCAACCAAACTACAGATTACTGCTCTCTTACTAGAATTTTGTTCCTGACGATGTAGAATCATTTACAATTTTGAAAAATGTGCAATAAGCTTGCATACATCGATGGACGTGTTTTTTAAATTTCAAATGATAGATTGCATTTGTATCAAAAACAAAGTTCCGAATAATAAGTATGACGTCATCTTTTAAATAGGTTTTTGCAGATTATTATAACATTTTAATTGTTTCAATATCTGGTTACCAAGCTTTGCTCGGTATTAAGGAATTTTTAGCATTTAATTTGTGTGTTTTTTTTTTAAATTCGTATAGGCACTTTTAATTGAACACGTTAAGAAGACACAAAACAATATAAATCAACAATTAATATCTTAGTGTAACCTCAAAACAAACACTAAATGATTTCCTGTTACTTAGCAACGCCATCTGCTGTTGCGTCGTTTAATCCTTAACCACCTACCACCTACGTGCGGTCACAGACACCGCTCATAAATTTCTGCGATTATTTTGGGATCTATGATAAGAAAGTAAAGTTTAGTTAAATAAAATACATGGCTATACTTAATTGCTTTATTTATGTATCACAAATTAACAAAAGTAATTAAAATGTTTTATAAAAATGGAATAATATCTATGATAAAAGGAATATGGCACCATAAATAATTGTACTAACAAAATGAGATCTTTATTCTAATATACTAGTTAAGAATTTTTTTCTTATTTCTATTAATTTGAATAAACTTAAAATAAAATCAAATAAAAAACACGAAACAAAAAATAAAAAATTAACGCCTCAACTTTTACATTTTTTCGCAGCAGTAACAACACATTTTTTACAAAAAATCCAAAGAAATAGGTAGTTTACATACAAAACATAAGCACGCCGTTTTGTGTTTCATTTTTATATCATACGTATTGTATTTTGATTTCATTATGTAGTCTAATTATTTGTGTGTAGTAAAAAAAAATAATCTCATCCGTAAATAAGAGAGAAACTCCAAATATCAAGTGGTCTAGTAGAATACTCACTTAGGTGGTTAAGGTTTAATCAATTATTAAAAGCAATTAGCAAAAAGTAGTATTACTATTCGCCAATAGATGTCAGGAAGAGTTATATTTTAAACGAATCATTTTTATTATTATTTTTTTCATAAAATGTCGTTTTCTAAAAATTATTCCTAGCTAGATCGATTTATCGCCTCCGAAACCCCCTTTATACTAAATTTCATGAAAATCGTTGGAGACGATTCCGAGATTCCAATTATATCTTTATATACATACAAGAATTGCTCATTTAAATATATAAGACTTATCGAAGGAGAAGTGTTTTCTTGTTATAAATACAAAATAATTTAATAAATGATACAAATTATAAAGTTCTGGTCTCAGGATGTTTTCGTTTCTCTATATCGGTGTAGTATAAGTATGTCTGTGGTGTGTTTGTTGTGGCAGCGTCATGCGTGTTCGACCTGGAGTGTCCGGAGTGTGTCCCGGACAACATGCCGCTGGTGACGTCACACCGCGCCCACAACGGCTCCGTGACCGTGGCGGAGGGGGACGAGGTGACCCTGTCGTGCGGCGCCTCCCGGTTCGTGTCGTTCCCGCTGCGGGCCACCGTGACGGCGCGCTGCTCGGCCGGCCGGCTGCAGGTCGCGGGTGAGCCCAGCCTCAGACACGTGCTGGACCTCGCCTGTCAGCAGGACATGTTCGAGGACGCTCTGCACTCGGTGAGCTGACTCATTATTATTGATTTAAACATTACATATTGATTGTCGATTCGAGAGCGATTTTCTATGAGTGCGCTTTTGTCAGGTGGAGGGCTGTGCGCCGCCGCTCCAGGGTCACTCCTACCAGCTGCAGGAGTCGTCGGCCGGTCCGCGGCACCTGGCGCTCGTCTGCTTCGACGAGGACCGCGGGTTGCCGGTCTTCACGGTGGCCGTGGACTCCGCCTCCCACGAGCTGCGCCTGGCGCCTCACTCGGACCGCAGCTCGCCGCTCACTCTTTTCGGAAACCTCAACGGCATGTTCGACGCCAGCACGCGAGCCGCCGCGGAGAAGCTGTACTCGGACGACGAGCGTCTCAACCGGCGCCTGCACGAGCTGTTTAAGCACGAGCGCGTGTCGTTCGCGAGCCAGCGGCTGACGAGCGGCCGGCTGCTCGCGCCGCACTACTTCGACGACCAGAACATGCGCGTGGCGGAGTTCACGACCAACAAGGTGCCTGCTGCCTGCCTGCTCATAACAGCTAATTTTACAGCCAGTCACTGTTCACTGTTCAGGCTTTGGAACGACTTGCCATTGAGCATTCGACTGTCAAAAACCCTACATACACTTAAAAACTCCGTAAAGAACTTATATCTCTCATCACAGTAATGATGAAGACATGATTATAACAAATATTTAATAACGTCATATATGTATGTATTTATATGTCTGTATGTAAGTATGTATTATATGTATCTGTATGTATGAATGTAAGTATGTATTTATATATATCTGTATGTATGAATGTAAGTATGTATTTATTGATATATGTACGTATGCATATTGATGAATATTTATTACTGTTAATTATTTTTGTATGTGTTGTGGTTGTATTTATTTTAAGAGTATTTAAATTGCACCACCCTATACTGTCTTTCAAACACAATCCTCTAACTCAAGGTAGACTGGAAGAAATGGCTCATAAGCCATAAGGCCGCCTTTTGTTTCACCATTAGTTTATTAGTTTGTGAATTTTGTATTTGTCTGTGATTGTAATTGTGGTGTACAAAAAAGTGTAAATAAATAAATAAATAAACAAGGTGGCGCTGTGGAGCAGCGTGGCCGAGGGGAACTGGAGACACCTGCAGCGGGACGTGGCGCGCCTGGTGAGGGCTCGCGGCGGCCTGGTGGTGGCCAGCGGGACGCACGGGGAGGGCGCGCTGCGGGCGGCGGACGGCCGGAGACCCATCCGCCTGCGGGGCGAGCGCTTCCCCGCGCCGCGCTACGTGTGGTCGCTGGTGGCGGGCGGCGGGCGCGCGCTAGTCGTGCTCGTGCTCAACGAGCCCTTTGTGTCCGTGAGCGAGGTGCGCGAGGCCGTGCTGTGTGAGAGCGCGTGCGCTCGCGTGTCGTGGCTGAGGGAGCTGAGGCGGGCGCGCCGCTTCGAGACGCCGCTGTACGGACTGGCCGTGTGCTGCGAGGCGCACGAGGCGGCCGACAAGCTGCCAGAGATACCGAGACATCTCCTGGCTGACGTGCCGCGCGGACCCGCCGGGATGCTCACAGACCTGCCCGCTTAGTGGCAGGGACCACGATTATGAATATTATATAAATAAAAAAATAAATAAATAAAAATTTGTTTATTACTGTAACTTATACCTAGAAACAAACAGATACAGCTAGGAAGCTCCTTTTAAGAAATTGAATTATCTTGTGTTAGGAGTCCCCGCTCTTCCACAAACGGAATCAAGTACATAAAGGTAAAAGATAACATTATTATACAAATTAAAAATCGTTTAAATAGGTAACATATAACGTTTGTGTGTGTGGGATAGTCAGTTGTAGTGTTTAAATAATTGGATATAAGTCTTCAAATAATTATGCAATTATTTCCATTAATTTTTCAGTTTCACAGTAATCCATTTCCTTTAGCCAGTCTTTTAACGTTTTTTTGCAATTATACGTGTTCATACCATAGATGTTCACTTTACGGTTCATTTTAGCATACAAATAAGTAGCTTGTCTTCTAAATTGTTTTCTAGCTAAAATAGTTTTTGCCGGGGGAAATGTGCAGGGTAATTTAATATCCTTACATCTCTTAGTTGACACTTTAGGGTCAAATTTAATGGACCTGTGCACTTTTACGATGGAGAGTAGGACATATAGTTTTCTCACCGATAGAAGGTTTCTATATTTGTAAAGTTCGGTAGTTGGGAATCTGTAGGACTTAAAGTACATCACCTTTAAAAGTGATCTTTGCACTCAAAATATTATATAAATAAAACAATATTTTTTAAACAAATGTTTTATTAAAATAGTTATCGGAATATAGTTAAAGCCTAATCCTTCTCGGCGATCGCGGTCAGATGTCTGTCGATCTCGGCCTCCGTTAGCACTCTAAAAATATAAAGGAAAATGGGATTCAGTACAAGATATGTTGAGTTGAGCGTGTGTGTGTGTCAGGTGTAGACAGACCTGAAGTCCGGGCGCTCCTTGCTGACCACCCCCACCTCGATCTCCGCGGCCTTGAAGTCCACGCTGAGCACGGCGGCCAGGCAGCTCACGGCCAGCTGCACGGCCTCGTCCTCGCTCAGCTCGCCCCTCTTCTTGAGCTTCTTCTCGAGGTAGGCGCCGGCGTCGGTGGCCTTGGCGCCGGCCGCCACCGCCTTGTACGAGCAGTAGTACCCGGAGGGGTCCGTCTTGTACACGCACGGGCCGGTCTCGTCGTCGTACGCGATCAACATCATACCTGCAACCACATCTCGCGCATCAGTTACAGGCTCCAATAAATAACCTTTTACATATATTCATTGATTGTGAGTGAGGCTTCTGATTGTTACTTTAACATGTCAACTGGACTTAAATTTCAGTATCGAGTTCAGTCATGGTTGATATACCAAATACACAGATACAGAATCATTCTACATATCATAGTATGAGGGACGATCACATTAGATTTGTTATCAACAGTCCGGTCAAATCAGACCAAATAATAACAGTAAGGTTACATAAATTCCCACCAAGTTGAAAATCGGTAAGATTGTTTGAAATATCATTAAAAACAAAATTTGAAAGTTCCCTATCTTTTCCCTGTAAGAAAACATTTTTATTCAAGGTCAAAGGTAAACAAAATGAGTTTTTCGCGTTTTTCAGCAAAATGGTAAGTTTATCATAAAAATATCTCAGACAAAATTGTACATCATAAAATTATCTACAAAGAATTTACTAATACTTTTTTTCTACGAGCCACCGTTTTTGAGATATAACGATTCCAAAAGTTGTAATCGTCATAATATGCACCCGTTTCCTCGCCACCTATGAGGTAGTGTAGTGTACTTAGCTTTTTTTTGTATCTTCCCCAGTAGGTCTATTCCACGGGTCAATTTTGATCTTGTTTAATTTGAAACTATTGATAAATAATGGATATTAGCAGAGATTGAAAAGATAAAAGCTATTTAAGTAAAAAAAAAAGTAGTGAAATTTAATCGTCCGATGTCGTAATTTTCAAAATCTTCTTCTTGTTCTTGTTCTTCTTCATCCTGAGTGGATGTAAACTGCGTTATATATTATATATGTATATAATAGCGATGCATGCATGAAACTGCATGTTGGAATTAAACGGATTAATTATACAAAAAATCGAGTTCAGTTTTTCAGAGGCAGGTGGAAGTGTAAAAATATTTTAACATATATTACAACTATAGAGATGTACGAGTATACATATACGTAGCGTACTCAATTACTTATGCATATTATGACGATTATGGGAGGTAGGGGAGGTACGGGCATTTGGGAGACATGGGCACCCCCTTTTTATTCTGATTTGATTACACATTTATTTTTTGCCTTGATTTGGTAGTTTACTTTACCGACTGAGAGCACTGTTCATCCATACACTATCAGTAATTTCTGTGAGTTGTCAAACACAAATACGTTTGAAGGTTATGGGCTCGTAAAAGTAAATATTTTGTTGGGGATTCGGATCGTAATAAAGAGAAAACTAATGAAAGGTATGTGTATTTTCTATTATTTATCTATTGTATATTTACTAATCTATAAATTAAACTGAAATTCAAGCCTATATACCTAGACTCAAAAAAATACCGGTAACCTAAGTCGAAAATGTATACAGAGGGTGCAATGGGCATTTAGTGCGCGGGAGGTTGGGGCATGCCCAATGCTTCCTCCTATTATATTCAGTTTAGGAGGATTTTTAACATAGCTAGTGTCCCTTAAGACGACATGAAAAATAAATTGCCAGTACCAAAGACATGCAATAAAACCAAACGTGGTAGCTCTAAGTACACATTTGATAGTCCTCTATGGGTTATGCCCAATTTCAGATAAGATACTATTGAAGATGTTTTTACATTTTGTAAAGTTTATTTTTGGTTTCTGTTATTTTTATAGTTCAATAATAGTTTATTTGTTAACTAATTTTTGATTTCCATTATGGATATAAAGTGATTTATAGGCTGTGCCCAAGCCTTCCACAGGGTATGCCCAAGTCTCCCTACCATAGGGAGCATTGGGCACTTTTGACTTAGTTTATAAAATATCGTAATGTAGAAACTGTTTGTATTTTTTAAGAAACCTTTTAATTATATCTAATCAAATGTGTGGTTCAATAAGAAATGGCAATAAAAGTTGATTATCTATAAAATCTGATTTTTTATGCAATATATAGTGCAAAAGTGCCCATCCCTCCCCTACCACCCCTACAACTTTTTGAATCGTTATATCTCAAAAACGGTGGCTCGTAGAAAAAAAAAGTATTAATTAATTATTTGTAGATAATTTTATGATCTACAATTTTTGTCTGAGATATTTTTATGATAAAACTTACCATTTTGCTGAAAAACGCGAAAAACTCATTTTGTTTACCTTTGACCTTGAATAATTTTTTTCCTTACAGGGGAAAGATGGGGGAACTTACAAATTTTGTTTTTAATGATATTTCAAATAATCTTACCGATTTTCAGCTAGTTGGGAATTTATGTAACCTCGAATGTCTAATTTGACCGGACTATAGTTATCATATTGTGGTATTTATAGTATGGGAGTATACTGACTGCAGCCGAGCGGTCTCATCTCTGCGTTCTGTGTGTACACCTGGGACACGTCAGCCACCCGGCGACACAGCACATGTGCAGGCACGGCACTGCCATACTTGTAGGTCCAGTTGGCCGCCTCGTACCGAGCACGCTGTACCTGGGAGCGACTGTCCGCTGCAAGGAACATGGAAAATATATTCAATGATATTGAACAAGACAGTGGTTGATTATTAAGATGAATAACTAACTCATGATCTCTAATCACATATCTCAGTAAACTGTTAACATTTACATGAAATATTATGATACTAGTAAACCCGGCCAACTCTGTTTCGCCACCAGAAAGCTTTTATATAACATTTGGTTGGCGATTAAAAGATGAAGATTTTTTTGTTTTATATTTGAAAAGGAAAATTTTTATTTCATTTCACAACAGTAATGAATTCATTTCGATTATAAAAATGAAGTGTTATTTAGTTGAACTTCTCTAAGTAAATGAAAGTGAATCCAAAGTAGATACCGAATCGAAGCGTTATACGTGTACGCAAATTATCCGTTTCATTGAAGTGCTCCTTTGTAAACGACAATTTTGTTTTTTGGTCTAACGTTAACACAAATAAATCGGATGGTTTCCAAACTCGTGAACATGCAAAATATAACTACCCATGTGAAAAACAATGATTTTCTAAATTTATCCCGCAAATACTAAATGGTTTTAAGAGTTCAAACTACAAACACAATATCGGTTTGTCACATGAAATTAACTGAGAACAATGAGTGGCTGTCAAACAATGTATCATGCGACGGAACTATCTACGTAAAATATTGATTTGTAGTAGGTACATGTTATGTATGATGGCGCTGTATGTGACAAAAGATTTTCCTCCTTTTCTGTTGAAATTTTTTGTTGTCACAGAGCCCGAGACCTTTCCAACGAATGCAAAACCGTGGAAATTGGATTGTTTGTTCTAAAGTTAAAGGATCAGGATGGAAAACCGGACTTATTTTTATATAGTAGATCTCTTACAAATATCTAATTGTCATCATAACGTCATTAGATATCTTTCATTATACGTTAATTGCATAGCTGTCAATTGTGTTTTATTATTCCATGTTTTAAAGTGACTGACGTTTCATGTCAAGTCCCACAGGAATGCTGTCGAACGGGTTAATAAAGTATCCTTTTACGATTTTCTGGCTCTAAACTACCTCCCTGCCAATTTTCAGCCATTCCTGAGTTATAAGTGGAGTAACTAACACAACTTTCTTTTATATTATGATATTTTGTATGATGTGTGATGTCAGAACTTGTGTTGGAGAAAATAAATATAATTATGTATCTTAATACAGCTAGATCAGGTTTTAATGATCTTTTTGAATAAAATTCCAACTAAAGATATTCAATGGTTTAGTTGACATAAAGAAGTCACAAAAGTGTTAATAGGGTATATTTAAGTATGTCAAAATTACTTCCACATCAAAATAATCAAGTAAATCAAACATGTACCCGTCATGCCAGTCATAACACATCCAATTCTATCGGTGAGTCTGAACAGATGTGTGACTGATGCTGGGTCCAGCAGTCGGTCGGGCACCTTGCGCTGCGCCGCCACCACGGCCGCGTCCGTCCCGCGGAGAGCCACGGAGGTCAGCCCACCCTGGTTGATAGCTTTCAGTGCATACTCTGAAATGTAAAGTGACACATTTGAGAACATGATCATTATAGATATAAGATATTTATGATTCTATTTCAACCGCATAGTTTAAAATACCAATTTCAATAAATTAATGTTGCTGTAAATTCTTATATTGTTAAGAATGCCACAGTAGGTAATACTGATTCTCATTTTGAGAAGCGGTTTCATCCAGTAGAAAATAATTCTGAAGTTGCTTACCGACTTGATAAAGTCTGCCCTCAGGAGAGAAAATGGTAATATGTCTGTCAAAACCAGCACTACTTTCACGGGCCATTCTTATAATTTGATTTGTTTTCCAACTTTAAAACACAAGTTTTTATTTTCTTGACAGCCGCACACAATGATTGACACAAACGCTTATGTTCAATTTTCGACAATCATGCGTCTGTTCTTCAACTCAGATTTTGACATTATATCTACCAATGTCATTCTTATAAATGAGCGATCAATTGAATCCTCCAATGAAAACCGTGGATCCCTTTTGAAGTATTAAATTTTCTTATACAGTTACGGATACAGTTCGTAAACAAGAAAAAGTGTTTGTTGTGTGAAAAGATTTCCAATATTTATATACCTTAAAAGCTATTTATTTTTTAAAAGACTTAATATAATAATGGATACATTTTCCTTAAAAAACATTCAATTTATATCAGTATTCGTAACTGATACGTTTTAGAACGCAATAAACGTCACTGTGACGGTTTGAAATCTGGCCAAGGTTGAATTTCAAACTTAATCATGTCAGTTACTGTCTGTATACCGGTGAAGGAGGCGGTGTAGTTTTATTTTGATTTAGTTTTTGTTAAATAATTTTTAAAACATTGATTGTTTCTTTTAATATAGCTGAATGAAAAAAGGCTATTAAGTTTTGTATTTAATAGTATCCAAAAAGTTTTTCATTTATTTACCAATAATTTAAAAAAGATGCAAGAAACCGTTACAAACGAGAGAAAATCTTTATTTTCTTCATTCCTTGAAGTCCTCGAAGCGCGGGAAAAACAAGCCCAAGCTGATCGACAGCTGCAGGAGGAAAAGTATCAGAGAAGAACCCAAAGAATATATGAATTCCATGGTAAATACTTTAATATTTTGGAGATTTTACAAATACTTATTTTGTATACATTGCATAGTTGCAACAAATACAAAAATAATAGATTTAAAGAAGAGTAATATGTATGTACATATATGTTACAATTTAATTGATCTTTAAGTGAATTAATCTATTTTACTTATATATGAAGGAGCACTTTAACATGTTTAAAGAATGTTTCATTATAATTTTTGCATGTAAATTTGTTTAAATACAATAGAATCCTTATGTTTCTATGTAACTCAATTTATTTTTAAATGTAATAAGTAACTTAAACTTAATTAATAATTATCAGTTTATTGTAAGTGGATTGCTTTTAAGCTGAACAATTAAAAGGAAACTCTCCCTGTTGGTGTGTATCACAGCACACAAGTCACATCCAGCCCCCGCTGTTAATCATACAAAAGCTTTTTTTTAATAATAAGGTGTTTTTTTAATTAAACAAGTAAAAAGTAAAAATTGTTTCTGTGATGAAACACTTGTCAGTCAGTTGGAGAACTTATAACATAAAGACTACTTAATGACATGATTCCTTTTGATGGAGAGAGTCCGGAGAGTACACTATTTGATATGTATATAAGAGATGGTATTTACTGCCAGTAATAGGAGTTTGTTTGAAAAGTTTTTTATTAACAAGAACTCATATCTCAAATCAAAATGCAAATAACTTTTGACATTACAACTGATATACAGGGTGACTGGTGAATTACTATCAATATTTAAGGAGAATACTCGGTACATGATTCTCATTCGAATTATGTAAAAAAATAGGTACTTAATTTTTGACCAAATTTCCGTATAAATAAATAAAGTGTGGACACGTTCCAAGTGTTCCAAGTGTGGGTGCGTGCGGCGGCGTGCTAATACAACACCGTGTTGTATCAGCACGCCGCCGCACGCGTGTGTTTGTGTGTGTGTGTGTATACCTAATCTGTAGGGTGTTCACACGATGCGTAATTAATTATATTTTTGGTTAACTTTACTTAGAAGTTTATTAATATTTATGTTATATTAATTTTTATTTTGTCATATATGATCGTCAAATATCACGTCCTCAAGTATCGATAGTAATTCACCAGTCACCCTGTATAACAAAAGTTGTGAGTGACTAGAACCATAACATATGTTAGTGTGTGTGTATGTTTAGAGAGACAGCAGCGCGAGGCGGCCGAGCTGCAGCGCTGCGTGGAGTACGTGTCGCAGCACGCGGGGGTGCTGGAGTCGGTGCTGAGGGGCGCGGGGGGAGGAGGGGACGGGGTGCCGCTGTCCGCAGCGCTGGTGAGGCACGCCGCCGCGCTGCAGCGCTGCATGGCTCAGTGCGTGGCCAACGCGTCGCGCATCCGACACCTGCTGACGGCCGCCCACCAGCCACAGATGGACTCCATGCTCGCTAAGATGGTGAGTGCTGTAGTGACTTACTGAACAGATACACTCCTGGCTCTTTGGACAACTGTAGAAAGACCAACACAGCAAAGGAGAACAGTGAGTTCTGAAAGACTGTTGTGGTCCGATCCAGTACAATGGTACTGTATACCTACCAGGCGTTAGCTAGCTCCAAGTCTTTTAGTTGGTTGTAGAGAGATGTAGCCGTTATACATCTCGCTACCTCCTCTACCGCGTACAAATCCACGAACCTATTTCTAGTGAGTTCTGTAGTGTGCCCATAATATTTATTGACCTTGATGATGTGGTCTTGTGATGATGGTATGTTGGTTTCCCAAGGAACCGTAAGCTCTGTCAAAATGAGTAAATAAATCAGATATGCTACAACAAATTAATATAATTTGTATACACGACTCATTCTACATACTGATATTAAAAATGAGAAAGTTTTTGAAGTTTGATATGGGAGAGTTTGTTGCTCTTTCACTCCAAAACTGAAAAACGGATTTGAAAGAAAATTTACAGTTATGTAGCTTAGATCTAAATAACGCATTAAGTATAGTTTACCCCGTCCTGTCTCTCTCTCATTGTACCCGCGGGATTGTGGCATAACGACTGAAATGTGTGTCAAGTCACGTTACATATAGATGTTACCGCCGGTTCCTTACCATATTTTCTAATTTAATCTATTTTTACATAACTTATATAATTCTTTCGGCCCATTAACTAATAGACCAGTGCCGATAGCTTTTAAAACATAATTAAATTATAGTAGAATGAAACCCGTTAGAAAAGGAGGGGAATATTATAAAAATTAAAGGAAAAATAATTTACGGGCTATCTGAGGTCGGGAAGGGTACGGGGATGGGTATTTAAGGGAAAAAAATGGGTTTTTTCGATTTCCGACAAAACTAAAAGTCCTGCAGAAAAAAATTATATGGCAAAGTTGTAGGTAATAAAAAGATCTAAAACTTCTGTAGTAACATTTTTTTCACATAACCTCAAATCTTATGTGAAAAATTCGAAAAACCAAAGTTTTATACTGAAAAAGAAGCCTCATTTTCAATCGAAAAATCACCCGTCAAAATATCAGCTTTTTTAAAAAAATTGGTATGTTTTCTGTTCGTTGAAATCTCTATTTTCCGATGGTGAAGAAAAAAATATAAGTTTTTTACTTGCAGTACCATTTTTGGATAAAATAATCATGTCCCTTTTAATGAAATGACACTCGATATCGTTTGGAAAATGCTCTTTCAATTTATTTTTAATAGTTTTAGCAGCTTAATGTCAATTTTCTGTAAATTACATAAGTGAGGGACTATGTGGAGAACTTTCAGAGTACACAACTACACCCTTCCCGACCTCAGATCGCCCGTAAATTATTTTTCCTTTAATTTTTATAATATTCCCCTCCTTTTCTAACGGGTTTCATTCCACTATAATTTATTTTCATTTTTCATTGTTTTTAAAGGCATCTGCACTGGCCTATAAGTCCACGCGGAGAAAATCACGGACGAAATTACTTTCATACATTAAGAAGTACAACGAAAGCGAAACTGTAGTAGTATAAAAATAAATAATGTTTCGGATATAATTAAATCTTAAATAATATAATAGAGGCGGTATTAGTTAAACATGGTAATAATAAATCTCGTCAACCCTTTAGCAAACCGCACCGTCCACAGAGCGGTTGAGACTCCGCACCTCAAGGACCCCGCCTGTGTGTTATCGTAATATATTTCTCACGATATTAAACAACTCCAGCCTCGAGGAAAACGCGAGCTCAGTTCCTAGAGCCGCTCGTCATTGTTACATGTTCTCACACGATCAAGTCTCACTAGTCACTGTAACCTACCATACGTTCATTATAAACTATTTACATTTTTTTTTCCTAATGTTTCGTGTGTCTTGATCGTAAATAGTTCCGGAGTTATAAAAATCGAGTAATTTCGTCTTATCGTGTCCTTGCCGCTTTGAAAATAAAGCAACCTTGCCCCCACCACGGTCCCCGTGTAGTAATTGTAAAGTATTTAGTATATATTTAATTAGTTGTATACATGTGAAATGTGTTGAAACACGGGCACGACACACAAACAGACACAGACCCGGGCATGACACAATATATGTTACAAGAAATATTGCTAACTTTGAAGATGATTCCGACTATGTTTGTAGACTATTCAGTTAATACGAGTTGTATTACGGACTACGTCCATGAACCTCGCGGGCTCCACTTTAAATAATCAGGTTTTTTTAATTCGTTTGTACGGTGATTAGTGTGTCGCGGGTCATCGTTTGGTAATAATGAGGAGCAGACAACGTCATGTAATGCTTGTTAGTGATACTTCCAACACAGGTTTTGTTCAAAAGTTGACTGAGCGGTGTTTATTTAAATTTTTACAAAGACTATTTGACATATGTATATCAGTAAACAAACATTTTATTTTAATTTTATTCCACTTTAACTAGAAATTAATTTAACTAAAGATTAGAGACTCTACATTGCCGACAAACATAACACTTAACAATCTCATAATAAACCGTATTTGATATTCGAGTGGCCATCAATAGTCGTTTTTTGCACTATGCTACATTTTGTTACGTTTTTTTTTATCATTTCTATATTCATATAACTATGAATAAGAATTACGTTGAAAACTTTTTAAATCGAATTCTATGAAAAAGTTTACTAGAATATTTAGTCTGCGTACGTCATTGGAGTTTTTACAAGAAGTTCAATAATCGGGTGAAGAGTGACACGTGAAGCGAGCTGCTTAGAACGTGTTCTTGAATGTTAATTAACGCTACAACACTAGTGTCTGTTCTGTGGCTCTCCTCGATGTTGTCTCCGTCGCTCCATTTCTCGTACTATACACACGGATTGTTGTTTTTACAAGTTGAGATATCAATGGACAACACGAACTTTTTTTAAAGGCCCAATGAATTGTGATGACTACACACACGTACATCCTTAAATATATATAATTCTTCTGTGAGTGTGTATGTCACTAAACTTCTCTCAAACGACTGAACCGATTTTGATGAAATTTTTTGTGTGTGTTCAAGGGGATCTGGGAATGGTTTAGATTCACAATTTTGTCCGCTGGACAATGTATTTTTAATTAATTTTTAATTTATTAGTAGGTGTCGATACAAATGTTTTTTTTGACATTAGATTTGACAACTAAGTAATATGTCAATCATTCTGTCGCACTTCAAAACACGGAGATTTGGGGCCTTAATAGGTACACTCCAAAAATATAAATAAAAAACGTAATAGATATTTCGTGATTACAGGGCGATACGAAGTTCGCCGGGTCTTCTAGTATACATATATACCTATCACTAGACAATGGTTGTTCATAAGTCACATGACCTGATTTTCGGTAGTAAATGAGAGCATAGCTCATATCGTCGAATATTCATAGTCTAAAGTCGGAAGGTAACCTTTGGGGAATTATTATAGGTAAAAGATCATGTAATCTGTCTCCTAAAGGTTATCAAACAAAGCCGCTGGTGTCCATATGTGTATGTAGTAAGACCTGGCTGTAAGTGCTGACCCACTCCCGGTTCATGTTCAGACCTGTCCCAACCCGTCCTCGAGCCCTCGTACATCTTAACGTCCAACCTGTTCTTACTCGACGCTGAAAAAGGAAACTAGAAACTCGGTTCATTTCTTGTCGCGTTTTCCTCCTCGCGATGTATATATATACATCTAGTTGGGAATGTTTTTTTGTCACATCTGTTCGTCACCCGTCCTCCACTACACCGTCACCCTAATATACGTCTCTGTTCATGAGCAACTTCATATGCTTGGTAAAATTTAAAATGTTGAAAACTTATGTACCGCGTGTATTTGTTTGTATTCTATTGTTTCACGTAAAAACAGTTGCACAAGTTAATTCAATATCTAATCTTAACCTGTGCATCCGAATGCACGGGTTAAGAGTCTCACAAAGTTTTCATTAATAAAAATAGTTTTAATTCAAAATAATATACAAATTTTCGTGTTGAAGTATGAAGTAATGTATAGTTTATTAATATCTGGTCAGTAAGAGACATCGATGTATAGTGTTCGCATATCGTCGGGTGATCTCAACTTCCGACCTCCATCAAAATAATCTGCTCGTCACGGCACCGACAGTGAAGCTCAATATTTTTGTGAAGCTGTGTGTTTGAAACATCGATGAGCAATACATTATCACGAGTGTTTCACTTGATGATGTGGGACGTGCTCTAACGGTGACCGAGATGAGCGTGTGTGTGTGTGTGTGTGTGTGCGTGTGTGTGTGTGTGTGTGTGTCATATTGTTGATGTTACCTGGAATTTGTAAATAATGAAATAAGTAGTTACCTGTTTCGAATCATACAACAGGGAAAACAATCAAGACACCAGCTACATGTTCTTGAGATGATTTTTATTTGATTGAAAGGTAGTGGAGCAGCATACGATGTGGATATAAGTACAAAGAGAATTCAAAATTAGTGATCGTCGCCGGCTTCACACGTGTCTGCTTAGTATCCGGTACGTGCGTTACCCCGGGAGGGCAGGCGCGGGCCCGACCAGGGGAGCGGAGCGGTCCCATGCGCTCGGCAATTACTGACCGGGTAGGGAGTGCGCCGACTATTATGACGATAACGCATTGATGTTCGCGGCCTTCCGAATGGTGCCTGAAATACACACATTAACTGTAACACGCGACCATAAGAGCACTCGAGCAACCCGAGCCACTCGATTCGCACGAGTAACACGAGCAAGTCGAGCACTCGACATAATCTCGTCTCGTTTTTGTTTTATTTTTTAGCTCGTATTATAATCTAATGTTCTTGAATAATTTCTATAATAAAACTCTAGTATCGCTATATTCTGATTTATATTTATTATTAGGAACAAATAAAATTCCTGGCATCGCTTCGACACTGAAAAACATCGAATATCTTATTAAAAGCTTCATAAAGCTCCCAGACATGCAGTATAAGTATATGAAAATATGTATATAGTAATTTAAAGTCATCTGTGTGTCATTCACATCGTCTGTCTGGTGAGCGGGTCGGTCCGTCCTGCTGCTGCTCCTCGTCTCGACGTCTCGACATTTCTCTTACATTTCATAAACACCGACTATTAAAGTGTATTATTAAAAGAAGAGCTCGGAGCTCCCTTGTACTGCATTACACACCGCCTCATTAAGTATGCACATCAAAGAGGAACATTTTTATTTGAGTTTGAAGCATAGTTCCATGGCAAGCTACCGACAAACAGATATATTGTTTGTAAATATTAAATCAGATTTCACTTTCTCCGTCATGTTTCTGTTATTGTATGTATCTGTTCGTCGGGTGTACGTCCTCCATATCCTCGTCGTATCAGCGAGGTCCAGTCATTATATCAGTAATGTTACTATAACACGGTCACTCCGTCTGTTTGTTTGTGTGTAAACAGCTGATTGTATCGATAGGACGGTGATATCGGCTCGATAATTATACTCGATTTATTTATCACGAGGTCGTTGACCCGCAGTGCGTTCACTCTCAAAGAAAATCATATTTTTTCAGGCCGATGGGGTGTAGCAATCAGATTTCCTAAATGTATTGTTCTGTAGAGGAGGTGTAACACATAAAAGTTTAGTTCCTCATGATCTCAGTGTTAGAGGTTCGATGAGGTGAGCTCACCGATATGAGTGCGTGTGGCTGACGGGGTCGCAGGTAATATGAAGTAATTGGCGTTAATTGAGAGCTGTCTGTGTTGTGCGGCTTTAATGGATACAAATAATATAACGATCTACATTTATATTTAGAATAAATGAAATAAGTACCATGTACTCATTCAACTTGTGTGATATATACTCTTTACTCCCCTCCACATCTTGTTAGAGAAGTTATTGAAGTGTTGTAGGAAAGTTTGGTAAAGTTACAGTCGTTGATATGTGACGGTGTGTATGTTGCCTCCGAATAGTTTCTCTGAAAGTATTAAAGTATAATAGATTTTATTAATATCAATTAATAAACACGACACATGACGCTGTGTCTATTGTTAAAGAAAATTATTAATTTCCTGACCTTATCATCCGCTGTTAATTGACTGTACTCGTTGCATGTTAATAGCGGCTCCGACACTATTCTCTTATACTTTTATTTCCTCTATTATATAATATTAAATATATAAATATATTTACTAATTGCATGTTCTCGATCTCTTTTTTAATTCGTTCATAACTGTATATCTGATCTGGATATTTCCATGTGAGTGAACTCTGTTTAATACTGTAATGTATTGTGTTACTGCAGTAGCTATGTCACAGTGGAGGCGCTCTTTTGATATTTGTGAAAGTTTTAACGGCACCATGGGATGCGAGGGCGTCATTTGTCGTGCATGGATATCGCATGTAAAAGTAATTTCGCTTTCTAATAACAGTATGTGATGGAGCCTCCGATTGTTCCAGTCATGAAGGAGAAAGTCCGCGGCCGCAGGACCGGCCACATGTGAGAAGTGCTCGCTCGGACTATACTCGGGTCCCTTGCGGTTAGTGAAAGTTATAAGCGATGATTGATCCACATACAAAGTAGAAACCATCGTCATTAATGTATTAGAGTGAAATCTCCCGGGCTGAGTCCGCGTCATATTTGGATCCGAAGTAACATCCTAAGGGCCGGTCCTCTCTGTACTCAACACACGTGTTTCTCTGTATCGTATCGTATGACCCAGTCTGATAACAGCTCGTGTCGCTTCACGCGTGCTCGCCCTTATCTTGTACTCCAAATTTGCAATCTTGTGATAAATATTTATGTTTTAGTTCGCGTCCCCGTTCAGTATTTTCATTACACACGAGTACATATTCTGTTGTTGTTCTGTTTTCCTACGTATTATTATTTTAAGCTAGGGTCGACTACGGTCCTGCTCTCTGCGTATATCTTATACATCCCTGTTACATTTCCCTCTGCAACGTGTTAGTTGTACATACAGAATACAGATGTTATCAGAGCGGAACGGTCGGGGTCTTGAGTAACGGGCCCTTTATAAAATACATCGAACACAAAGATATCACAGCTAGTAACTAGCCCTGTCACCGCAAGTCAAACAAAGACCGACATCTATTTAGGGTTCAATCAACAATCAGCGCGGAGACATCGGCCGCGGGGTTAATGAACAGGTCAGGCCGCGAGTGAGTCGCTCACGAGCTAACGAGCCTCGCGAATTAAGGTTGAACGATCCGACGCGCTCCTGTAAACAAGCACTTTAATGCTATTTACTCAATCACATGTCATTGAGGCGGATCAAAAAGACACCACCCACTATATGTAGAATACAGCGGGTCCCGGCGGGAGAGGGGGGGGGGGCGCAGGACGGGGACCTCGCTCGATGGTCCTTAACCTTGCTCTGACGCTGACCCACTTTCGTAAAACGACGGCCCGGGCCGGGAAACACGCGGCGCCTAAAAAGATTCACGGTTAAGGTTTATGAGTTTAACGATTCTTAATGAGCGGACTGATCTAGGTCGATCTTAGTAAATAGTGTCGGTAGTTCTAGTATTGAACTGCGATGTTAACATCTCTCGTGACTGTCTCATATAATATATATGGTACAAAGTATTTCTTAACAGATGTTCTAATTCTTATAATTGTTATAGTGTTCGTACCGTCCTCTCCCTCACACTCCTGCTTCTCATAACTAGTCCCTCTCAGTTCTTCTCCTAATCATCACTTAATCATAGTCTCTTTTCTTATGTTTCAGTCTCATATTCTGTTATAAACCGCTCCATACACATATAATAATGATTGATGCGCTATTTTTATATTTTCCGATGTATCATGTGTAATATTATATTCCTCCTACGACCGTGGCTTCGTTGAAGGTGGAAAAAACATTTTGATACTCTTATTATACTTTTTATATATACTTTTATTTCATTTCTCTATCCATCGATACCTGAGACATAATTAGTTACAACCTAACTCGTTAATCTTTGACGCTGTACATACATATCATGTTTAGGTTTCTCTTAATGTTAATAGCCCGGGTCGTGTCCAAGCCGAGTGTTTGTGTATATCGTGTGTAGTGAGAGCGAAGGTTAGATTCATTTGATCGTTATAATTTGTCGTTCGTCATCCCTATATCGGTCAGCTGTGGGTGACTCCACACTCCACGGAGCTGAGTGTGAGGAGCTCCTCCAGCGTGACGTCAGCTCGACGACTCATTACCCTTCCCAACGACGGAGGTAAAACTTCCGCCTCGCTGATTTACATTTCACTCAACGTGACAAGCGTTTGTTTCAATCAAAGTGACATAATCAAAATGAAGATTTATCGGGAGCCAGCGCTGACGCGAGGCGCAGGACCATCTGGGATGACATCAGGCGCGCCGGCCGGCCTTGACCCTCCGGTATTAATGTATGATGTGTCGAGCCCCTTCAGCTCGACCCTTAAAGCTGCCCGGTGTCTGTATGTACTCACAGCTCCTCGTGTCACTAGTCCCCGCCCGTGCGTCGCTCCTGTAACCCGACCCCGGTAATCTCTGACCGCTCGTATTCTTGCGGCTTCGCTCGCTACCGGTCTCCTGTTAATTAACAACCACCCTCGGCCATACTGTTACAATAAATACTTACATCGACATTAATAACGTTGAAATTAATATCGTTCTAGGGGCGACCTGCAGATGTTAAAGACACAACCGGTTTATATTTATTTAGTTGTTAAAATGTAAATAGTTGTTTAATAAAACGACCGACTCTTATCTTTTCAATAGGAACATTTCGTATGTTCGACATTGATGGATTTCAAACTATCTCAAAGTCATTATTAACTAAGTGACCGGGCGCGGGAGCCGGACTTGTATGATATGTTAAAGATGAACAAAGTTTTCGTATGTGCAAGAAAAGACATGTCATATGTTAGGTTAGGGTTATGGTCTTTCAAGTTTATTCAGTTAACATATTGCAATAGAATTTTTAGACAAGGGCCGCGTATCCAGAAAAGAAAGCTTAGAAAACTTTACTAATACATACCAGTAGTTTTACCGATATACTTTACAAAAACTGTGACATTATGTTTATATAGCTTTACTTTTGGATAGTTCTTACACACACACACACACACACATTAAATGTAAGTGATATTTTTTTACATTTCCGAACGGACTTCTATTGTTACTAATTCTAATTACGGCGTGTAATGAATAAAAGAGGAAAAAAACAAGAGCTACTAAAATAGTTACGTTAATTTAATAAGATATATCAAAATGTGTCGGAGAGTCACATGGATACTAAATACTAGGTACATATAGGTACAATAGGTACATCATCAACAGAACGATTCTAAAATATAATAAGGTGTTTAAAGGAGCGGGTTCAGGTAGTTAAAAGAATCTGTTACCTTTGAAAAGACTAAGAGCTATGTGACTACTTGAAGTACATAGTGTAAAAAACTAGAAGTAGGGTCTTTATGGAATATACTGCGGAACAGTTTTGTGTTTAGTTTTATTATTTATCTTATGTACTTTTAATAATTAGTTTTTATTATTATTATTTGTATATATACATATGTATTTTTTAATGTTAAGCACTTGATATTAGGTGAAGAGTTTTCAGAGTGAACATGCAAAGAATGTTATTAAATTACTTATCATGTACCAATAAATATTGAATAATGTACACATGCAACTATTTATATTATTTATTATTAATTAAGACTGAGGTCTAAAATAGTATGCGTCTTTGGCTTCCTAATTAAATAAATAAATATAAATAAGGGGACTCGTCGGGATAAGATCTAGCCAGGGAACCGTAGGATGTAGTTTAATAAAGAGATCGACACACGCTACTGACAGTATATAAGTGATGTAATGAATCTTTGGTTGCCAGGAAGCAGAGCTGAGCACGTGGACCGCCTTCCTGCAGCGGGCCGTGGACGCCACCTACAACACGGAGGTGGTCATCGACAACCTGCACAACCTCGTCGGTGAGGATGCGTCCACTCTGACCAGCCATCTCCGTGTGTAATGTGTTCAATATACATATAAAAGACATCCCTCTGTTCGTTCCAGCGGAGCAGAGGCGTTGTGTTCGGGAGGTGTCCGCCAGCAGCGTGTACACGGCGCTGTGCGGCTCGCGAGACCCCGCGGACGACACGGACGGGGGGGCGGAGGGGACCCCGCGCAGCTCGGGGGCGGAGGGGTCGCCGGCACCCCACACGCCGGCCGCCAGGCGCGCCCCCTCCGCCGCCTGCAGCACGCCGCTGGCGCGTGACTAGCGCCCGCCACACACGGACACACACACGCCGCACACGCTGTGCTGCTCGCTGTTCAGGAGGCTGTAGACAGGCCGGGGTCCGCGTGTGTGTCCTACACTCAGTACAAACTATCTCCACTGCCTTACCTCGTGTTCAAGCGTCTCGTCCGCTCCATGTTCGTGTGTCTTTATAATAAGCGCGTGTGTCTCCACCCCTCCCCTCATCATCATGATGCACGTCTCTCTATCCTCCGTGTATCTTCCGCGTCACCTCCTTATCTGAGTGTCTCGTGTGTTAGTGTTTTTAAAGTCACCAAGTGTTTGTATCGTGTGTTGTTGAGTGTATATGTTACTGTAAAAGCTCTAAATACGGTAAATCATAAAATTTAAGTGTAAGTCTTAGAATTTACCGACATGAGTTGGTAAATGGAAGTATTTCTGAAGATACGACAATTTTTTCGAGCTTTTACTATTCGAACTCAGTAAATGCTAGGTTTTACCACTGTCAGCTGGTAGATGTTGGTTTTAGGAATAAAACAATGAGTAATTCTTAATTATTTACTTTGAACTGTAAAACAAAACAGGTACATTGTATTATAAGGATATCATAATGATAGTAACAAGTACAAACTAATATCAACTTATTTAAATTATTTTGAAAAAACACATAACGTATACATCTGAATATGTCAATCATTGTCATATCTAACAGAATCAGTACTTCTCTATTTAGAATTTAACAACGAAATACAAACACAATGCTTATAGAAGCCAGTGTAACTTAATTATTATTTTTCTTATTATTTGGTTTAGAAGTAAAAATAACAGTCAAATGTAATTGATTAATAGGTAAGGTTCCTAAAAAACATTTCACTTGTTACAACACGGATTGCTGTTGTGCCATTTAGAATTACAAAATAATCCTGATGATCAGCCGGTGCATTTTGTCGTAGGGCATTTTTTTGACAATTACATTTTTTGAATCCTTGTCCTCCAGTTAACAACAATTTTCCGACAACTTCTCGAAGACTCACTTCTTTATCCGTAACAATCTTTCTATGTTTATAAAATCTTCAGAGCATGCGGTGACTGACTCTTGGTGTAAAGCTGTTTTAGTATTCCCATTTTGGTACCTAGTTGGTAAAACTCATGTCCTTTACATCTATCACTAAATAATGCTTTTAGGGTCAGCTTTAGTTTATTCTGTCAATTTCAGGTTCTTTCAGTCTTACATTTTGCACGTTATGACATGTTTTGTTTTACAACGTTTACCATGCCATTGATGTAAATCCTAAGATTTACCAACGGAGTGGTGGTAAAAGTTAGAATCGCAAATCTTTTTGGACATTTACCATTACGAATTGGTAGAGCTTAGGTTTTACTGGAATATCTTAGGATTTACTGCAGTTCGAGCTTTTACAGTAACATATACACTATATTTGCTTTAAATTTAACATGTAGGTTGTTCCTAAAGGTTTCAACCTATATCTTCAGACGTATCGGGCCGTCTGTTCTCGTGTGAGATGTCCTTGTTCTTATATATTTGAAGTTATGTTGAAGGTGTTATATTGGTCCCTAGACCGCTTCGCTTCAAGCTTGCCTCTGTATCTCTTTATGTTTCATTGATCTCGTACGTGTCTCTCAATAACTGTACCAATAATAATAATAATAATAATAACTCGTTATATCGGATCTATGTATTAAATACATTTAATGTAGTCGGGACGCCTCTGTCTCTGTGTGTGTGTGTGAGTGAGGTCGCGCCACACGCTTGTGATAACACAACGAAACGACTCCTAATGATGTTATATTAGCACGGACGTGTTTCTGTCTCTGTGTGCGTGTGTGTGTTCTCTCTCTCCTTGTACATATAGTTATTACAGTTTTTATATTATAATTGTCAGATTTTTCGAATTTGCTGTTTATTGTTACTCTATTAGATATATGCATTCATATAATAGTTAAAATTGTATGTTTTACAAATAATATGTCAATGTTGAACTTTTGCTAAAATATATTCGATAAAATTGTTTCCAGTGTGTATGTGTCTGTACGTGCATGTGTCGTCCTCATACACACACAGACACACACACACACACACATGTATTGTATTTTTTGAATATGGAACATAAATAAAAGACGAAGTTACAAATATATTCTATTATTATTTAAAAATAACGTTATATAACATACAACACGACCTCTAATACATGGACTCGTCAGACTCATGGTGGCAAGACTGTGGGGGACTTACAACATATGGAAGTCTTTTAATGTTTGTTAATATTAAGAGAAAATGTCATTCATAAATATTTGTCGTAATAACTAATCATCTCTTAACAACTAATAAGGCCACTATCACCGGCCGCTCCTCCCTGACCCCGACCGCCTCTCCTCGTCTCCACGGAACCCTGAGTCCCTTAATAACTCTCCTCCTTCTGTTTATTCGTTAAGTGTTACTATATTGTGTTTCCATGGATACATCTTCGCTCCTCTCAGTTCATAACTATAGTAGTCCAATCAAAATTGACATATGACTAAGGAAAAATTCGCATAGAGCTGAAAATTGCCAGAGACGTTAAATACATCATTATAAATGAAATATCAAAAATCCCCTTCGATACTACTTCTTTTTTGTAAATGCAAGACGGATTGTAGTAAGAATTGTGGCTGTCAAAAAATAGGATTATTTTGTTCGCCAGTATGCATCAATTGTCAGGGTCAGACTTGCTCCAATATTGAAACAAATACAACAACACATGAAGATAATTTTATGATATTTATGAAGAGACAATTGATGCATCCCTTTTCTTAGAATAGCGAACAGGTGGAAAAAAACAACCTATTCCACTTTAATCATTAGCAATATACGATTCATTCAATTAATAGGATACGATCTGATCAAACTTTCTTTATTACAATAGGTCGTGGAGTATACCTACTGGGGAAACCACGTTAAAAAAATGCTCCAAGTATATTACCTCATAGGTGGTGCGGAAATGTGTGTTACTATGTAAAATATGAATTTTCTAATGATTAAAACCGCGATATCTCACAAATGGTGAGTCGTAAAAGAAAAAGTGACTGGACCATTTTTGTAGAGAATTGTATGATCTACAACTTTTGTCCGACCTATTTTTACGATAATACTTACTGTTTTCGAGAATAATGAAAAAAAAACCCTAATTTTATACTTTTGACCTTGAATAATTTTTTTTGCAGAAGTGAGATCGAAGGGAATTTTGGATATTTCATTTATAATGATGTATTTATAACGTCTGTGGCAATTTTCAGCTCTATGCGAATTTTTCCTAAGTTATAACTTATTTTTGTCTATTTTGACTGGACTATAGTATCAATATTCAACACGCGACGTGACGTCACGCGTGGAGAATGATCGGAGGAGACGACCCCGCGGTCGGTGGACCTCATATATACAGTGGGGTGAGGGGCCGGCGGCTAGTGTGGGGGAGGAGGGGGGGGCGGCGCGGAGCGGGCGGCGCGCGGCGGACCCAGCACGGAGTGAGGCACGGGCAGGGTGCGGCCGCCCGTCTGCACCGACACCAGCCCTCGGGGTGCCGCGCCCAGCGCCAGCACGCAGTCCCCGGCGCGGAGCCGCACGCCGCCCTCGGCCCAGTCCGCGCGCACCACGCGCTGCTGAGGATAGCCCAGCTTCACTCCGTTCGACACCGTGTAGGCTCGCGACGGAGGCAGGGGCGGCGGCCGCTCCTACACACACAGGCCTGACGTCACTACGAGCTACCAACAGACACGGACTTAGGAAGGGAGAGGGGAGGGGGAGCTCACCAGGTCTAGTCCGAACAGAGAGCAGGTGCTTTTGACCACCTGAGGGTCGCACTTGTCGGGAAGGTCGGGCGGCGGCGTGCCCGCGATGGGAGCGGGTCGACGCCGGGCCGGCGGCGCGGGGCGCGTCCTGCCCGCCGCGCCGGTCCCGTACGAGCCGCGACTTTTGTACGCGCGCCACGCCGCCTGGATGGACTCGGCGGCGGCCTGGCGGCGCGCTCTTCGCATGCGTTCGAGGACCTTGTGGAAAGAGATAACATTCAGTGAATCCTGCCGACTTTCGAGACATGAGTTTCATGCGAATTGTAAGATGCCAACGAACGATAGATACCTGACGCATGCCCTCGCTCAAGAAAACATGTCGTTTGCCTAGCGCCCACCTGACCGCGGCGGGCGAGGCGGGTGCCGGCGGGGCGGCGGCTGCGGCCACGGCGGCCAGCACACGAGCACAGGCCGCGCCCGACTCCCGCTCCACGCCGGCGTGCCCCCGGCCCCACAGCGCGCGGTACCGGCAGCTGAACGCTCGGAACCTCATCCGGTGCGGGTACCCGCTGGCCATCAGCTGGACCGTCTCCAGGACCTGCAGCGCCCGCACCTGACACCGCAACATGCATCACCGTTTAACTATTTTGACTATTAGACAAATTTTTATACTGAACATAATTCTTAAAAAACACTCACAAACAGTTTATCAACGAATATTAGATAAGGATAAATGCAGGAAAGGCAATGTCTGTTGAACTGAAACCTTCCACTTAAAGCTTTCCAACAGATTTTATTGCTTTCTGGGTAGTGTTCTTTATAATGAGTTAAATAAAGATTTACAAATATATTCACTAAATAAATCAGCTTGTAAACAAAAAGTAGACGAATGGTTAAAAACATTAGACTGTGAAGATACCGAAAATCTCTTAATTTTCAATTTATAACCCTATCCTTCAACAGTGATGGATTATCACTAATTGCATAACTTATTATAAGTAGGCACACACATTAATACGTTCATACACACACACATACACTCTAACACACTAAAACAGTCTCTCCAACATATATACAACAGTTTAATGTAAAGAGCTCACTTTGTTAATATGGCGGCGTGAGGACCTGGAGACCTGTAATACAGGTATTCCTATACCCATCACGGGCTCCAGGCTCTCACTAATGTATATTTATATAAGATGATGTGTATCAAGTATTTTGTAAAGAGAGAATAAATGACTTAAATGGCTTAAATAAAATAAATATCTAAATATATGTATATATATAGTCAACTTCCCAATTTTTCACAACAAAAGTTATTAAACACGAAAATTATTTGTATCAGATTCGTCATTTCTTCTCACAATATCACTTTTTATTAATTAATGTATACAAACATTGCAAAATAAATAAATACAGTCAGAAGGGAGAGTCGGGGGTCGAGAGTAGTCCTCCGGCCGCACGTGAGTTGTGATATAAGAACCTGCCGCCTGACCTGTCGGGCGACCGTGGCGCGTTCGAAATGCATCGGAGTCTCGGTGGCGTTGGCGCGGAGACAGCGCACGAAGTGAGGGCGAGCGTGCACCAGCGTCCGCAGCAGGTTGTCGAGCCGAGTGTGGAAGTCTTGTGTGAGGGTGGAGGCGGCGACCACGGCCGCGGCCGCCCCGCCCGCCGTGGGGGACGCTCGGAACTGAGCGCCGGCTGGACCTCCTGCCGCGGACAACGCCTGGAAGACGACGACCACTCTACTTTACTTACTTTATATTTATACTTTACTCGGCTTAACAGAATCTTTTTCGCCCAAATATTTGTAATAGGAATTAGAACTTATTTTAATCATATCTTATGCACCTTGAGCTCGGCGCCGAATAAATGCGTTGCGAATCCGAATTCGCAGGTTCGTGTATCGAAAGCGGCGAGCAATTCGTCCGGTACCGCGTCCCGGTTGGCTTCCAGGAAGTCACTCGCGTCGTAAGTGACCTCCCCGGCGTAGTGTCGCACGGCGAAACGACGCGCGTGCGGGGGCCGCGCCTCTGCCAGTCTAAGGTGGCCTCTGTTCCATGATACATAACATACATTATTATTAGAAATGGGCGTTGAAGTTATTCATCCTACAGTAAACGTGATATGTAACCAAATCAAGAAGTACGAATAAACAATGACCTGTGCGCGTTCTTAATCCTGGCCACGTAATGTTCGGGCTCGCTGCGCGCGGCACACTCCGCGTCCAGCGCCGCCAGCAGGCCCGTCCTCAGTGAGGACACCAGGTCGATGCACGGCACGTTGTCCACATACTCCACCTCCAGCGCACCGGACACGCCCTCCTCGCGACAAGACTCCGCCGATGACTAGCGTTACAATCACAGTTCACATTAGCATTATATAATTTCTTTAATTTCGTCTAACGTTGTAAATAAGTGTCGGGTGTATATGTATGCAGATGACGTGTGTTTGACATATGCCTCAAAAGATATATCTGTTGTACAAAAATACATACAAGCTGATTTTGAAAACATCACTAAATGGGCACATGATAACGGAATAATCATAAACTTTGAAAAAACCAAATGCATGTATATACACTCGCCTTATAACAAAGGATCAAAAACAGTAACTAAAGAAGATCTTGAAATAATAGGGCATACCTATGACTGTCTACATGACAATAAAAGAATAAACTGTAATTGCAAAAAATTAGAATACGTTAGTACATTAAAGTACCTAGGTCTAAAAATTTATAAAAATTTAATTGGAAGTCGCAGGTTATAGATATTTGCAATAGGCTAATGTGTCCTGGGAAAATTCTACCACTTGAGTAAAGTATTAAATAAAGAAACTTTACGCGTTGTATACCACGCCCTCGCTGACTCCATACTCAGTTACGGACTTAGTGTGTATGGACGTACATTCATAAGTCATAACATACTTAAGGGACATAAAACAATTGCAAATACGTTTAATCAAATATTCAATAATAATAATATTAATCAAATATCTAGTTACTAAAAATATTAAAAAAGAATGTCGTGGGGACTATGAAAAATAATTTGCAATTTGTAAGATACTACCAGTAGACATTAAAGTGAAATATTTGATACTCATCGAAAATTTTAATATAGCTAAATATAGGGAAAATAAATACAACATTAGGAGGGTTGGGAAAAAAACATTTGTTGAGCCAAGTGCGAAAAATTATTACGGGAGTAGAACAACAAGGTGTATGGTACCAAAAATGTTTAATAGCATTAACAGCACCACACTGAGTGAAGACGTCAGCAAGACGGTGTTAAAGTTAAAACTTAGAGAGTTTTACCTTAAACAATTAGATAAGGTATTGGAATAGATAAATCTGTTGTAAATAGTTTTAAGTTTTGTTTTTTTTTTTAATTTATTTTTTCTTTGTTTTCGCTTTTACTGTATTTTAATATTTTTTCTTATATATTTTTATTCGATTGTAATAGTTCTTAAGGTTTTACTTTTTTATTTGTTATTATTTTGCTTTATTCTTTATTGTTTAATGCCAAATGGTTGTAAGCATTTTTATCTTTGTTTTTGCTTTTACTGTGTTTCTGCTGGTATATATTTATTCAGTTGTAATAGTTTAAAGGTTTTACGTTTTATTTGTTATTATTTTGCGATATTTTACATTGTCTAATGCCAAATTGTTGATATAAGTAATTATTTTTAAGTTATTTAGTATTTTATTATTTGTTTTAAATATTTTTATTTAAAATCATAATTATTAGTAAAGTAGTATTATATGTTAGAATGTTTTATAAGTAAAAAATAGGTTAATACAGTCAAAACCGTTTATAACGACATCGTTTACAACTACCTATCGGTTATTACAGCCAGATTGTATGGTCCCGTCCGAATTGCTAGTAAACTATTCAGTATACAAACCGCTTATAACAACATCGGATACAGCGACATATCGCTTAGAACGACGAAAATTTATCGATATTAATCGACTTTAACGACCAACCGCTCCTTGTCCTTACCCAGTTGCAAAGATCTACTGCTTTAGAACAAAGAATTGAGATAGAGGAATTTATTGGAATAGATAACAGTGTCGCGTTAGCGCCTTAGCTACTGAGGAAGACATCTTGCAGAAGCTAAAAGTAACAACCCTAACACTAACGAACAACACGAAGACCAACAAGACCTTGAAGAATAGTTTCAGCCAACAATAATTTCCGAGGCTCTTAATGATGTAACAGTTTTGCAAAAAAAATTTGCCATTAAAGAACACTTTGATATTGATGATACTCATACCTTGAGTATGAAACGTAAAATGCTAAAAATATTTGAGACTGTGCTAAAAAAAAATATTCTAAAATGACTGATTACTTTAAAAACTAGTGTAGTTTTTTATAACCCGTAACTGTAAGCAGCCAAGTACATACATTTTGTATTCTAATTATTTCGGAATAAATATTTTTATTTCTTTTCTGAATCGTTTACATAACCTATATCTATACTAGATAGATATGTGACTACATATGACAATATGTATAACTACTGTAGTTGTGTGTATGACTATTGCTTATAACGACTATCGGATATAACGTCGGATATATACGGTCCCTTCAATGTCGTTATAAACGGTTTTGACTGTAATTGTTTAATGAGCGCTTCTTGCCTACGAACTCTCGAGTTTAGCAAGATATCATTTGTTAATTTTTATACAAAAAAGTAAATAAATTAATTAAAAAAAATTCACGTAATCTAAAGAAAGCGTTTAAAAGGAGTATACCTTAAACACGTGAGTGTTATAGAAGTGCTGCATCGTCTCGGCGCAGAGGTTGGCGCACAGGTGTTCGAGACGGCTGGGCGCGGAGTCTTCGAAGCCGAACATGTCGAGTATGCCCACGAAGCCGTCGTTGGCGTGACGCACGGCGTCGTTGAGGACCGCCATGGAGCGAGCCCCGGCCCGGCCCCGCGCCCCTCCCCCCGCCGTGGACGCCCGTCGAGACGCCGCGTCCTGCAGCACCTGCGGCGTGCCGGCCCGTAACACATTCGGGGTACAGCTGACGAGTCACGGAAACAGGACACGCGAAATACTTACAGATTCGTTCGAGTCCGACGATAGGGTGCCCAGGGTGGAGCCGAGACGTTTGAGAGAGTTGGCGCGGCGGACGATGGTGGCGACGGTGCGGCAGTACAGCGCTTTAGCGAGGGAGTCGCGGGCGGCAGCAGCGGCGGCGGCGGTGGCCGGCGCGCGGGCCGGCACACGACCGGCGCGGGCGCAGCGAGTGCCGAGACCGCGCATTAGAGCGGCAGCTCCCACCCCCAGGAGAGAGCCTGCCGCCACTAACTCGGCCTGTGGACGTCACGCGTTAGGTGGTTCTAAATGAGCACACACTGCACTGGAATTGCCATCAAAATAATCTACCTCCCCATTGGGCTCTGCGCTTCCTTCTGCGTTATCGGCGAAGTGGACGTTACCCAGCAGAAGCACAGCCGCTAAGACGCGCAGCACGTCCAGAAATGGAATCCCTAACACGCCGAGGCAGCTCTTCCATGCGTGAAACCTGGCGCCGTCCTCGGGCTCCGGACGACGAGGGTGAGAAGACGATAGATATCTGAAATTAAAAAAGGGGTCAAAGAGTAATCATTTAAAGTTAATCATTCGTATTCGTAACGTCAACCAGCGAACACTATGTTTACTTGCTCTAAATAACAAGGGAATAAATTGCTTTAAACGCATACTGTGCTTAGAAATTGTTTATATATTTAAAATAGGAAAAAAAGTCAAAATTTATCAAGTTATAGTGCTTATAGTGAAGTAATAACAATGTTATAACAAATTAAAATAAACAATCTTAGTTCGAATTAGTGAAAAAAAATACAAACATACCTGCTTTTAAATTTATTCTACACATAAACTTTGTCTCAAATAAGTTAAGTACCACTTTTTAACTGCAACGCGAAATGAACGCTTTGGCCTATCTTGTACAAAGCTTACATTGAATACGCAAATTCTGGGTTCAAACTTCATCATAGTGAGAAAAAATATTGTGGTCGAATTTTTTCATATTTTCTTTTGTTCGATTATAAGATGTCGAATGAATGCAATATATGTAAGAACAACGTTCTAGTAACACAAAAAAGGATTAAATATCAATTTCATCTATACTCCAGCCAAATTCGATGTGGAATGTTTAACAACAATGCGTTGCTTAGCAACCAACGACAGCCAGATGCTGAAAACATTATAAGAAATATGTACAACAATTATTTTTGATGTTAATGAAAATTAAAATTGATGATTAATAATAAAATATTTAAGACAAAGGACTAATTCTTGGTTATAATTATAATACTTATGATCATCTGGAATAATGTAGATCTCAAAAATAATACCTCCAATTTTAAAATGATATCAGAAATTACCTCGTAGTTATATAATTCGCTTTATTAACTTAATCCATCGCCTCCCAAACGACAGTACTCATTTAAATTAAATTTTGTGTATATTTGAATTTAGCTACAGATACAATCCCACTCGGACCAGGTTATTCAGTATTAGGTACTCATCGTAATCTAACATGAACAATATATTGATAACAACAAACTTATAACAATAACGAATTAAAACAAAAAAAACGATAACAAAATCTAACAATAACAGAACGGAAGAACACAGTAAGCAAACCTAAAAACAAAACAAACATTATGGCGGGTGTATAATGCAACAAAATTACGTAGTTACGTTTCGTTTAACTTTATTTGCGTTAAAAAAATATTTTTTGAAATTAATTAAAATATAACCTCAATAAAATTTATTACATTTTATCCGATATACATATATATTGGAAGAAATTGTAAATATATGTGGTTGAAACAGTGATTATATGAAAATTAGCTTGATGATGATGATGATTGATTGAATTGCTATATGTATGCTAGCCAAAACAAGATTTTTTTTTTAATCTGTGTGTAATGAAACGTTGTGGGTATGTTAACATTCTTACCTGTTGTGGTTATACATACTACCATTATAATACGACTCAAAATATACACCACCAATTACGAAAGGCCTGTATCGCTGTTATATACCTTCCTAAATTTGCCAATTGCTTAAAAAACACTCCAAATGTTACAAACCCGCGATTTCTTTATGTCAGTATTAAAATATAGGGTTGTTAGTTTTGTAGTTATATTATAGTGGTAATTAAAGATTTATACTTTTATTTTAAGCTAATTTTCATATAAATTATTTATTGACCGGCTAAATATAATTTTTGGATTCTATATTAAATTAAAATTTTTGTGTTTAAACAGGAAATTGTGTTGTAATGAATATAGTTGCAATTATAATTATTATTATTTTTTATTAAGAGTGTATCAACCCTAATTATGATGACTCATGGTTTGTTTACTAAAATTCCAGATCGAATGTGGCTGGAGTATAGAATGCGCTTCGTCAAGTAGCAATGCCACAATATCACGAGTGCAGTGGACAACATGTCCAGCTTGTAATAATAATACAAATCGGAAAGTTTCTAACAACTCAAATACAACCAACAAAAAAATACTTGACTTAGATAACCATAGTCCAAGTTGCCCCACCTCTGCCATTGTAAATGACAGTCCGATACTATCTGGGGAAGTTGATTTATTGGCAGCTATTAGAAAAGAGATAGAAGAAACTATACATAAATCACTAGGTGTTGAACTAAAAAAAATTATGGAGGAATTGAACGGAATACAAGACATCAAGGATTCCTTAAACTATTTTTCAAACTTATACGATAGTGTCAAGCTGCAATTAGAAGAAGCTAAGAGAGAAATAGCTACCCTTAACAAAAATAATAGCGAATTAAGGGATAACAATATCCCATGCCCATGCTAACACTATAAGTATACTAGAAAAGGAAACAAGATCCAGCAACCTCGAAATTCATTGTATTCCTGAACATAGAAGCGAAAATTTAGTATAAACTGTGGAACAGATTGGAAGAACTGTGGGCTTTATATTGAATGAAGGAAATATTAACAAATGTACAAGAATTTCAAAACAAAATAAAAATTGGCCTCGTCCGCGTACAGTCCTTGTTAAATTTTCAAACCAATTACTACGCGATAAATTTCTGGAGAAAAATCCCTAGTGTTCATTTCTGAAAATTTAACAACTACAGACAAAGATATATACGCAGCAACTCGAATTTTCGCACAAAGAAAACCGTTGTGTGGTCAAGGAACAATAATATTTTTCTCAGGAAGTCGACTGCAATTGACGCAATTAATAAAGTCAAAAGATTTTTTAAAAACCTTATATAAAAAAAATGTATGTATATATATTGTTTTACCTTTTTTTATTGTAACTAAATTACTATATGTATTTATTGCTAATTCCTAACTAATTTTAAATAGATATATTTTTACATTGTTAGTCTTTTTCTTTGTGATTAATTTAAGTTTTTAGTATATAGTTTTATTTTTTATCTTAATTATTATTATTATTTTACCTTACTAGTGTCGCTTGTTTTTGTACCTCGTTTATCTAAGCATTTGTTGGTATTGTTTTTAATTGTTTAACGAATTATATAACTTTAACAAACAGTGTTAATGCATGACGGAAATCTAAGTATTTTTTACCAAAATGTGCGCGGAATGAGAACCAAAACTAATTAAATTTGTCTCTCTGTATTAAATTCGAATTATGACGTATTGATATTATGTAATCCATGTTGAGTTAGCATGTAAGTAAAATTAAGTTCCATGATGTTATAATGTACTCATAAGTTTTTGTGTATCACGTTCGCTTCCTATTAAATAAAATAAAAATAAATAAGTTATATATTTTAAACAGTGAACAAAACATGGCCGGGCGATATCCCTTACCTTAAGTCGTGAGCAGAATATCCATCGAGGTGGAGCTGGGAGCGCTCGTCGGCGGACAGGCCGGCTAACATCTGGTAGAAGATGTGGTAGTTCCGCTCCCCGGCCGGCGGTCGGACCACGCGCGTCTGGTCCAGGAAGTAGCAGTGGATCTTGGTGCGGTACAAGGCGCCGTCCGTCACTTGCACTTCGATAAAGTGACCCTGAACATATAAAAACATGGTCGACAACACTTCGGAGGAGAGTCATTAGCGAACTAAGGGTGTTCGATTGCACGTGTACTGACGATGCGGCTGGAGTGTGAGTTGGCGTGCGTGGCGGCCGTGCCGAGGGAGCGCAGCACGGTGAAGGCGGCCGCCAGGTGTTTGAAGGCGTCGGTCTCGGGCCCGCCCCCCGCCACGTCGAACAGGCGCCGCAACAACACCATGGACGCGTACGTCTTCCCCGACCCGGAGACGCCTAAACACGACACACCACGTGAATGACGGCTCCGGCCACGGCTACCACAGATACTACAGACATGCTTCGTCAAAACCCACAAAGAATCATTTTATATGACAGAGGGTCATCGGTTACGACGTGTGTATAACGGACCGGAGAGTATGATGGCCTGCGGGCAGCCGGTGTCAGCTTGGTGGCGCACGGCGTCGTGCACCAGCCGCGCCAGCTCGGGCCGGTGGGCGCGCGCGGCGCTCGGCGTCAGGGCGTTACTCACGTCTGTGTACGAGTTCATAGCTACCAGGATGGGACCCACCGACGTCTGCCGTTGATGAAATAAGTAATTACATGAATTATTGAGGGGTGTTCCCGAAAGCGCTCATTATGGTATATCAAAAAAACATGCGACGTACATAGAATTTGTTTTGATAGAAGCGGGCCTGTAGCGCCCGCACCACGGCGTCCTCGGTGAGCGGACCCCTCAGGTGTATGAGGTCGTCTACATCGGACCCCGCACCCCCCGGGGCCGAGGCCGCACCGCCGCTCGCCGGACACGAGCCACCAGCGACGCCTCGCCATCGAGAATCTGCATTGGTAGTTTCATAATTATGTATAATTCTTTGGTACGGAGTCACCTAGAATATGGATCTGTAGTTTGGTTTCCTCATTATAAATACTACGTTGACAGAATTGAAAAAATTCAAAAGAAATTTATGAGACATTTAACTTATAGTTGTAATCTAAAAAGAAAACTTACTTCCTATCAGGATCGTCTTAGTTATTTAAATTTTGCAACATTGTCTAATCGCAGAAAATTTTTGAATTTAATATTTCTTACCAAAATTGTTACGAGATCTTTATATGACCCCAATCTATTAAAAAAAAATAATTTTCGTATTCCATCCAGACTGCCAAGGTCATGTAATCAACATCTGTTCTGTCAGGCTAGACATACTAACCTTAAATTGTACAGTTCTCTATCAAGAATGTATAATGTATTTTCTGAGTACCAAGATAGTATTGATTTAACTACTACATCCATAAAATCAGTAAAAAATATAGTACTAAAATAGAAATTACCAATTCATTTTATTTAGACTCTTTTTTTGTTTTTTGTTTGCTTATTTCACTTTGATTTTGTTTCTTTATTTTTTATATAGGTACTATATATTTCGTATAATATGTATATGTAAAAATAATAAAATGTTGTTCCGCTAAATAATTCGTGCATGATGTGTTCTCCTGTAAATAATTGTGACACTTAGTTTTAAGATTTATTCATTGAAAATTGTATTTATTTAGTGTACACATTGTTGGATAACCAAATAAATAAATAAATAAATTTTATACAAAACGCTACATGTATTAGACGAAAACGAACACAAACCGAAGATTTCATTGGTTTTGTGGCGAGTCAATGTACCTGGTGGCAGTGGAGGCGCATGATGAGGCAGGAGCGGGGGCGCCGGTGCGGGCGGAGGCAGCAGCGGCGCCCGCGGGGGCACGGCGGGCTGGGCGCCGGGGGGGCTCCCGGCCGGCCCCGGGACGCTCTGTGTCCCCGGACCAGCCGCCGCGCCGCCCACGTGGAGGTGGTTCCGGAGGGTGACGAGCTCGGAGCTGAGACTCAGCAGTCGTCTCTGGAGGTGCACCGCCTCGTTGGAGGATGATGCGTCTGTTGACAAAAACGTGATGAAGGAACACACGCACCGACTAGAGACACAACGATCACAACCACCCAGTGGCGTCTGTTTTAATATAATCACAACAGTCCGCGACGCTTTATTTGGCCCCGTGTTCGATTTACTCAAAGTACTCTTGTGTCATCGTTTGATCTACCTAATGTTAGTATTGGTTTATGTTCTGTGTATTTAAAGGATCAATGTACGTCAATGATTATCCGTCGTATTAATAAAGATTATTATAATAGTATCCAGTTTTTTTTATCCGCCCTCGAGCATGAGAGTCGGGCCTTTTAACCACTAAGCCACCACTGACTTCACAATGATGACAATGATACACAAGTATAACATTAAAGTATAACTATACATATAATATATATCTGTAACATGTGTAACAAATGGACACCAGCCGAGTTTAATTTCACTCATTGGACAGTTGGGACATGCCCATATTGATAACGACATAGATCAGTACATTACAGTCACACTACATACTAAGCGTTTCCCGTCTTTAATACTATAATTTAGATATACCTAGACACAAGATTTGGAAATGAAAAAAACTGTTAACGATCAGTAAGCAGTGTGACTCTAAAAACTTACTCAGTAAGGCTGATGATACTATGTACCTACTCATATAACATGTACTTCACTATTCAAAGATATCTCAGACATTTCTACGTTGTCGATATTTTTGAATAACCGTTTTACATTGTGCGATAAACTGACAATAACATTAGAAGTCAATAAGTATTAACAGCCTTAACATGAGCTAACGTCCTCGTACTACACACTAACAGTTTTCAGACACAGACACCTTATGTTCGAGTATGTATGAGTTAAAAACTGGCTGTGATATTTATTAATTATATTTTAAAATGAGTCACCAAGTGTTAATCGGTTGCTTTTCTTCAATTTCTTAATAAGTCTATAATTTCAGTAAACCAATCCGCTGTTTGGAAAATAATATTCTTATAATTTTATTTATCTTTTTTATAAAATAGTCCGGTCAAATTAGACATTCGAGGTTACATAAATTCCCACCAAGCTGAAAATGGGTAAGATTGTTTGAAATATCATTAAAAACAAAATTTGAAAGTTCCCCATCTTTCCCCTGTGAGGAAAAAATTTTAGTCAAGGTCAAAGGTAAAAAAAAATGAGTTTTTCGCGATTTTCAGCAAAACGGTAAGTTTATCATAAAAATATCTGAGACAAAAATTGTAGATCATAAAATTATCTACAAAGAATTAATTAATACTTTTCGTTCCACAACCCACCGTTTTTGAGATATAACGATTCAAAAAGCTGTAATCCTCATAATATGCATGAGTACGCCACGTATATGTGTATGTATACTCGTACATGTCTATAGTTGTAATATATGTTAAAATATTTTTACACATTACCTGCGCCTGAAAAACTGAACTCGATTTTTTGCATAATTAATCCGTTTAATTCCAACATGCAGTTTCATGCATGCATCGCTATTATATATATTATATAATATATAATGCAGTTTACATCCACTCAGGATGAAAACGATTAAATTTCACTACTTTTTTAACTTAAATTGCTTTTATCTTTTCAATCTCTGCTAATATCCATTATTTATCAATAGTTTTAAATTAAACAAGATCAAAACTGACCCGTGGAATAGACCTACTGGGGAAGATACAAAAAAAGCTAAGTACACTAAGTAAGCTAAGTACACCTCATAGGTAAGCTAAGTACACCTCATAGGTGGCGAGGAAACGTGTGCATATTATGACGATTACAACTTTTACAACTTTTTGAATCGTTATATCTCAAAAACGGTGGCTCGTAGAAAAAAGTATTATTAAATTCTTTGTAGATAATTTTACGATCTACAATTCTTGTCTGAGATATTTTTATGGTAAACTTACCGTTTTGCTGAAAATCGCAAAAAACTCATTTTGTTTACCTTTGATCTTGAATAAATTTTTTTCCTTACAGTTGAAAGATGTCGAACTTTCAAATTTTGTTTTTAATGATATTTCAAACAATCTTACCGATTTTCATCTTGGTGGGAATTTATGTAACCTTACTGTTATTATTTGGTCTGATTTGACCGGACTAAAAGAGTCACCCATGTGATGATACTATCGTGAAACTCCGATATTAATAATACATTATTATGTTATAATATCAAATAGATAAAGTTATTAGTCACACCGTTTTCAGTTCATGTATTGCTACACGAGCCGCTTCACTGCGGAGAGGAGACAATTTCCATATTATGTAAGCTGATAGTTCACAGGATTTCTATGAAACGCCGACTTAAAACTTCTTTAAATTAGTTTTGTGTCCATAACATCTCAGATAACTCGACTCTCTCGCCGTCCATAGTTAACATTTTCGTCAAATGATATAAATACATTGTGGTCAGTCCAATTACGCAATATGTTATGAATACATGAGACATGCTGTCTTTGTAACGACCAGCCCATTAATGTTGCTGTTATACAACAACCTTTTCGAGGGAAAATATAAAGGACTTGATAGAATTTCACTTTGAATCAATGGATTACCAAATTGCACTTATTTTCGTTTGTGAAATAAATTCTAATTCATTTTAAAATATTTTATTTACTTTATTTTCCAAGAAAACGGACAAATATACACATTGATATGTTACGTTAAACGTGTATGTTATGGATATATTTACAGAATTTCAAAAGATACTGAACGGATTTCAATAAGAAGTTATGTGAATGTGACACAGAGGAGAGTTGACGGGCTTTGGTAGAACAAGGAGAACGGGTTATATTATATAAGATATAATATAATTATAGCGGCAACCTCTACCATTGAAACATTGTATCAATAATAAAATTAATTTCAAATAACATTCTCATCTGTTTTACAATATTAAATAATATTAATATATCAGTGCGGTCCCAGCTCCTGGCATGACTTGGTGTGAGGAAACTCATCGATTAATGATAGGTTGATTGAAGCTGAATATAGACAATGATCCAAACAGAAAATATAAGAACTCTTTGTACCGTTTGTGTTATATTCTTTTTAAAATATATAATTAGTATTTTGATGAAATCATCCATTTAATAATTATTAATTAATTCACTTAAGAAGACTTTGTTTCATTGAACACACAAACAGCGTTTGACGCTTGTAAGTGTGGCGTGGTGGACGGTGGACGCACTCCTGATATAGACCAGTGTCGATAGCTTTGAAAACATAATTAAATTATAGTAGAATGAAACTCATTAGAAAAGGAGGGGAATATTATAAAAATTAAAGGAAAAATAATTTACGGGCGATCTGAGGTCGGTAAGGGTATGGGGATGGGTATTTAAGGGTAAAAAATGGGTTTTCTCGATTACCGGCAATATTAAAAGTCCTACGAAAAAATGTTATATAGCAAAGTTGTAGGTAATAAAAAGATCTAAAACTTTTGTACTAACATTTTTTTAATAGTTTTAGCAACTTAATGTCAATTTTCTGTAAATTACCTATAAGAGGGACTATCTGAAGAACTTCCAGAGTACATAACTATTAAAAATAAATTAGAAAGAGCATTTTCAAACCGATGTCGAGTGTCATTTCATTAAAAGGGACATGATTATTTTATCCAAATATGGTACTGTAAGTAAGAAACTTATATTTATTTCTTCACCATCAGAAAATAGATATAGAAAACACACCAAATTTTTGAAAATCGCTGATATTTTGAGGGGTGTTTTCGATTGAAAATGAGGCTGATTTTTCGGTATTTATTCAAAATAAGCTGAATAAATAAATATTTCTAATCAAATAAATTACACTGCATTTGTAACATCAAAAGGAAAGTTTTCACCAAATTTCGTGACAAAAAATTGTTTTTTGTAAGAGATAAAAATAAAAAACCAAAAACTTGGTTTTTCGAATTTATCACATAAAGTTCGAGGTTATGTGAAAAAAAATGTTAGTACAAAAGTTTTAGATCTTTTTATAACCTACAACTTTGCTATATAACATTTTTTCGTAGGACTTTTAGTTTTGCCGGAAATCGAGAAAACCCATTTTTTACCCATCCTTATACCCTTCCCGACTTCAGATCGCCCGTAAATTAGTTTTTCCTTTAATTTTTATAATATTCCCCTCCTTTTCTAATGAGTTTCATTCTACTATAATTTATTTTCACTTTTCATTAATTTTAGAGGCTTCTGCACTGGCCTAATATACAATTATGAAATTGAAAAAAATGTAATTTACTAACAATGACATGTTTATTTTACAAAACCTTTAATATTTTACCTCATATAATAAACATATTAATGATTCTGCTTCTGATTTCATATAAACAGATTTTTATAGGAATGTATCAACATCTAATCATATTTGTAATTCTTAAAATTTGTATTTGGTCTCTGTTTTTTCTAGCTCATGTCTGGACTAATTTGTGATATGAATTTCTAACGGACTAAAAGTGTTCATATTTCCTCTAAACTTTTCTTACGTTATTACTCCAGCAATTAATAATAAGAACGATTATAAAAATATTTTTAAATTGGAAACGGTTGTTCTGGGGTCCATTGTCTCGTTGTGAGGACGCGATCAAGGGTTCGAAGAACTTTGAGAAATGGAATGAAAACTCGTAATGATGATATGATCGCGTTCAAACGGGATTTAATATGCGGGCGAAGACGCGGGGCGCAGCTAATAAGAAATAATCACGCTTTAGATATTATAGATTTATCAAAGTACGAAGCACTGACTCAAGTCCAAAAAAAATCATTTACAACAACAAGTTGAAAATATCTATTATGTAATATTAACCAACGGGTTACTGAAATGTTTTTACATTCATTATCGTTTATAAATTTCTATAACCGTCGGAGATGCAGCTTAGTCGCTATCGACTGACTCTCTCCGAACAAACAGATACAACGAGATGTACATATATGTTAGATGATTGTATGAAGAACCGGCAAGTTATTTTGATTGTTTAGAGAACTATAATAACACACGAGGCGGCACGGAGCGGGGAGACGAGGTTATGATTAAACAACTCCGTAATGACTCTGTAATTATTCAGCAATTTATGTGATTTTGTAATCTTAATGAATACTGAACCTGAATGTCAGACAAATAATTGGTTTTTAAGTGACGTCCTATAAACAGCCAGCAGTGGGTTATACACGGTGTCGCAACGAACACGGAACGAACGGTGACCATACAGAGTGATGTTAGAAGATCGTGGGATGTGAATATTATGAACAATGTTTGGTACATTATAATAGGCATACCGCACACGACGCGGAGAGCGGCCGGGGAGAGGGCCGCGACCGGTTGGCTCCCTCCGCCCGCCGGCCGGGACACGCTCGGCCGGACTGAGCCTTGAGGCTCACAACATAACGACTGTATTCACATGGAGCTCGCGGACTACGGAGCGACGAAAACCTTTTTATTGGCCCGCGAGCGAAGGACGCCGCGTCACCTCCGCCGCAGCGAATATCTGAGCCTTTGTTGGAACGACGACCACTACTCGGAACTGAGGAGGTTGCGACAGACTCTAGGAGCCGACGATACGGTTACCACAAACAACCCTCACTGGTTGTAGCAGGGAGCCCTGTTGTTCACTCTTTATATTTACCTACGGTCACATAATAGATTAGTACTCTAAACACAAGCTACGAAACATTTAAGAACCTCCAGTTACTAATGCTCACAATAATGACGATATTGAATGTAATTTCGTCAATAAACGATCTTTGCAGACTCCTCACGAGTCACGGCTGACAGGGAAGTGGAAATCAAAACCTCTCTTATAAAACATTGTTATTATTAAAAAAATTCAAATCCTAATCGACTCATATTAAAGAGTTACAAGTTCTGTAGAAAGTGGACTTTGTATCAGACCTAACATTTGGCGTCCACATGCTACACACCGAGGGCAGGAAATTCCATTAAACTTAGTCAGTCCAATTCACTCTGTGTGTGTCCCCCTTGTTCACTTCATCTTATTAATTTTAATGTTTTGAAAAAGTTTTCGACTGACTTTTAAGTATATATGTATTTATATGTATTTGTATGTATGAATGTAAGTATGTATGTATGTATTTATTGATATATGTATGAATATTATTGAATATTTATTACTGTTATTTTAAGAGTATTTAAATTGCACCACCCTATACTGTCTTTCAAACACAATCCTCTAACCCAAGGTAGTCTGGAAGAAATGGGTAATAAACCATAAGGCCGCCTTTTGTTTGTTTATTTTGTAATGTTTGTGATTGTAATTGTGGTGTACAAAAAAGAGTTAAATAAAATTAAATAAATATATAATTTGCTTTAAGTTTTTTTTTTTAAATATCTAACGATTCCTTATCAGTTGTTTTTGTTATTTCATTATATGATTTTATTTAAGTCACATTAAAGGCGTTCACAAAAATACCACTCTGATATCTCAAGTGAGCCGCCACAATCCGCGGAGCGTCATCACTCAAGAGACCACTCTGTACAGGGTAATATTGTCGAAGTTCAGATTGAACATTAGATACATACATAGGAACATAACGTTAGGTACCGATATTGTAAGTTTGGTTACGTGTATTGATATGATGAGGAGGTGTGACGAGTGAGGTGTTGAGAGTTAGAAGAGGAGAACATACTGAGGGTCACGAGACACACAGAGGAGAGGCGGCCGGCTCCATGAGAGACGAGGTCGGTGTACCGTGATGACTAGCTAGGGTTCACTATGAAATACTAATTAAAACAATAAGCTTCATGAGAGAGAGTAGGGACTGAACTCGGTGGAGGCCATCCGGGAATGGTTTTTATTGACTTTATTTTGACTACACGTTATTACTTGATGAGTTATGGTCTATATTTATATTTAATTCATGTAGTGATGTAGTTGTGTCGCTCTCTGAAGTCTGTCCTCTTGTCTGCGGGTTGATAATAAGTGATCGATGATAGAAGAGAGTCGTCCGGGGAGTGAGGATTTAAACTACAGTCATGTAAACACAACAATAAAACACAGACCTAGAGAGAAGCCGGTTACACGAGCACAGAGATATGTGGACGATCCCGAGGTGTGTGCACGGAGAGTTAATTGATCGATACATTGCTAACGAGCAAAAACCGCGACTAGCGCGTGCCCCGCGACCCTCCCCGCACACTGTGGACACTGACACTCTATAGTGACTGAGGTATATCACCGCTGACTTGAGAACTACAGAACACATCTATACTACAGCATATACTGACAAATATATTGTATGAAACGCTTCTCTATCCCACCTTACTGCCTATTCCTATTTTTTCCAAACTAGCATCGTCTCAATGACAGTAGTGAATGATGCTCATCTCTCATCGGTTATAAAAAGCGATCGGATCAAAGAATTCCATTTCTGTTCAAACATCCGTCGAGCTGAGGATACTAATGACGGACGAACAAAAACTAGAGCCTTCAGAACACGCGGCGGACACGAGCGACTGTGACCGACATACGGGGGGGGGTACTTATATTAACTTGTATATCTATAATATAACACTGAGGAGGAGTCCTCACCCCTCAGCACCCTCCTCACTGTGTTACTATCACTGAACAAGACTTTCACTAATGTTATAATTAATTAAATCTCTATATACTTATTGTAAACAACTCTTAAGGAATGGTTCGTGTGATTTCTAATATGTTTGACTGTCTCTGACGCCGAAGTCATTTAAAAGCAGTACATTTAAAGAATGTTAAGTTCGTCGCGCGCGCGTTGATGTCTTTTGTACGAGCATTACTTCCGCATCGACGTAGCACGCTCGTAGTTGGCATCACGCTCACGTTACACATTTAAATAACGCGTGCCATGAGAATCAGTCCCCCCGCTCCCCCCCCTCCCCCCGCTCCTCATACTTATATACATTATGTTAAAGTTATGCACAGTCTCGTGTCATCGGACGGACATTCATATCAGACGGATGTTTGTCTCCGTGTTATGTATCGAAATGAGTCGGAGACGGAGCTGACCATGGACAAGGAAATAGATAGTGAGGAGACGAGGGGGGAGGGGAGACTTGTTGGACGAGGAGGATGTGGCTGGAGGAGAACGAGGAGTGACTGGACCACGGAGATGAGGACACACGAGTGGCGGAGAGATGACGGACGGGTGTGTGATGAACACACGGAGAGAGGAAGGAGGAGGGAGGAGAAGATAGGAAGCGACCGAGGACAGAGGTCCGGCGGTACAGTGACTAGTGAGGCAGGCTGGGGACGGGCGGGCTGTGTGTACTGGGTACAGCGAGCTATGTGTGATAAAAGTTTAAAGAAAGTACTCTCGGCCTCTCAGACTCCCCGACCTGAAGCCGGGAGAACACAGCGTCCCGAGCTGTACAACTATTTATAATTCTAAACCTATAACTCAACGAGGCCTGTAATAAAATAACTTATTTCGGTATCGTTAACGTGACGCGTCCGTGTTTTATATCTCAATTAATATTTTTGTTCTGACTCTAGCGAGCTCCTCATCAGAGTCAACTCTGTCTGAACACTCTCCCTGTTTGTATAAAGTGTCGTGAAGGAGGCTGGAGGCGCGTGACACAGCTCGTGTTATATTATACAAGTGATATAAACACTATACATTACAACAAGTTCTCCGCTCGCGACAGTTCTTGTACATGACAATATTCATTATTATTTTTCATTGTGATTCAAAAGCTCCGCTGTAATATGATTCATTGAATTCCTCATATTTGGTAGGAATTTATACGAAACTTGAAGTGCGCCGCGAAAGGACCGAATTTACCTACATACCTGTAGCCTACCACCTCGCCCCCCGCTCACGACCTGACCGCCCCTCCCTCCCCCTCCCGCCGCGCTCCGCACCCCTCCCCGCAGCACTCGTATCCGCCGCTCTCTAAGAGCCTCGCCGTTAGACACCGCATCGGAAGTTTTGATCTCTGTATGAGTCTACTTATAACTTGAAGTATGTGAACGTTATCACTGTTCAGTCACCAGCGACTGTTCTAACACAACACTCTCCGCCTGTCCCGAGCACGAGCGAGGACTGGTGGGCCGGTTGAGGAAGTCATCGTTACACATTATCGTGTCAATGAGAGATACTTTCAGAGAGATTTCACCCGGGAAGGCCTGGCGACACACTCGCAGCTGGCACGACTGTCACCGGCCGATCTAAACGTTTCGAATTAACTCACTGTTTCATTAACAAAAGACATTAATCACAAAATACCGCGCATTCACAGAGCATCCCGCCTCCTGACAGACGGTGAGGACGGATCGAAAGCCTTCAAGTACCAAACTTTAAGCGCGGACATTAAGTACGCTAGTAGTAGCGGGGCGGCTCTCACCTTGCAGCTTCTTCTCAGTCTCCCAGAACTTCTGCAGCTCGGTGAAGTACTTGTCGAGGATGAACACCTTGGACAGGCCGAGCGTGGCCATGGCGGGCGGCGCGCTCGCATCACACTCCGCGGCCGCGCCGCACTCAGCCGACAGCGGCGACCACTCTCACGCGCAGCTGTCCGCGGACTGACACTGACTGCCACACTCACACACCGCACACCGCACACCGCACACCCGCGGACCTGCTCGCCTGCACGCGGGCTCCTGGACGCGCTCCTCGGAGGTGGCGGCCAGTCTTTAACATCGATTCAGAAAGTTCCACTCACACTGGACGCTTCGGAACTATTATGAAAACTGACTGAAGCACCGTACGTTTGAGGAGAACGGTTCAACAACACACTTGTTAAAGTTTCACATTATTCCGTTTAAACGCTCGATGGGTGTGATTGATTCGTGACGAAGCATACAGTTAGGACGGGCCCGGGCGGACCGGAGCGGCCAAACTCAATTTAATACTATAAAGAGAGAAATGTAGCGGCGCAGGTACTGGCGGGGCGGCGCGCGGGCCGAGCGGGGAGACTGGTTTGTTTATTTGTAAGCTCGAGCGCCGAAAGCTATGAGTGTTCCCTTCTCCGCCCCCCCTCCCTCCTCCTCCTCCTCCCTCCTTCTAATCCCATCTCCTCGCCGCTGCACCTGTCCCCAGCTCTCTCACTACTTAGTTTGATACCCTTGCCGCTGTCGAAAGTCCTTTTAGTGAACTCATATTTTGAATGTTAACGGGTTTTCATTTCATCAAAATGTTTGTATGATAAATAAACGATAATGACGTCACACCATCAAAAAATAACGAACGAAGTCGGAGATAACATTCCGGAGAATATTTTTTTCTTAATTAACAACGTACGATACGTTACGTTATAAGATTACTATTTAAAAAAAACCTTCTCTTGGTAGTGATCGGAGATCAGGTTTATATGAAATGTAAACACATCGGACAGGTTTCATTATGAATAATAACCGACTGTTTAAGGTTTTATAAATATATAAAGTTGTGTCCGCCGACCACCGACTACCGAGCGACCGACACTAACATATAGTGGACTCACGTGTTATGTTTGGCATTTGATTGTAGTTTGACCATAGCGTCGGTCATACATTACATGTTATTATTGGCGTTAAAACAAAGTAAAACATTTTTAACAATTATTATCTGATTTAAATTAAATGAACCTTCTCATCATCGTGGGACTCAAATGTCTGATCTATTTTATGAGAAATGAGATGAAAAAGAATATTTAAATGTATGAGTGATGCGCGCGACTCACAACAAGACGTGTGCTGCCCTCTGTCGTAGTCACGCGGACCCGAGGAGACGACACAGCCTTCACGAACACTGCCCGCTCAGAGAGTACTAACAAATACCAGCAGAGGGCGCTGTCACTACTGTACTGTACTCATGATGTACCAGGGACTAGCGATTAAGTAATCATCAACATAAAAAAGGCGGACAAAAACCGACTTTATTTATGTAAGCAAAATTAATGATAACTTTGAAAACGATCAGAAAGTTTAATTTTGTACTTCGTTTATAATATAAAACTGAATCTTTTACCACAACTGGTCACGGAGCCCGCACCAAGTTAATATATACGAGTAGTGTTTATTATTAATTGGTATTTAATAAGCAAACATTCGGATCGCGTGTTTAAGATATATCACCTCCCATTAATATGAGGCGGGGTAGGTTAATGGAGCCGAGTTTTTGCCACATTTCAACATCAATTACTCGCCTAACGACTCATTGAGGATACGATCCCAGCAACACATGCCACCATCTATAGACTAATGACGACCCGAGGAGCCGCCAGCCATCAGCTGAGACGGGACACGGGCTTGCGGCCCGACCCGCTCATATTAACTTATCAGCGCGACTCCGTTAATGATAGCTTAATGTGGGCCTGCAGTCGATCCTCCTCGCCCATTACCGCATTAAAATAACATAACATGAGGGAGCTTCGCGTTTAATATAGTTCTGCAAAATAAACAAATAAAATGTCCCAGGAGCCGCGGCCGTCTTAATGATGTTTAATGAATCAATTTCTCGACATAAACCTGTACCACATCGGTTACTGAGAAAAACGCAACCATGTGGGAAGAGCTCGGCTGTGTTTTGAACTCCAATAAAATGTCACTGTACTTCAGATAGATCATTATTAATTTATAATGGACCGTCACATAACTGTTTTCATTAATTTTACTTTGAATGTAGTTGTAGTTATAAAGGCCCGGCTCCCTGGAACTGTGACTACTGTATGCGCCACACGAACTGATTGAATTGTATTTGGGAGTCGCGTTATTTTTTCGTCGAGGTTTCAAAGTTCTAAAATAAGTATTTAAGATATACACTTTGAGTACAAGAAGACAAGCTACATCGCAGCCGCTGCGTTTGTATTTATATGGGATATCTTTTTTAAATGTAACAGTCATGTTTGAAGGCCTAGCTACAGACTAAGTAGGTACTTCATGTCATATTGAGTCTCAGCGACCGAGCCTCATGAACCCTGATCGCTATTATCAGAGCATCGCATGAATTGTTTAACTACACCAAACATTTAAACTGGACCTGGTCATCTTACTTTATATGTCGTGTACCTACCTACAAGTTGTCGAAGTGCGATCAAACTCAATCATCTTTATTTATTGCTCATTATTACTTCTTCGTATGTAAGACACAATTCTATTCTATTGTACGTTATATTCTATTATAACTTACCTCGTTGCTTCCTCGCCCTCCCTCTCGTTCGGTCCCGGGTCTTAGTCCTGGAGCGCGCCAGTTCCGATGTCGACACTCGTTTCTCTTCCAGCGGTGCCGAGGACCTGCGGTACATTCAGCAGATTGTTTGAAGTGAGCGGTGGAGGGTGCGGGTAAAGTGTTATGTCAGTGAGGAGTTGTATCGGTCGGGGCACCTGCTGCCGTGGACGTGCCCGGGGCGGTACGTGCAAAAGAAATCCGGCCGGACGCGATGTGCTCGCAGGAGAGCGGCGAGTGGCGTGTGTGGTGCCGGTGCCGGTGGTGGGTGGGAGCCTGCGCCCTCGTACGTCTGGTCGGGCAGCAACATGGCGCGCGCATGGCGCTCCGCCCGCGCCGCCCTGCTGCCGCCGAACGACCGCTCCTCACTCCTACCACGCCTCACTACCTTACATGTGTCTCTTCTAGTTCATTATAGTTCTTGATCCTGTATCATAAATATTTCTTTACACTCAAACAATGTATATAAATTGCATCTATTGCCGTTAACCTATCTGTAAGAAAACGTGAAACACAGACTGTGTATCTAATTAGAATTTAATTTTTTATTTATAATTATGTATTTTAAAATAACGACTACATGAAATTGTGTATATGAATAACGAAAAAATAAAGAAAAGAGATGAAGGAAGATGCATGAACTAACGCAGTTATAGAAAACAATATTCGAACCGCGACTAATGGGAATGAGCCGCCTGAATCATTCATACACATGTATTACATTCTTTTCTACTCTATTCTATTGTTTTCGATCGTATTTATTTTCGTGTTGCTGCCAGCGTCCGCTCGAGTTCCGATACCAGTCTTCGACATAAATTTTACAAAAACGAATAGTGTTTGTTGATTGTTGATTGGCTTTCCCTCGTCTCTTACAAAAGTTACAATCGACGAACAGCTCGCACCGTCAGAGTGATGAATGTGCTTGTCCGTGTGTTTGTTAGACGGCGCTGACGTCACGAGTTGAGGTGTCACGACACTAAACGAATCAGAAGCGACATTAACGAGATTCACTGAACACTATCAACAATCATTAAGGACGGTGAGTCGACATAAACTAAGTTTTGATTCCCCCGAAAACACCACAAAGCGCGTTTTAAAATCTAAAGCGACCTCTGATTCGAATGCTTCGATAAGTGATTCCGTTCTCCAAATTTGATATACTCGTTAAATAATGAGAAGCTGACGGCGTGCTCGTGACGGAGCGTGCCGGGCCTCGGCGGGCCGGGCCGGGGCCGGGGCCGGTAGGGAGGGAGGGGGGGGGGGATGACGATGCGCAGCTTTTTGCTAGGATTCGGGACTTCAATTCAATTGCAACGATTAATTTCGCCGAAGCGAAACAAACTTTTCACTTCACTTATATCTTACTCGTATTCCCTAAACATCACATTCCCTAAATGTTACGTTTAGGTGTTTAGTGTGTTAATGAGTGTTAGTATAACGTGACATCTGTTACCCGGCCGTCCGCCGAGTCGCTCCTCATCTTCACCTCTCATCCACGCCTCACGTGGTCGCGGGCACTCCTTCACACCGAAGCTACTCCCCGGTCCATCGTCACACGCGAATTTCATTCATAATTTTAATAAACTATACTATGTTCTGCAGTTGTTTTGTAATCGGTTAAATGTCTTAACGTAAACGTCATCTACCTATGGCAATCATTACATAGTATTTTCGATTAATTTGAGGAGGATTTAAAATATATTTCAATTCCCTGTGTTATATTCGACTCTGAGTCTACAAACCGATATATTTTAAATGTCATGATTAAAATATTATGAAATATATTCTTTAATTCGTCATTTCTTCAGTTGTGTGACAATAATTAATTTTATTTAATGTTGCCCTTTCGGTTGTTATACTGATATTCCAACGTCATAACATAGGAAGACTCTAACTCTAACAAATTAAATAAGATATTGCTTTTTCATATTTAAGTATTAAATATTAAAACAACTACATTTTAATAGAGTTATATTTAACTACCGTACCCGTTACCATTCTTTTGGTAGTGTACTCCTTGTTGATAGTGTCCGTGTTACCCATGACACAAGATTATTTCAAAATGTCATAGACCTTTTTAATTTATGTAAAAGGTTTGACGTTAAGCGCGAAATGCGTAATAAATTAGTCGAAGCAACTAGTCAGAGATGGTGCGCGGATAATACGATTAATAGTTGTGTGAGGCCCGGAGCGGCCCGGAGCAGGTCCCTAGCGGCCTGTGGTTCTAACTGTGATGTCGCTCTATATTTTTTGTGTCAGCTCGGAGGCCCGCGCGCCGCTCGGGTCACTCCTGTCAGATGTCAGGACGAGTCACACGCCTCGCGTCCACACTGGCACATGACACTCTCATAATATGGAATAGACTTTATTACTTGTGTGGCGTGGAAATAATAAAAAGCTAATTCACTCAGCAGGCGTTACGCGATGTTTCTTAAAATTAATATTCAAGTACATATATGATATGAACCTCATCTTCGTGATGAATTCATCGTCACTGACTAAAACCAAATATATAACATCAAGGATTATGAAGGAATGTAATTTAAAAAGTACAAGTTAGTGAATACAAGAAGTTCCAATTAATTAGCCGGTGATCTCATCGTGTTGTAAACATGACACTTCTACTTAATCCAGTGTCCATGTTTAGATAAGAAGTTTTTGTCTGTGGAGTCTTGTAACCGATATGGTTCCAATAAAATGTTTCACACTAGCCTTACGTTTTTACTAGGACATAGTGGCTAGTTATGATTTCCTTATACGAGCGTGAAGAAGAAGATGGTTTCGATTACTCGTTTGCCTGAACACCGCTCGCCGGCCGCCGCTCGTCCCCGTGTGACGGCGCACGCCGCGACATGCTCGTGAGCCGGCCTGGAGTGGACACGAGCTCCGAAACAAATCGGAACTTCCAAAAGATACTCAGAACAGAACCGACCGCTATGGATAGGAGGCGAGCACGCCCGAGATCCTCCTGAACGACCATCCTGTAGAGACTTAATGAACGAAGCGATGCGGTCGGTCGACATCGGCACTGGAAGCGTCTACAACAACTACTTCTCAATAAAGACATTCAGATTTTTTTGTGCAGCCGTAACGGCTCTATAACTAGAATGCCTATCTGGAATCATGTTAACATTTGTAGAAGTCGCGATTGGAATACGTCCCGGCGAGTCTCGTGTCTTCCAGGAAATAATTACATCGACGACAACTACAATTCCTGACTATTTTTTATAAACAAACGCTTACAAACAAAACCACATAACCGCACTCACGGAGGGTCGATTCATTCATCTGCTTATGTACATGAGACCATAGTTGATGTTCCACAGCCGAGGCGACACGTACTGCGACACCAGCGAAGAATGCTCGGGACACTCGACACCGCGGTCAGACAATCGCTAGCTGGTCCGAGGACAGAGTTACACACGTATTTATATGTATATACAAACACCAACCTCATACCCACTGTGATCACCCAAAAGTATGAAACAATAAACTATTGAAATAGAAACCAGAGATTCGGAAATGCCTATAAATTTAATATAAATAATGAACATTATCCGCGGCCGGTGAGTGGCGAGTGTGTGTGTGTGTGTGTGTGTGTGTGTGTGTGTGTGTGTGTGTGTGTGTGTGTGTGTGTGTGTGTGTGTGTGTGTGTGTGTGTGTGTGTTCTGTTGTCAGTGAGAGGAAGAGGCGCGGGTCGCGGCCGGGGACTAACAAGCGACGATCCTTTAACCGATAAAAGAACCGAACGACTTGCCGTCACCTATTGTACACAGTTTAAGGATAAAACCAACATACGGGGAAGTCGGACAATGTGCGTTAAAAGTTAATAATACGAAGGAGAATAATCAGAGTTCCAGATATTTGTTACAAAACCATTTAAAAGGTTCAACAGTTATTTCGCCAAATAATTAACTATGTAATTAATACTATATATACTGATAATAATAAATAAATGAATCGTATGAATCGAGTATATGAATGTTCAGGAAGATGTAGTTGGAGGCCCTCCTGGATATAATGTGTTAGGTTCTTCTAACTAGAGAAGAGTGGAAAGAAGAGTCTGTTTGAGTTCAAAACTTTATTTGTGTCCTTCTATACAAAATCGAAAATAATATATTACCCAAAGTCACGTAGTGTGGGTGAAGACCTTATCATTTTAATATAATCTTTATCACGATCTATGTCTTTGTGGAGGATCAGAGATTGAATGTATGTATGAAGAACTAACACTTTATTTAAATGAATTATAAAATTAATATTTTCGGATTACTACGCGTATAGGATTATTTTTTAAAACTACATACTCTCGACGTTTCACATCACACAAACATGAAGATTTTCAGTGACATCCTGCATCATCAGTTTAGGACGACACTCATAATACAGTGCAGTTTTTCAAATTTTGACTTATTCCTAGGTTAGGATAGACCCGACACATTCTAAACCTGAATATGATGACCTTTATAAATATTTGGAGATAATATTTATAAGAGATCAGGTTAACCTATTCCCTAACAGAATCCATGAGGTTATTTTAAAGTTGTTTTAGAATTCGAGATATAGGATAGAAATGATTTCGACGGTGACATAAAATTAATAAACACAGTGTACGGTGTATCCCAGTCTCATAATTTTAAAATATTTTTTTTAATATTACCAAGGAAAGGAACCGTACTATATGGCTGGCTGAATATTTTTAGGACTATGTAGGTGAACATCACCCGGCCCTCAGTCTCGGCACCAACATATCATCGAGAGCGCAGCATCACAGGTACCAGAAAGATACTTTCTTGATAGTCCTTTTTATAGAGCTGTTAGCATACGAAAGCACCGCCGCGGTTCAAAACATTTTCCTCTCCTACTGATAACAGACACAGAAAGATATTGAACTGGGGACGAAATGAAGAAAATTGAGTTTGGAAAACAGAAAAGAAATGGAGCGTTTTGCAAAACAAAATGATATATAAGAAGGTGTAAACTATTAAAAAGAATTAGCTATCAAGTTTTTTAAACAACTTAATAAAGTTTAAATAACGTTGAATTAGTTTACAAATAACACTAGGCACCCACAGTCCACAGTCCGTCCTATAACAATGCTCCGTTGTCGAGTGTCGCCGGTAACATTTCTCTTCTCACACGACTCTGAGAGATCGGAACTATTCCCATGTTTAAACTTTATAACATTTATATTTTATTAAGAAAAAATAATAATTACTTACAGCCACTTTCTTATTTTTATACTTTAACTTGCGCTAATCTTGTTTTTTTTTTATTTATACGGATTGCCTGGCTCGAGAATGTTGTAGGTAAAAATGACCCAAATTAATTAATCGGAACCCAACTAATGAGTTCCACTTAGCAAGAAAATAAACATTTGAATTGATATTTTTTTCTAATCAATCTTTTTTAAAGTTCGTTACTTACAATAAGTTATTAGTAAATACGTTAAGTCCTAATAATCTATAATTTTAAATCATCAATAGTGTAATGTTTTTACGATCACTCATCGGTTGCTATATATTTTTAAAATTCCTAGTTAAGTAGATAATACCTACTAATTGTTCGTTTCAGATATTTATCTTTTGTCGACATTACAAAGTGTACGACGTGAACGTCTCCACCAACGTAGGCTGGCCGCTAGATAAGTAGACAACCGAAGGAATATTATCAAAATTTTAAGAAATTGTTATCGATGCACATGCAGACGTCAAGTATCACTACGTCTACCAGACGGGAACACTATAGGTAATCGAATATTCGAAGATTTGAGACGAGTGTAACAGACTATGGGTTTGACAATGAGACCAAAACTTAGAAAATTAACAAAATAACAGCAACTTTCAAGCTCAAATTTAAAACGCGGAAATTCGTTCCTTAAACAAGATTTTCATATTTAATTAAAAACTTAAACAACATGATGTTCTCATTCAGGAGTAGAACGTGCTTTATACCGGATTCTAGATATTTACTGACCGGAAAGAAATATTAATTTTAATCTGTAATAAAGTGCCGATCGGTCAGCAATACTGACGACGAAAATGAATAATGATCTCGCAAAACACATCTTTCGAAATATATCATTAAAACACACGAGTTGCCCTGATATGGACGTTTCCTTTAATGAACTTACGTTTATCGAATTCTTCCGCGTGATATCGAGCCACTAACGCGAGATGTTCGATTGACCCAACACACGCACTGTCCCCGCAGTGGCCGCGCGCGGACTGACGGCTCACGGCTGACGACCGACGACCGAGTATAATATAAAGGAGTGTATGAGGTTTGAAGATTAGGTGACGGACGGAACAGACGGAGGGAGAGTGATGAGCTCCCTAACACGACCTGAACCCTCCTGCTGATGTTGGCAATGATGTTATGGATGACATAATAAAAAACACTAAACACACACCGGGAGTGAAGTAACACCATGGAAATCAATTCTTAAAACTTTTTAGATGTGTTATTTAAAAGAATTTGTCTTTTTTTAATATGAGACTACAACTTTTTCAGTTTTTCTATTCTCAATTAGTCGCTATATCTTTATATTGCTTTTTGTCACTGGTTTCTCCGTATATTAAATAATCAGAAGTCACCTTTACGCTCCCAACTGGAGACTTTGTGTATTGTTATCAATTAATACTTCCGGCGCAATTAATAAATAGTGTTTATTGTTATTTATATTTTCTCAAATTATGTCGATTAATCAATGCTATAATAATCCTGTTTTATTATGTATAATGTAAGGATTGAGCTACTAGAATCTTATTTTACTGATCTGGCTAGGTTATCAACTTCCGGTGAAATACAATATTAATCTTTAATATTTTATGTTACATAATCCTGTATTATTAAATAATATTTGTCCGTAAATAACTCTGGTCAACACTGGTTTTGCCACAAGAACTTTGATACGAAATTTTGTTTTATCAATCTATCCTCATTCTTAAATCACAGTTTTCATGAGTCAGTTAGCCTTATATTTGTTGTGATACGGTAATTCTCATAAATAGTACTGCGGCTGTTAATTAACAGATACGCTTACAAGTAAATCGTTATAAAAATATTTGTCGTTAAATTTAAATATATTTTTTTATGAATCATTAATCCTGTGAACATGTCGAGGAAGCGTAATAATGATTATAACTCTTTTTGTTACGTCTGCGGGGAATTAACATTTAAAAAATAATGACGAATTTTGTGTTGGAGCGTTATCAACAATATTTTGGTTTTTCTGTCTCCCATCAAGACAAATCCTGGGCTCCTCATGTCTGCTGCATAACGTGTGTGAAAAATTTTACTGACTGAAAGAGAGGTGTACGCACTATGCCATTTGCTGTACCCATGATATGGATTGAACGGCGAGATCATGTTTCAGATTTGTTATTTTTCTCTCACTGATATAAAAGGTATAAATTACAAAAAGAAAAACACAGTTATTTACCCCAACTTATTTTCGGCTATAAGACATAAGACCAGTCTCTTATTGTTAAAAAAATAACAAAACAAATATCAGTTATAAATTCATCTATTGAGAGCAACCATTCACAACCGTGAACTTCAGGCCAATTTGTTGAAGAGGATGACGACTTTGAGTTTGTAGAAATTGTAAACAAGCTACATTAGATAACTCAAAGAGACCTAAATGATTCGGTTCAGAATTTAAATTTATCAACAAGTAGTCAGAACTACTAAAATCCCGTCTAAAACAATGGAATTTGCTACATCATAATACGAGAGTGTTGGTTAAGTAGTGAGAGTTGGGTAACGAGTTACTACTGTCATATCAAGGATCGGGTCGCAACATTTCTCTTAAATTACATTTTTTAGACTCTCACCTGGATGTTCTCCAGACATTTCGGTGCTGTCAGTGACGAGCACTGTCAGAGACTCCATCAGAAAATTTCTAATATAGAAAAGCTGTACCAAGGCAAATGGGGCCCATTTGGGCCACTTCTATATTAGAAATGTTAGCAGCTTATTGCTGGACAATTAAAAGAGACTAACAAGAAGCTAAATACTCGAGAAAATCTTAGATTACATTCAGTCGTTTAGAAAAAAGAAACTTTTTATTTACTAGATCCTTGTTTTTTCTTAATTTTTTAATTACTTAATAGAAAAAAATTCTTCGCCAGCAATTTTTTTTTACTGTTTATTTGGTTTTATAATTACCTATTTAAGTAAAAAATAACAAAAAAAGTCTGTGTGGCATTAAAAAGTCAAAATTTTGTTGACCAGTGTAATCATTAGAATAATTTAGATAAACAATGTTTAATATTATCTTTAAGTTTGCTAATTTCATATTAAATTAGGTCAAGATGTTTTTGTATAAATACCGCCAGTTTTAAATATACCGGGCACTGGTATTGTAACCGTCGTAACGAGCATTACAAGTGTTTTCCTATATAACGTATCTTTATAGTATGTTGGATTTTTCATCATAGTATTCAAAGTAGTAAAAAAATAATGTCACTTATTAAAAACGCTTCTGTTGACGGAACGGTTAGACAACGAATAAAGTTAACACACGCGTACATGCGCCTCATGTGTTCGTTTACTTCAATATTTGTTTTACATTAATACAAAAATATTGTTTCGGAATCGAGAAAACCGGGTTAAACATATCGATATTATTACACTAACCTGAAACCTCTTATTGGATATCACCAATTCAACACGATAACAACAAGCACTATTGTAAAGTAAATGGAATTAAATTAATAAACACGTGCGGGTACACTTTGTGTATTTGTTTGATGTGCTCAGTCTCGGACTTCGCACAAACATAAATAGTACTACAGTATAAATGAACGTGAATGAATGAATATCTATTTATTCGCTAAATATTATTAAAACATTGAACACACTATTCTTATCAAAATAGGTTTCATTAATTCTGATTCCCAAAGAGGGTTGATGTCAGCCAGGCGACCGGTCGTAAAAACAAATAGCCAAAACTATTCACAACATGTAAGGCAGACCCTGGCTATAGCTGGGAAATTGCCCGGTAGAAGAAGAAGATATTTTTTTTTAAATTCTCGCTTTAAAAAATTTTGAGGCGCGTGGCCCCTTGTACCGCGAGGCCGTAGGCGGTGGCCCACGTCGCCCACCCCTTACGCCGCCACTGCAAATTTCAACCTCTTCCTGTCAACCGATTAATCTGAAATTTTGTATACACTGTGGATTTTGGTGAAAATACAATTATGTTTATTAATTATCTTTATAAATTCAAGATGGCTGCCGCTACAAAATGGCGGATAATTTATGTTAAACCAATCCCATCAATATGGGTATCAATTGAAAGGGCTCAACAAGCAGAATAAAATATACTATATAAAATTAAAATCTAAGATGGCCGCCGCTACTCTTCGGTTTCTGAACAATACTTTTTATATGTGTTATATAGATCAGTCACGGAGCGAAAAGATGGTTCTAAATATAATTTGTTGCTGAAGTTACGACATATTTCCATAAAATAATGCTTACGTATGTGATTCTAATTTGAATAAATATTGAAATGAAATTTAGAAATTTTTAAAACAGTTTTAATTAAACTGTTAGATTTTTGATGTAATAACTTATTGAAAAGAATATTTTTCTGCATAATTTGTCTAAAATTAATATTTCTTTCTTCAATAATTTTATGTAACAATTTCTTTTTGTTAAATTTAAGAAATAGTTCTGATATGATAGCTGATGCACAGTAGAAGCTCGCAATAGACCCAGCGCACTATCTCACTCGCACTCGCTCAGATATATGTTCCTCGCGCTCGCGCTTATAATTTAGGGGTGCCTGGTAGGGGTTGATCTACGGATCCAATACAATAACGCATTCAGATTTCTGCCGGGCTGCCGCGGCACTGTAGCGCTTCAGGCATGTTTGCGGAGGCGCATACCGATGACTTTTATGCCGTCATGAGAAAACGGTGCGCCTCCATGTTAGCGCGTCTCCGCGGCTCTTCCAATGAAAAGCTGAATGTGTTTGTTGAAGGGTGGAACACGCCAATATTGTATAAATGGGTACAACTACATACTAGGTCTAATAGTACTTAGTATATTAGTTTTATAATTTTATAGTACTAACATTAGGTTTTAAGTTTTTTGTTACTAACACTCTGCTTTTAATGTATTTTTAATATGGATGTAATTGGTCTGAAATAAATTATTATTATTGTTATTACATTTTAAATCAGCTCACAAATTTTCGTGTGTGAGGAAATGACGTCTTTTTAATTATTTGGCATAGCACTCCAATATGAGTGTTGAGGTGAAACAAATATTCCATATCAATATTTTTTAGACTTATAAGTCTAAAGTACATAATCATATAATTTTAGACATATTCCAATATTTCAATAATCAATTTGCTTAGTATAAATTAACTAGTTACTTGATAAAAAATATTTATTATAAAAAAATTATGACAAATTACAATTCAAATGACAATGTTATTTAATCATTTTCGGCTTCGCTTTGGCTTGAGTCACAACCATCTCTCTCTGATTCATTATCCACATTATATTTTGATATTATAAGTCCAGGTTTCCTCACGATGTTTCGCTTCATCGTCTGTCAGTGGTGTCTAAATACTTTTAAAAGGTAAGTACATATGATTCGGAAAACTCACATTGTTACTTGCCAGGTTTTGAACCCGCGTCCTCATCCAAGAGGCCAGCCTTTAACCACTAGGCCACCAAGAATCAAACTTGTGGTAAGTACCTATATTGAAATGTTATAAAAAGTGCGTATCGACTGCAACAAATACAAAGATCGTTTAGTGACTGAACAGAATGTTTATTAAAACTATTACAATTTGCCTATACTGTTTTTTAAGTTAAGACAAGTGAATAACAAAAGTCGTGTAAATTGGCGGACGAGCTGGGGAGACTGCGCAGGAATCGAGAAACAACATAAATTCAAACCTCTGTTATTTCCCATATTATCTATATGTATAAAAGATGTTTCCACCTATATATCCACCACTCATCACGATATCTCTGGAACCATAAGGGGTAGCGACTTGAAATTTGGTAGGATTATTCCTTTCGCCGCGCCGAGTAGAACTAAGTAGTCAGCTAAGAACGGATTTTACGAAATTCCACCCACAAGGGGGGTTGCGGGAGCGTTGACAATGGAAAATTCCCATTTTTAACCTATAGCTCCTATCGACTTCAAATTTGGTAGGAATCTACTCCCAATATGGATGGTGGGGTGGACGTTAACAATGAAAATTTTAAAGTTCCTAGCTATAGCTCTGACAGACTCATAATTTAGTATGAATTTTGTTTTTTTTTTAATGTAACATTAAACATACAAACCACCCAACATTTTTACTTCAACCCCTATTTTTTATATAGCAGAACAACGTTTGCCGGGTCAGCTGGTATATTATAAACTACTTTCAAATTAATAAAACAATGTATTCAAATTATTACCATGGTATTTATTTTATTAATAATAGTTTTAACAAATACTATCAGAAAAAGATAATAAAGATTTCAAAGTTGTAGAGCCTAGCTGTGGTCACTCATTACAGCTGGAACATGGGTTGGCTCGACCGGGGAAGTACAACCCTCTCACACAAGATCCGATGAGTGAGAGAGCCGGTTGCCTTTTCCCTATTCCCACCGTTTCCTACCATTTCCTTATTCCCACCCCTCCCTATTCCTAAAAAAACCAAGGTTGGCAACGCATCCGCGACAAAGATGTTGCGGATGTCAATAGGCGACGGAAGCTACCTTCCACTAAGTAGGCCATCTGCTCGTTTACCACCTTTCACATAAAAAAGATTATATAATAGACAGTTCGGAGTGTTTGAAGTCAATAATAAGTCATTAAGAGCCTACCTGGATTTGAAACCGAAGAGTACACAATTTGCTAGAACTTCTTTTTATATAAGCTATAAGTTTTTTTATTATTATTATTTTCTTTTTTGTATTTGAATATTTCCTTACTGTTTATGTTATATTTTTTTACTCATGTTGTGGTGTGATCCAAATAAAGTTTTTATCTGTCTATCTATCTATCTTTTATTTATAAAATGGAAAGTATCGTGAGACCGACTGATGAAGGATATCACTACTGCTATAAATAAATATTGGATTATTTTTGAAACAACGTTTTATAATTGTTTTATGGAAGTGGAAATAGATAACTACAAACGATTCGTGTTTTCACGAGACCTTAGACACCTCACAAGTAGTCTGAACTTGATCGGTTGTTGAGGTGAGTAAAGAAATGATATGTCCCCTGCAACGATCTATTATTGTACAGAAATTTAATGAGAAGGTTATAAAATGAAAACATACTTCCCCCTAGCTTTCATAGGACATATTTGAAATAAAACAAGTATATAAAAAATAATGTATTTTTAATCACAAAGCAATTGCGCTATTTTTGTAATATAAATAAATAATGAACCACAACAGCCACACACTGTAACTAACCTCTTACAGCTACTTACATCTAAGGTCGAAGGTCGCCGAGCGCGCCCCCGGCCCAGACTGGAATGTGTCGTATCACAAGTAGCGAGCCAAGCTCTAGTTTATCTTATAATTACAAATTCTACTATACACCCAACAGAGTAAAAATAGAGAGGCCATTTCACTTAAAACTATCATATATATATAAATATATATATCCATTGTGTGATTGAATCGACGTAGTCAATATATCCTATACATAACCATATGTACATTTCGTGGAGACCCGAAGGTGTTCGGAAAGAACGTGCGATGTCGCAACGTGTCCGTTGAGCGACCCGACACCTGGACACGTGTCAAGTATAAACAATATTATATAAACAGGTCGAGTCGAGCCGCCGATGAACGGGCGGGGTGACCGAGCGAAGACCGGCGCCCGCGTTGACTTATGAGTGGAGTAGGACGAGGGGTCACTGGGCCAGCGTCCGGGACAGGTGGTCGGCGATGTCCTTGGCGGCGGCCCCCGCCAGTATGGAGCGGTGCGTGCCCGGCAGGCGGCGCGTGGCGAGCGGCCCGGCGCACACCTCGCCCAGCCCGTAGTCGTCCGACAGCTTGACGTAGTTATCGGAGGCCGTGAACAGCGTGACGGGCGCGCTCAGCTTGCCGCTGGGGCGGTACGAGTCGCCCACCACCAGCTTGCGGTAGAAGGACGAGGCGGCGGCGGCGAGCGAGGCCGCGTCCACCCCCCGCCGGGCCCGCCACCAGCGACGTGACGCGCTGCAGGCGCTCCTCCCAGCTGGACAGGCGCTCCAGCTCCGACGACAGCTGAAACACGGGAATTACATGTTAGAGAATAGGCTTCATTGACAACTACATTGATCTCTAGCGAGATGTTTGTGGGGCTCGTCACCTTGGCTGCGTCGACGTCGTTGAAGAGCTGCACGAAGTATGCGAGCGCATCGGCCTCGTCCGTATGCGAGGTTCGCGTCGCTCGTTTTTTCTTTCCACGTGTTGTGTGAGTCGACACGTATGCCGGAGAACCGTCCACCAAGAACAGCCTCGTCTCGCAGCCCGCCTGAGATTATAATAACACCAAATGATTCGAAAGGTTCTACAGAAGAGAGTACTACTGAAAAGATCTTAAACCCAATCCATCCGAGACCTGCTCTAGCTGCAACGCCATTTCGAAGGCGACGCCGGCTCCGAACGAGTAGCCCAGGATCGTGTACGGCGGCCGCGGTTGAAGAGCGCGCACGTGTGTGACGTAGAAACGAGCCAGAGACGCCATGTCAGTGAGGGGAGCGGCCGCGGTGCACTGGAGGCCGAACACGGGCGCGCGCACGCCGGCCGCCAGCCCGCGCAACATCTCCACCACGCCCTCTATGGGATGAACCTACAGACAGACGGAGACGTTGACGTGACGATATGTACTAGCGGGAGGCAGGATTATTGTGATCGTGTAGCTCACCATAAACACCGGGAGCGCCGTCGAGTCCGCCGGCGCAGCGCTCGGCATCTTGACGACGACCTGCTTAGGCATGAGCTCGCCGGCCGTTCCGAACTGCACCAGTTCCCCCGCCGCAGGTTCGTCGTCCTGTGTCGCCGCCGCGGGGCTCCCGGCCCCCTCCGCAGCCTCCGCGCCTCCACCGAGCTCGCGCAACTTCGCAAATGTTAATCCGCGGATCTCCTGCACGCCCAGCACTACGTCATACCCGCGCTCCAACGTCTGTTTGATCTCGGCTCCCATCAACGAATCCATACCCAGTTCCGCCAGATTAGCGGAATCCGATACTTTACTGGGATCCTTGATTCCTAAAATATTTATTTATTTATTTATTTAGGCACACAAACAGAATATAATCCGGATTACATATGAGTTACAGTCTAAAATTATTTAAAACTTGATTATATTCCTAAGTATGTGTACACAGCATAATAGTCCGGTCAAATTAGACCAAAAATTAGGGTGAAATTACATAAATTCGCAACAAGCTGAATTTTGGTACAATTGTTCAAAACACGATTATAAACAATAGCTGAAAGTTCCCCATCATTCCCGTGTGTGGAAAAAAATTTATTCAAAGTCAAATGTCAAAAAAATGAGTTTTTCGCGATTTTCAGCAAAACGGTCAGTTTTATCAGAAAAATACCTCAGACTAAAATTGTAGATCATAAAATTATCTATAACAAATGTATCAATACTTCTTTTCTTACGAGCCACCGTTTCTGAGATATAACGATTCAAAAAGTTAAAAAAGTTGTTATCGTCATAATATGCATGAGTACGACACGTATATACATCTAGAGTTGTTATATCTTTATATATATAACAGTCAGTGGTGGTCTAGTAGTTAAAAGGCACGCCACTCATGCACGAGGGTGCGGGTTCGATCCTGGCCCGGGCAAGTACCAATGTGATTTTCCCGAGTTATATGTACTTTCTAAGAGTATTTAGACATCACTGATTAATGCTGATTCCCAAAGAGGATTGATGTCAGGCAGGCGTCCAGTCGTAAAAACAAATAGCCAAAACTATTCACAACATGTAAGGCAGATCCTGGCTATATCTGGGAAATTGACAGGTAGAAGAAGATTTATATACAGGGTGACTGGTGAATTACTATCAATATTTAAGGAGAATACTCAGTACATGATTCTCATTCGAATTATGTAAAAAAAATAGGTACTTAATTTTTGACCAAATTTCCGTGTAAATAAATTAAGTGTGGTCACGTTCCAAGTGTTCTAAGTGTGGACGCGTGCGGCGGCGTGCTGATACAACAACACGCCGCCGCGCGCGAGTGTGTGTGTGTATACCTAATCTGTAGGGTGTTCATATGATGCGTAATTAATTACATAACTTTTGGTTAACTTTTCTTAGAAGTTTATTAATATTTATGATATATTAATTATTATTTTGTCATATATGATCGTCAAATATCACGTCCTCAAGTATCGATAGTAATTCACCAGTCACCCTGTATATAAATATTGATTTATTTGTGTAAAATTTTAACTGAAAGCGAAGTTGTTACTGTTGAACGTGGTATTAATTAATGCAAGTATCGAAAGAGCTGATGAAGAAATGAATCAATTTTGTTCAGTTTTAAACCATCCCTAAACCTCCACGAACATTTCAAGACTAAGATAAGATAAATCCGTTCAGCCGTTCTCGAGTTTTAGTGAGACTAAAGAACAGCAATTCATTTTTATATATAAAGATTAAAAAAAACATTGTCCAGCGTACAAAATTGTGAACCTAAACCATTCCCAGATCCCCTTGAACACACACAAAAAATTTCAAGTCTAGTCGTTTGAGCGAAGTTCAGGGACACATACACACTCACAGAAGAATTATATATATAAAGATATAACAATTCTAGATGTATATACGTGTCGTATTCATGCATATTATGACGATAACAACTTTTATAACTTTTTGAATCGTTATAATATCTCCGAAAAGGTGTCTCGTGAGAAAAAAGTATTGATATATTTTTTATAGATAATTTAATGATCTACAATTAAAAAAAAAAAAAAATTAAATGTCAAAAAGACACTGGAGAGTAAATCATTGAGATATAATATGCCTTACCTTATTTTTAAGCCTTGTAAAATTGGGATCAAAAATATATCTAACATGTCACCGAGTTTTGAGAGTAAATTATTGTATGTACGGCAGAATCTAACAATTGGATTAAATGTAATATGATGTATTATTGATCTGAACGCTGAGGACGAGGGTATTCAAATGTGGATGTCGAGATCTAAATTTGATGTTAAAATTAATGAGCGATAACAAGGCAGATGAATCGATTCTAGAATGAATTATTTTGTGCCGTGTATAAAGTTCATTACACGTACGTCTTTGTTTTAGTGTGAGCATATTAAAATAGTCAATTCTATGTTCGTAACAGTTTATCTTATTCTGCAATCCAAATTTGTCCGCTAGACCGCTAGCGACATCGTGATAGCGACCGGTGCTCCAACAGACTCACCGAGAATGTTGGCGACCGCATGCGCGAGGTCCGTCTGCGGGGCGGCGGCGGAGCGTCGCTTGTCGGCCAGCACCATGGACGCGGCCACGGCGTGAGGCAGCGCCAGCAGGCCGCCCAGGGCCTCCATACACGACGCGATGCGCTGCGGCAGCGTCCCGCCGACCACCACGTCGTCGCCGCCCATCTCCATGATCAGCCCCACCTCGCCGATGGCTCCCCATTGCACGGCCAGCCCCGGCAGCCCGTCGGCCTGGCGCTGCTCCACGATACGCTCCATGGCGGAGTTCGCGAGTCCGTAGTTGCTCTGCCCCGGGTTCCCGCGACCACACGATACGGACGAAAACACTACGAAGTAATCGAGCTCCGGGGACAGCTCCCGCGTCGCCGCATCTAAGGTCAACGTACCTGAGAGAGGAAAATACGGCTTAGGACCGAGCGAGGGGTTCGTGTCGACGTCGCATGGAAAAGAAAAGCTCACTGTCTATCTTCGGCCTGGCGACGGCTCTGAAGTCATCTGGTGTGAGGTTTTCTAGAAAAGCGTCCCGCAACACGGCAGCCAGGTTGAAGACGCCCCCCACAGGCGCCACGGCCGCCGCTTCCTTCAGCAGAGCCCGAGCGCCGGCCGCCGAGCTGGTGTCGGCCGTGGACACCAGCACCCGCACACCCTTCTCCCGCCAGCGACGGACGCACCACGACTGGTAGCCCGTGCGGACCCCGCTGCGAGAGTTGAACACCAGGGCCGTGGCGCCGCGACTCACCAGCCACTGACCCAGCTCCAGACCGAAGCCGCCGAGACCTCCTGCGGGACAGGGAATGGGGCGTTGAAGAAAATAGAATTAAAAAATGTTTGGTGTAGACAGTGCTAAAATTTTCCATTAAAACAATGCTCACATCCATAGATTCGTAGTTAAACACATTAAGAAGCCAACATAAAACCAAGGGTGGCTATATATTTTTTTAATTGGGAAACAAACAGCATATACACATTATATAATTTTCCTCATATTAAAAATAAATACATAAGCCAACAAAGTTTCCACTTTTGCACAGTTTCATGGAGTGAATATAAAAAAAAATACTTATAATTATCAGAATTTAAACATTTTACAATTTAAAGTGAAATTAAGTATAAGAAAGAAAAACAAACATCTTAAACTATATGAGCTTTTTCAAAAAGAGAATACTTTAAAAAACTATCATTGAAAATATCAACACAGTTAAACAATGTGTTATAGTTAGTACAGGCTCTTACGAGAAAACGATTTTTTGCATAATTTCTTTTACATAATGGGACAGAGAAGATATGTTTACATCATATGGAAGAATTAGAACATTTAAAAAATATGTTATTTAATAAATATGTTGAGTCTATAAGATTATTTATGATTTTATATAGAAAAAGTTGATCCCTATATAGTATATACCCTACGGTTCTCAAGTGACATAATGTTTAAACTTTTGACAGAGTTTTCTCCAAATTTATATTATGTAGTTATTTTCAGAAACTTGTTTTGGACGCTTTCTATTGCCAAAATATACTTAGAATATTGCGGATTCCAAACAGTGGAAGCATATTCCAAATGAGATCCAACATAAGAGTTATATAAAATATT